TAGCTGTGACCTTCGGTGGTACGGTGTAGAGAAATGGAGAGTTGATAGTTGTGCTGCTCGATAGCCGTCTCCTCCTTTCCTCATCTTGCATACGCTGTCTCTTCTGGGTTTGATCTTAACAGATTTCATTAGTAACAGCTACATAGAGATAAAAGAAGTCTAAGGGAGGTATCTCACATATCATATGAGGCACATGCTGTTCGTTCTCTGGGTATCTTCCAGGCGATACTGAGGGCCATGAATCAGAGAGAGACGGGAACAGCCTGTTAGAATCAGAATTCTTGCCGAATATAGATGAATTATCCGGCGATGAATCCTTCGGTGTTTCCACCGCAAGCTCGACATGATGTTTCCTATACAATCCTTTTAGCCGGCGTTCCATTCATGAAGGTTTTTGGTCTACTGGTGGTGAAGTCCAGTGGCTACTGACTTTTTGCGTTTACTCTCTGCAACGACACACTCGACATCATCTAGACGGCAATTGGTACACGGAGAGCCATTCTCAACAACATCACAACGAACTTTGCGAGCCCGACAGCAGCAGCAAGCCTTTGATGCTCTTCTCTTGACTGGGCGGGCCGAGTTCTGTAAACTGGCAGCGTTGGACTTGCGTTTATTCTTAGACAAACTGTTGTCTGGAGATTCTGGAGACGAGACCATGACGACGAACGGTGTCCCAATGTGTTATTGCATGAACTGCGGCGGGACGGTGACAATGATGGTTACAGGCGCAGAAACAGGAGCAGTATGAGAAGCAGCAAAAGCGGACGTGTACTCCGTATAAGTATACGAGTGTATTTGACAAAAGGGCGTGGTCGGTATCAACAACTTGCTTGGAAGGAAGAAAAATGTCAAAGAACAGAACAGGCGTGGGGTATGGGTGGGATGGAGGTTTCTAATATATGGAGGCCTCGAACTTCAAGACATCGTCATAGCCCTTAGGTTTCTCGGACTTGTACACAGGCAAAAGGGGGGGGGGGGGGACGGCATTATTGGCCAGTAATGGGGCGAGACCGTACTTATACTTCTTCCCCAGACCCCCTGTAACTATAGAATAATTCGAGTTTGGGGAAATAATCTTCTTGGACAGTGAGTGGGGAAGGTTGTGTTTCTTTAGTGGAGAATCGAACGCTTCAGAAAAGACGGGTTCACTCCCGGCGAATATCGAGTGCAGGATATGTCCTTAATTTTTTCTGGGGATGGGCCTAGTTATGTACTGGCAGAAGTGTTGCAAACCAGCCTTTGACGTTCCTGGACCGAGCTCAGGGATCACAATGCTGCTGTTGCTGCTGGTTTTGTTTTCGAGGTTTCGTCACACGGCATCTTCCACCCGGCCGGGCGAGTGCAAACTATCAGCCAAGCCATCTTTGAAAGTTGAAAATGCGTACGAGTACCGTAGTAATTATGGAGTGCTCCGTTTTGATGGATCTTATACTGCCGAGATCCCGCAATTCGGAATCTGGAATCTGTCAAGACAGAGCTACCTTGTGTTTGAATTCAGATTGTTCTTGGGACAGGTACTGTGCCGAACCCAAGCCATGAATCATAATTCTGAGTTGCCCCTTAAGGCTGTAAAAAGGGCCAACTAACTAACTAGTTGGAGGCCCCCTCACCCCTATAAATTGGAGATATTCGATGGTGGCTGCGTAAGTGACGACATGCAGGCTAACTGTGCCCCCTCTCCCCCTCGTGGTGCATTAAAAAATGCTCATGGATCAGACATGAAAAAAAAAAAATGTCAAGTGGTCACAGGCAAGCTTGACGTGGAGCTGCATGCCACCCTGTACGACCAAGCTCCACCCCTGTAGATGTGCAGCACGCCTCGTGGAGTTAGTTTCTAGCACCATATCAGGGCCGGCGAAGTGGGTGAGGAGCCCAAACGCTTCGAGTAGAAAAGGCGGAGAGGGACCCCGATCGCCCAGTCCCAGTTCTGTCTGGCTCATGAGATGTCGGTCAGGTTTGAGAGGCTCGGAAAGAAGGCCGTTGGGAGTGAGTGGCGGCCCCTTCTGTCTGCAACCAGGTCAGGAGTGCCATCACGACGGCGAAACCTCCGGCCGAGCCTCTGCCTGTGATTGGTGGCCAAAGGCAAAACGGCATTGCTTACTCCATACGCTTTCCGCAATACGAATGTGTTCGGCCTCTGTCAAGCTCTTGTTTCAACCCTTGCTCGGATCACGGCACCGTTCAGCCAGGGAGTCACAAAAGCTCAATAATAATAATCCTGCCCTGCTGCTTTCTGTGTGCCAGCCATCAACGACCATCATCAACCATCCTGGCTGACGACGCGAGTCCTTGAAGTCTTGTCTATCGAAGCTGAACTGTCTTGTAGCCATCTCGTAGGATGATGATAACTAGTTGATGCTGTGCTAGGTGACCGTCCTCAGTCGCGAGCAGGCCTTCCTCTCTGTCTCGCACGAGTCGCCGTACGAGTCGCCAGTCGTCTCATCTCTTCAACTAGCAGTAGCTGGCCCATTCCCGGCTCTCGAATGCTCGTCTGCCCGTCTGCAAAGTCTTGATGTCGTTGTTTTGGCGGTGTTGGCGTTGCAGAAGAAACGAGAAAAAGGCAGAAAGTCGGTGCAAGTTCGGCACATGACCTGCTAGTCCCGGAAGGGCAATTGCTTGCAGCGAGATCGGAATCTCCACCACCAGCAGGAGCAGCAAAAAAGCATGAAGAGGGCATGAAATGCATGAAAAGGAATGCCAGCATGAACCAGAAGAGCAGAGAGGAGAGAGGACGGCCATGGAGGATTCATGCATGCAGGGAGTCGCGGCGTTGCGGGCGGCAGATGCGACGACGGCCAAGGTTGTGAGTTCTCGTTGGCATGTTTGCATATTTTTGACACTTGAACAGTCCGGCTCACCATGCAGCGGCAGGTTTGGTTGACTTGAGTATACACATTCGACCGGCCTCCTCCGAGTGTTTACGCAAGGGGTAGCTTTCAAATGGTTTCCTGCTTGAGTCGTAACTGGTATACGAGTACTGGTTGGAGTCAAAGCGGCCGATGTCGAAGTCCGGGGTGACGACAAATGACAAGCTACGGGGGTCCTTGGCCAGGGGGGCTCTGCATCGGCCTCGCTAACTGGTTATGGAGCCCCTGAGGGACGCCAGCCTCAGGGTTGGTGAAAGTGCAATTTTAGACCCTGTTGGTGGCAGGGCGGCTGGGATATTATTGCTTTCGAGGAGCTCATTTCGCCTGCGGAATGCCGCCGGCTGGCTACCCGTTGGTCCGACCACTCCATCGCAGAGACAGCTGTCCACAGCTAACGACTTAGCCTTCCAAGGCAGCGAGGTAGGTATAGAATGTAACTAATGGTTGGGTAGATGCGCCCGATCGAGAACGTATCCCGAGAGCAAGTGACATCGGCCCGGCCATCTGTAGCTAAGTTATATTACTATTGCTACTCGGCACTCCTTATAGCTCCTTCTATAGCTTCTTTCCTATGGAGTAAACTTGAAGCCCAAGGAGTGTTGCGGGCTGGTCACTGTCAAAGACGGAGCCCTGGGCCTTAATATGGCCAGCTAAGATGCGACTACATAGCTGCTTCCAGGTAGCTGTTCTTCCCGCAGCTCCCAGCCAGCCCTTTCCACTCTTCTCTGTGTATCAATGGTGGTCGCATCAACGATAGTGATTGATATTGAACAAACATGAACTGTTCAAATCGAACATCAACCTTCGACAGGCCAAAATTTGGCTTCTCTTCAAATTCTATTTTTAGCATCACAAAACTAACCTAACCAAAAGAGGAAGAAGGCAGCAACATTCTCGCTGCAGCATAAAATGGTCGAGTGTCAGCAAGATGGTTGCTGAGCCAGATCTCTTGATATTGCATTTTACATTGTCAGACAAATAACCAGTTACTTACCACGATGAAAATAGCAATAATTGGTGCCGGCATCAGTGGGTGTGCAGTCTATCTCGCCTTGAAGAAGAGACTCCCGGCCGGAGAGGAACATGAATACACCATCTATGAAGCATACGAAACTTCAGCATCATCTCCACAGAACTATTCTGATGGAGATGTACATTCTTCAAGCTTCGTCGTGGGTGCCGGGCTGGCAATCTGCCCAAACGGTTTAAGCTGTGTCAGACGGCTTGATGAAGATATATACCACGCCATTACTAGGATGGGATACCCATACGCATACCAGCAAATGAAGAGCTCCCATGGATGGAATCTCATGAAGATGGAAGTCTCTGGCTCGAATCCAAAGATCAACTCTGTCTCGTTGAGCCGGCATGCCCTGTGGCGATGCTTTCGAGATCGGGTCCCGGATGATATCGTTGTCAATAAGCGAGTGGCCTCGGTCGTTGCGAAGCCAGACGGACGAAATGTTATCAAGTTTGTTGATGGCAGTCCAGATGTAGAGGCAGACCTAGTCATTGGTGCTGATGGGCTCAAAAGTGTCACTAAGTCAGCTTTGTTTCCGGAGGATAAAGAAGACCGATACCCACCACACTACGAGTAAGTCTCCTTTCGACTATATTACTAGATGAATAAAGAACACATTCTACTCAAATACGAGCTTGCCCAACTAACAATGCATCAGAGGAGTCGCTGGAGTAGGCGGGTTCTTCCCGGCTGACCAACTACACGACCAAATCGAGCCAGGCACCATGAACCTGGTCTTCGGCGGGAACGGCTTTTTCGGCTACTGCTACACCAACACTGACAAGGACGAACCAAATCGTCATATACCGCAAGGAGTACTCAAACCAGGCAACACGGTAATGTGGTGGTCTACATACGAAGCTAAAGAATGTCCCGATACCAAATCCATAGACAAAGCCGCCATCATCCAGGACGTAAAGTCCCGGCATGCCTCGTGGAAAAGCCCCGTTGTGCAGAAAATACTCGCCTCAGCAGATATACAGAACATGTACCCTGTCTGGACCGTGCCGGAACTACCTACGTGGGAAAGACAAGGAGTTGTACTGATCGGTGATGCGGCACATGCCCTCCCACCTACTTCGGGACAAGGTGTGTCTCAGGCAATGGAAGATGTAGAGTGTTTTTCTATATTACTAGCCCATACCCTGGGCAAGGAAGGCCAGGAATCGTCAGAGGACAGTGCGCTTCAGGCTCGAAAGGCGAGAATATCATGGGCAGCGAAGAAGCTCATGAGTATACGCATGCCTCGGATCAAGGCAATTCTCGACCAGGCGAGGAAATATCAAAACCAGAAGCGGAATCTTTCTGTTTTCCAGGAATGGTTTATGTATTTGATGATGTACCTTATGAGTAAGTCGGGTCTTCTGGGTGTTAAGGGAACAAGCACTAATGACCCGTTTATAGGTTTCTTTCCAGCGCCGCCTTGGGTCAAGATATTATATTCATATGATATTGAGAGTGAAACCCGAAAAGCTATTGAAGAGTAATAGGTATTGTTGGAACATGTCCAGGGGGAAAACTGCCCACTCATCCCCAGCCTCGCAGCCCGAATCGGGTTTACATATCTGTACTATAGGACCTCCCTACTTCCTACTCGTATATAATAACCATCAATTAATCAATTAATTAAACATGGAAATCTCATTGCTGTGTGGTATCTAAGCGGACAAGCTAGTCATCAAAACAAACACCAACATAACAGAAGCGTCAGACTCATAAAAAAAAAAACCAAAAAAAGGTTAGCAAGCAGATTCGTGATTAGTACTGTAGTTGCCGGACTTTTAATTAATTGCCACCTCTTCCCATTCTTTCAATCGAACTCATAATGCCACTGCGGCCCGGGGTTTTTGCCATGGCAATGCCACTGGGAGCGACTTTAGTGCCAGATGGAGCACCAAAACGTGGGATTCGGGGAGTATGGCTTTGTGGAAGCTGACGGGGACGGGATGAGGTAGAGCTCTTTAATCCAATGCTGCTGCTGCTGCTGCTACTGCTTGCAGCTGGTGTTGGCTGGGAAATAGGCATCTTCTCGCTTCTTTCTTCCTCATTTAGTTCCTCACAGGGTGGAGTAGATGGCTTCTCTGCAGGCTCTGGGGCCGGTTGGGAATCTTGCTGCATTTGAAGCCACTCATCCACCACTGCAACTAGTTCTCCTTTCTCTGCCCTTTCAGCCTTGAGTTCGGAGCGTAAGGCCTCGCTATCTTTCTTGAGTGATATCATCTCTTGTTCAAGCCCCTTGATCCGGGCCTCCAGTACCCGTTTTTCAGCCTCTAAGCCTTCATTCTCTCGAAGCATTGTGGCATCCCCTGGTGCGGTCTCCTCATCAGCAAATCTCGATTTTGCTCCATTCAGCTCAGACTGAAGGTGTTTGATTTTCTCCAAGGCATCCCTCAACTTGTTTTCACCTTCTTTTACTCTCTTTTCCCAACGAGCTTCATAACTCTTCTTCAAGGCGGCAACCTTCGTCTCGTGTTTACCCTTGTATAAGGCATGTAGTTCGCGGGCAACTCTTTCTACGGCATCTTGAACTTCTCTGGCGGTCTCATCCGAGTTCCTGGTGTTACAGTTGGTCGGCTGAGCGGAGCCTTGTGTACCAGTACCATTGTTGCTCCGTGCAGCCGAAAGCTGGCTTTCCAACTCGACCAGCTTTCCCTCCATCTGTTCTCTGGCCCTCTCGGCCTCCTCTGCTCTTTGAGCAAGGCTTTCTCTTTCTCTCTCGCCGTCAGCCATTTCGGCCTTGACAGTTCTCAACACATCTTTCATCTCCTGACTCCTCCTTTCCCATTCAACCTGTTCTGATTCAAGGGCTTCCCTTTTAGCCGTTTCATTCCTAACCTGCTCCAATGCCTCTCCAACGCGACGTTCGGCGTCAGAGACAGAGTCCTTGAGGCTAGCAACTTCGGCATCTTTTCCATTGAGAGTAGCTTTTAGAGAGGATATCTGCGACAAGAAGGAAGATTTCAACGATTCCAACTCTCTAGGAGTAATTGAGGGAATAGACCGAGGAGTCGCAGGTGGTGGTATATCAAAGTCCAGAAGAGAAAACTTGTTGGGAGACCTAAAATTCTCCCCCGGCTTTCTCGGCGAGGTCCGTCGAGCCCTATAGGGAGACTTCTGACCCTCAAGTGCACAGTTGGTAGGAACATCCATTTGGTCTGTAAAGTCTAGAAGGTTGGCGTCATCCTCAACGCGCATATATTTCCGGACAGGAGAACGTGGGAAACTGGACGATTCTGTTTCGCTAGATGACATTCCTGGTTCTTGTTTGTTCAACGCTCGTTTCGCTGATCTAGGAGTCACTTGTGACATTTGATCTCTAACATTTGGGGTAAACGTAAGTGGAGAGTCGTTTCTGAGCTTGGAAAAGAGAGTCATGTCGGCGTTAGGCACTGCTGAAAAGGTACTGAGACTTGTATGATCTCCCACACTATTATCACCGTGGACACTGTCGCATATAGAACTATCTCCTTCGTTTTGGTGGCGGACAATGCTCATGTGCTCATGGGTATTTTCTTCAACAACTGTAGCCAAAGACTGCCGTGAGGACGACTCTGGTTCAACGATTTGTTTGTCTTCGTGATTGTCACCCGTTTCAACTGCATCAGCCGGCTGATCCTGTGATACGTTTTCTTGCTCGTTCATATCAAGGTCATGTTCGGTGTAATCTTCGTATGGGTTATGTGTGGGCTCAATATGGCAGCTCTCATCAGCGTCAAAGAGTGCAGCTGGACCCTCGTCCGGTCGATCTGTATACTCAATATTTATTGAGTCTTGAAAAGGGGAGCTAGGAGGATTCTGGAAGCCGGACTGGTCATGGTGGTGGTCTTCGTGGATATCAAAGACAGGGGAGTTTCTGGTTTGTTTTGATGGTATGGTGTTTTCATCGTAGTACAAGTTATCTAGGTCCTCGGCGTCTCCCATGGGACTTTTCGATAGTGGTGAAGCAAGTGACTGAAGGTGTGATGGACGAGAATTGAGTCTCGAAGGTGACAGAGGTGACAGCGGACAGTCCATTGTCACAATCGGTATTTCCGTCGTTTGCTGTGACTTTTTTTTTGCGTTTTTACTTGAAATTCAGCATTGAGGGTATCCTGCATAGGATATCACAAAAAGACTATCAAGTGATGAAAAAGGGATGCGTCACTGATGGTCTGAGTGAATGTAATATATTTCCCAGTTTTGTCTGTCTCTTGTGTCGCATGAAGAAAAGAAAAGCGAGCTTTGCGATGTTTTGATACTTTGGCCCGGCAACCGAGTAAACATAAGATGACATAATCATGACATAAGCGTCAGTGGGGTTTACAATCAATACGGCGTTAATACTAAAATTACAGCACGGAGCAAAGCTTGGCGCTTAAATCTTAAGTAAGCGTGAACCTTATATGCGCCGCGTCTTTTTGCCTCTTGCGGTACATTTCGACCTCATCTTATCAACCTGCAAGCGCATATGCAGGGTGCGTTGTTCGTCAAATGCGACTAGGCCGGACGGCCTGGGTATCACGTCCTGCGGGTTTGATTGCAGCGGTTGACAGCGGAAGATCTTCAGTTGCTTTCGTCTCAATAAGAACACCCGGTGGGGGTCTCGAGACGAGTACCTTGTACCAGACAGTCACCCTTCTCCACCAGCAAGGTCGGCTTCACAATTTCTTTAGCCCAGTTGCCGCTTGCCCAAAGGTCAGAAGCTGTACTACGTCACCGTGTATTCAGCGGCTAAGGACCATGTTATCCATGGTTTACCGTGCCAGTCAGACCGCCACTCGTGATCAGACTTTTCTTTAATTTCTCCTGAACAGCGAACTTTCTTCCCACTTCCACAACTCTCAACTCCACCGCTCGCCCAGCAACGCACAACAAACACGCCCAACCTGCACGCTTGCACAAGCCGCCTCAGTGATTTCTGGTCTCAAGTTCACCTGCTCCGGCGATTGAGAACCAGCCCAGGCAGGACAGACGAACTCTCAACCACAAGAAACTGTCGGCAGACAGACGTGACTGAGCAGCCTGACAGACACCACCTTTTCCCTAAACCCCTCTTCGCATCAATAAATATAATTGGCCTTCGCTGGCAATACTTCCCCAGGTTTTACCTTGACGTTGATTCTTCCAAGCCGGCAGAGCGTGCAGTGTCTCGTCTTTCATCTCAACTGACAACAGGTTCTGGTTGAAAAGAGGGAACGGGGGTTGCGTGGGAGGATAGCCGTAAGAACCAGACTAGAATATATAGAGCCATGAGATTAACACGTCAGGCAAGACACCATAACTCTTCTCCTCCGACTTCTTCACGCGCCGACGACGCTTTCCCAACCGTCCAGCTATTTATCCTAGGTGAGTTGACGCGAATGGCTTGTGTCCTTAATGGCCTTGAACCATACTAACCAGCTTATAGCGGTATGTCGCTTTGCAGAGCCGATCGCATTGACCTCCATCTTCCCATATTCATGGGTAATGGTTAAGGATTTCAATATTGGAGACAAGAGCAATGCGTCCTTTTACGCTGGAATTATCATTTCCGCCTTTGCCTTGTCGGAGAGCCTGACTGGAATGTTCTGGGGAGGCCTGTCGGACAAAGTTGGTCGCAAGCCTGTTCTTCTCCTAGGATGTGCTGGTACTGTCTTGTCTCTTATGATAGTCGGGTTTTCCCGGAACTTCTGGATGGCTCTCCTCGGCAGAGTTGTTGGCGGCCTCCTGAACGGCAATGTTGGGGTTATCCAGACAATGGTTGGTGAGGTGGTTAAGAATCCGGACCATGAGCGTAAGTTAGACGTTCTGATATCATTATCTTTGCCTACATCCATATACTAACATATTATAGCGCGAGCATACGCTGTTATGCCATTTGTCTGGTCTATTGGGACAATCATAGGCCCAGGTATATCCCTTTCCCAGAATATTCCTTTTCCTACCTTACAGTAACTGCTAACTCTTACTAGCGATTGGAGGCACGTTTGCGCAGCCATATAAATCCTTCCCTTCGCTCTTCTCTCCATCAGGCTTGTTTGGTACCTTCCCTTACCTTCTCCCTAACATAATATGTTCGCTGCTACTCTTTATCAGTATCTTTGCCGGATACTTTTTCCTGAATGAAACACATCCCGACCACCAACCCCAGCATACTCGTATTGAAGGTGCAGAACAGCATACCGATGAGGATGATAATGACACTATTGGTGCTCCTCTCTATGCTGTCGCTACGGCAGGATCTACAGCTCATGCTGGTGCAGACTTAACCGCCAAGTCATATGGCACTTTCAACGAGGTTGACATGCACGAGGATGAGGAATGGTATGTCAGGCCAGATGGGAAATCCCTTCCGGCTCCGGATTCGGGTAAAGTCTTTACAAAACGTGTGACTATGCTCATAATCGCCCTGGGTATCTTCACCTACCATTCCATGACCTACGATCATCTCCTCCCGATTTTCCTTCAGGATCAGAGAGATGGACTTATCCACCACCGTCCGTCCTCTCCCCTGGACATCCCAGGAGGATTAGCCCTATCCACGCAAACTGTTGGCTTGATCATGGCCGTAAACGGAGTTATTGCCCTGATAATTCAGGCCTTCATCTTCCCTATTGTCACCGAATGGTTAGGCGTATGGAGCGTCTTCGTTCTCGTCACCATCCTCCATCCCGTGGCATACTTTATTGTGCCCTTCTTGGTTTTCCTGCCAATCCGCCTCTTATACCCTGGCATCTACACATGTCTTACGATTCGAAATCTTTTCTCCATCCTGGCCTATCCCGTGCTGCTCATATTGATCAAGCAAGCCAGCCCGTCGTACAATACCCTCGGAAAAATCAACGGCCTTGCTGCATCCGCTGGAGCAGCCTGTCGAACACTTGCCCCGCCGATTGCCGGATACCTTTATACTGTCGGGACCCGAATTGGGTTTACCGGAATTGCCTGGTGGGCTAGCAGCCTAGTCGCTATCTTCGGAGCCCTGCAACTTTGGTTTATGAGCGGTAAACCACACACAAGTGTTTCCATACTGGCTCGCCCACCTTGTTTTTCCAGACATGTGGAAACTCATCCTCCCGTCATTCACGTCCATGTGGAAGAGGAAGAGCAACCGACACCACATGAACGTCAGCCGTTGGTATAATTTGGTTTCCACAGGAAAGTCTCGGAGAGTGATTCAGAGTGATTTCCTTTATTTCTCTTTTTAATTTTCCAATTTTCAAGGAGATACCTTTATCGCACATTAAAACGATTCCTGATTCAAATCCCAGACTCGAAGATGGACTTTTCATTCTTTCGTTCAATTTATCCTCAAAAACCTGCTGGAGTTATGGTTTTAATCTACATTTCAACGAGATCCGCAGTCACTTTACGATGTTTATTGTTTTGCTTCTACAGCTAGGCAGCCTGTTAAATGTGGGAAGCACGGGTTCGGTCTCTTTATAATGTCAGATATTGTCATGCCAAATTGAATACATAATGATCTACTATTTATTAGCTGTTCCTAAGATTCTTTGATTTATATATATCAAATATATAATAGACGGCTCCGTATAATAGACGGCTCCGACGCCACCAAAACACAAGGTCAGGCAATGAAAAAGGGGAGGTCATCGATCAATATAAACACAAAATTACAATGCAGTCGTGAACCTGCAAAATTCGACTTGTAGAGACCCTAAAGAAAAGCGCCGATTCTCCCATCGTGTCAACAAGACATGCCTACCCAAGCGATCAAAATGCCAAGCTCAAATCATGACCAGCATAACTAGTTATCTGCCTTCTCCCTCGGATGAAATAGGGAGATAGGAACGCCTTTCTCTGAAGCGCTGTAAAATGGTACTCGGTTAGATGGAACAGCCAAAGAAGACCAACTATCTTGATGGGAGCGTATTAACTTGACATAACGTACCTGAATCCATGTCTCTGCCCACGGCTTGACTGCAGCCCAGGCTAACAAACTCGCAGTTGCAATGATGAATATGAAAACAACAGCCTTGTCTTTATTTGAATCTCGCTCTAGACATTATCTTAACGTTAGCAAACGCTTCACCAACCCGCCACCACGCCTCGTTATCCTCTACCGTTAACACTCACGGAAACAAGTCGTAAAAACATTCTCTTCTACTGCCCCCTTGCATTTAGGCAAATGTTGGTCTAGGCAGAACCGTCTATTGCAGTCATTACAGCTTCGTCCCCCATGGTCTTTCGCCTCGTCGTCTCCCTCGCCACCATCCGGCGTGGGCAATTTCACCGCCCCATTGCCTCGGCCGCTGATGAAGTCTCGAAAGGACAGTGTATCTCGTGACCGTGGATCTAGCGGTGCGACTGAGCCTGGCGGGCCGAGAGGTATGATAGTGCTGTTTGTCCAGCAAGTGCACTTGCAGAAGGACGTTGGTTCTAGGCAGATGAATTGCTGGTTAGTCGGTCGGTTCGGATGGAGATGATACGAGGCGGGAGAGGAGTTGACGTACTGCCTGCGGAAACAAGGGAGAGCAACGGCACGATGAAGAGCAGCAACACCTGGAGCCGGATTCCTCGCAGTATCATGGTCGCAGTTGTTTGGCTGGTTTATCCTGCTATTCATGTCTTTCTTTTGCCCTTCAATGAGGCCGCGAGTTGCGGTAAATGCGACGATGGAGGTGATGCTTATGTAAGATCTTATCTTATCAGTTAAGCTGACGATGGACGAGCGGAAGAAAACGACGAACGATAACCAGCAGCCTACATGAGATGGAAGAAGATGAATATGAGATCAAGGGATGAAGTGGGATTCAGTGTAGTTACTTGTTTAATTGGAGAACTCATGCGTCGTGGTATCTATGCTATTTTCTGCCCCGGGAACTATGGCTCCTGTTCTCCCTCTGGCGCCTCTCCTTGCCTGCCTCTCTTCTCATCCGTTTCCATGCTCGATTGTTATCTCCTCTATTCTCCCAGAACCATTTAGCAAACTCGCTATCTTCGGCAGCTTCCTTTCCACGCTTAGCACCGGGCTTGGTGGGTGAAGAAGGTAGCTCCCTCTCAGCAGAGGGCGTATCCAGCCCGTCATCATCATCATCATGTGCATCATTCACATTCACGTTAGAGTCCTCTCCCCAGAAAGTGATCTTGGTGGGGAGTGCAGTGTCCGGTGTGGGAGCCAGACTCCGCATAGACCGGGACTGCAAGTCTTGTACCGTAAAGGGAGTCTGTGGCTCAGTATAGAGCTTGTCACGAGCCTCGTCCTCACTGCCAGAGTCCTCTGCGTTGCCGAAAAAGCTGAACTGGGTGTCGATAGTCAGCTGGGGGTTTGGGATCGAGATGTTAGATGGCTTGGAGCGCTTGAATAGTGCTTCTAGCGGGTGGACTTTTGGGGTATCTTTATTTTCTTCAACGGTCGGGGCTGGAGTTTCCTGCTCGACAGCCACTGGTTTCTCAGTTTCCGACTCTTCAGAGCTAGATGTTCCAGTGCTTGAAGTGTCGGAGCCGTCTTCCTCCTCCTTTTCATCAGATTCCGATTCAGACGAGCTATCTGACCCTTCGGAGCTGGTGTAGTCCTCGCTGCTGGAGGATTCGGCGGCTGAAGACTCGGATTCATTACTAGCAGCCAGTGACTCTTCTCTCTTCTTCTTCTTCTCATCTGCCATGGGTATCTGCTTAGACACTACAGACGTAGTCTGAACCGGTCTCTCGCTCTTCTTTGGCGGCTCCTCCTTGACATTGCCCTCCCGGTCTATCCATCCTTTCCCTTCAACGTACTCTCCAGTAAGCTTCGAAGAGGACACATTCTCTCCTGTCTTTATAAAGCTTGGATGCTTGACTGTCTGCTTAAACTCGTGGACCGTCACAGACTCGGCTCCTCCCTTCTTCTTGCTCGAGCCTGACTTGGTCTTTGCCGACTTGTTCGCCGGCGGCACAGTGCGGAACAAGCACTCTGAGCCACTCGAGTACTTTGACGGCTGCTTGCTCTTCTTTGCCTTCTTCGAGTCCTCGTCCTTCTTTTTCGATCTGCCCGAAGAGGAACGAGGCTCAGTCCATCCTCGCATTACTTTCCGCGACACCGGAAGCTCGTAGCCCTCGATAACGTGGTCAATGGCCCTCCGCTTGAGAGCCACCCCCTTATCTGGCCCCGTGGACGGAGCTCTGGCCTCTGGCTCAGCCTGCAATTGGCTGCTGGGAGTAGGTCTGGCCGCTTCTATCTTCAGCTTCCTGCCCTTGAGAAATGCGCCGTTGAGCTTCTTGGTGAGCTTCTCTGCCTCGGCCTTGGGGAGAGTGACGAAGCCGTAGTTGTTCTCCGGGTGCGTCTCTATCGTATGCAGCGAGATATCAGTGGCAAGAGGGCGGATCGAGGGCTGCAGCACTGTCTCGAGGATCGCGGCGTCTAGAGGCGTGATATGCAGGCGTTTAACTGCGTCCGACATCCGCCCTGGTCGAATCTCTCTGCCGCTGGCCTTTCTGCCCTCCTTGAACCTCGTAATCCTCCTCAAGCACGCTGCTCCAAGTCTCGTCTGCTCGTCGTGGTGTATCCTAGACGTTGGTTGCCGGAGTTTGGCGCTATGAAGAAGAAGAGGAAGAAGAAGCAATTCACATGAAGCGAGTTTTTTTTACTTTTCCCGCCAAGCTCGTGACCTCCAAAGCGCCAAAACCTCGAATTCTCCGGGCGAGCCGTCTCACAAGAGAAGAGCGTCGACCAACCTCACTCCTCGCACTGCACGGCAGCTCTGCATCCACCAACATCCAGCAGCTGGCAGAGAGCAAGGCACAGTCTGTCTGCGTTGCTGCGTGCTACGTCTAGCTGAGCTGGCCGTCTCTCCACCCTAACTTGCGCAGGCCGCTTGTCGACGTTGAGGCAGACAGGGTACTTGGACAGCTCGTAACTACCGGATCTCAGAGCAAGGCGAGCAAGGGAGAGAGATACACGACCGGCAATCCCCCCCCAACAGGACAAGGAGCCGGAACAGGAGAAAGAAGACCTTGAGAGAGATGCAAACCAGCCTCTCCCAGCTGATACGGACCCTGCCGGATACCTTCTTTGCCTCCTGATACGCCTCCTCGTTCGCATGGCAACCAGTCTCCCGTTGGGAACAACGCATCGCCTGCAGCCTCCGTTGCCCTTCGACCTATCCTCGAGACACTGTTAATGCCCCCTTTGAACGCTCGGGTATAAGCATAGGGAACTTCTGTTGACCATACGTGTGCTCGATTCACTCGGAAAACACCGATCCTTGACCACCGCGAGATCAATCAAAACAAACCGCTGCTCTCTGTCCATCAGGATGGGAAACGCAGCTACAAAGGAGGCCAGGCCTTCGGGCCTCAGGCATGGACAGTCGCGCACATACCATGACACAGATCATTCTCATGCTAGAGGCGCGCAGGAGCGGTCATTCCTTGGTTTATCGAGCAATGACAGAGGCACATCGTCACCAGAACCACGGCGGGAGACAAGACAGGAACGGGAAGCTCGAAAACGTGAAAAAGAACGAGCAGCAAGGATCAAGGAGAGAGAGCGGAGTATGAAGACAGAACATGTGGATGGCGGCTATCTCGTTACTCAGGGTGTCTATGTTGGCACAGAGGACTTCAACAAGCCTATTGTTCGGCAGCTGATGGTATGGATGAATAGGTCCTTTCTGACATCTATATACATGTATGACTAACGACCGATTATAGATCGAGCGGCGAATTGCTCCGTTTTGGAGAGGTTTACAGGACTTCTCAGCTTCCTGGGCAGAACATCAGATCATGGCTGCTGCTCGAGGTCTACCTATTCCCCCGGCAGACGAGGTCCCTCCAGAACTCGAGTACAAGGCACCACCTCCAGCATCACAGGAAGACCGACAGAACGATAAACTCCTGAACACACTTACCATTCCAATAGCCTCTAGATCTCAATCCTTCAACTCTGACAGCTCAGCTGGCGCACTGAAGACTCCTCCCCAGCCGCAATTCCCGGCTGGCACAAACCCGTCTGGGTCACAACTATTCAGAGGACGAGCTAAGACGTTGGCATCATTAACCACTTCATCCAAATCGAATTCAAACATGGCACCGCGAGAAATCCAACTCCCGCACGATCCATTTGTGAACGGCCAGCCAATCGAAGTCTACCTCTACAAGGACCCCATGGAATGCCCGATCTGCTTCCTCTACTATCCACCATACCTCAACAAAACCAGGTGCTGTGACCAGCCTATCTGCTCAGAATGCTTCGTACAGATCAAACGGGCAGATCCACATCCGCCTGAACACGAGCAGCCAGGAGCAAACCCGTCCCGGGACGCTGAGTCACAGACGAACGAGTCTGAACACCAACTTGTAACCGAACCTGCTGCCTGCCCCTTTTGCGTGCAGCCTGAGTTTGGTGTAACATACGCGCAACCCCCGTTCCGCCGTGGTCTCGCTTATGCCCCAGGGCATGGCGGTCATCACCTGGGAGCAGTAGCTTCGCCAATGTCGTCGTCAAGCTCGTTGAACTCCGCGAATGCAAGCCCCGGTACGACTACGACACGACGACGTGCCACCTCCTTATCTGCGGATGCACCGGGAGTTATCACCACTGATAAGATTCGTCCCGATTGGGCGCAAAAGCTAGCTACAGCTCGAGCCAATGCCGCAAGACGATCAGCCGCTGCCACCGCTTTGCACACCGCAGCATATCTGATGAACAATAACAACAATAATAGCACATCCAGTTCGAATGGTGAGTCTAGGAACCTGGCAAATATTGGGAGAAGAGCTCTCCTACGCCGAGGCACTGGTAACGACAGTCCTACTAGCCGGAGCAACTCCACCCATGTCAATGCCTTTGCTTATCTAGCTGAGAGGCGCGCAACCGAGCGTATTGATGGCGAGGAGCAATCCAATAACTCCGCAAGGGGTACGTCAAGACGAGAACGGAGCAGAGCAGAAGAGATAGAAGAAATGATGATAATGGAAGCCATCCGTCTCAGTCTTACAACCGAGGAAGAGAGACGGAAGAAGGAGGAGAAAGAAGCGAAGAAAGAAGCGAAGAAGCGTGAGAAGGAAGCCAAAAGGGCTGGAAAGTCTGCAGCTCAGAATGAAGAATCCTCCAGCACCAATGAAAGCAGCAGTTCTGCTACCGGCCTTACTTCCACTGATGCAGGGCTTCCAGAAAACGATTCCTCGCAGGATAAAGGTAAAGGCGTAGCTCGCCCAGTTCCAGCTTCAGCTCCAGCTCCAGCTGATCAAGGGGAGCCATCATCGTTATCCCAGGCGACTGAGCAACCACCCAAATTAAGACTCAACACTCCCCTTGCAGGCGAATGCTCCGCTCCAGCAGGAACGTCTCCTTCACCCAGACCACATCCACGCTCCCATTCGAGCGCCTCGTCATCCGACATATCGCTGGTTGAATCCGCATTTGACGACCAAAAGGACACTGGCACTCCCAACGGTTCGAACCCCAACATTGACGCCGTGTTTAATTTCCGCAGCCTCGCAGCCATGGTCGGTGATGCAGAGAACGAAAGAACCGAGACTTCGAGCCAGCCGGTCCCAATTCCCGTCAGCAGCCAGGCTAGCGACTCCGGAAACTGTGACCCCCAACGCGAAAGCTCAAAGGCCCAAGACCCCCCATACGAAGGGAAAGAAGCTCAGTCGCAGTCCACGGAGATCTCTTCCCAGTCTCCTATCAGTTAGACGTGGGTGTTTATTCAACAGACCTTATATACGGCGGCAAGACCTCAACTTCGAACGGGTTTAATTCTGCCCAACTCTCCTTTTCCCCGGGTGACATTTCATCGAACCCCGTTTTGTTTTTCCTGTGTTGGGATCGTGATGGATGGATGGTAACTACGAGACTGGTATCAGGGGAGCACTTTGCACTTTTTTTTTTTTTTTTTTTTTTTCCTCAAGGATAAATTGCATAGCTCTGTCTATGGAGTTCACGGTCGGAAACTCTGTCATTCTCTGTCTATTGGGGTAGGATTTTGATCTTTTTCTTCTTTTTCTTCTTTATTATTGTTCAAAATTGTTTCTTGCACTCACTGGCTTTTTGCCGCTGGACTCCTTTTCAATTCTTTGACTCTTTTTGTATAGATACGTTTCTTCTAGCATTGCAAAAGGTCTCTCTCCTCGACGGACTTTCTACACTATTCACCTGGTGGTTGTCTGAATATATAAACTATGGCGCCTGTCAAGCCGATCCGAAAGCCAACTGGCCCGTCATGCGAGCCGATTACACGCCAGGGATGTGATATAGCTGTATTCACCGGGCCCAAGACCTCCATATGTCACCGTTGCTACCCTGATACAGGATGACACCGTCCGTCTCGCTCCAAAGGGATGGCTGGTAAGATCACCACTTATGCAGCCAAGATAAGAATAACTCGTTTCCTACTTCTCCCTCTTCGAATAAATAGTAAACAAAAGGGCAGCTCGGGCTCCTGTTCGTCTACCTGCCTTTTACCTGCCGCCGTCAGCTGGGATAAGAAGCCCAACGAAGACAGCCGGTGGCTAAAGAATATTATATACTCGACCGTTGCGGGCCTACGATGTCGCCGGGACTGAACGTCGGATCACCAGGCAGCGCCACCGACGAAGCTGCAGAGACCGAAGCAGCACGAGCATCTCAGTCGATCTCGTCGCCGTCGCTGTCTCGAAGTGCCTCCAGCGCGATGAGGCCTCCTCTGATGCCGCATTCGACCGCCTCGTCCAGCGGCAGCGTGCAGGGCGACAATACGGGCGTTGGTGGCGGGCCGGGTGGGTGTCTTTTGACTGCTTAACTACTCGCCCCTGACAAGCGTACCTAAACAGGATAACTAACATGCAAGCAATACAGGCCCGCTGCGTCATCCCAGGCCCATGACTATATCAGACATCCATCTAGAGCTGGAAAAGGAGCAAGAGGCAGTGGTACGCATCTACCATCGCCGCCCCCATGGCCGTGTTAGCGAGCAATATAGCATACCAACCAAGACACAACTCGGCAGGTAAACCGTCTCACGCGAGAGCTTTCTCTTCTGCGTGCCCAGACCGCATCCGTCGCATCAACGGCGTCGTCGACATCCACGAACGTCAACGACCAGATCGACGGTGCACCGTACAGCGCCGTAGCCTCCCCCCGGGCAACGTCAGCCTCCCGCCATAGATCGTCGTCGACTCTCAGCTCCCGAAGCATCGGCGGATCGAGCTATGTGCCCGGCAGCGCCATTGCAGCGCTGACAAGCGTCGTCCCGTCGCGAGACACCGGAGCGTCGTCCTCACGCCAATCAATGGACTTCCAGCGCCCGGCTGCCAGCCGTGAAGCGTCTGGATCGTTCCCCCGCCTGCCGGAAATGGTGTCTCCGCCGCTACATTCACCACATAGCTTGGAGGAGTCGGCAATGCGAGCTCACCGTCGGTCGGAGTCTGCGTCGAGCACGACTCGGTACGAAGAGGCTGCGCGGCATCGAGCCGAGCTGGAAATTGTCAAGCGGGAGAACGAGAGTCTGAGACGGCGGGTTCGCGAGCTCGAGAAGATTCTGCGCGAGCGTCGTAACGTGTAGCTTCGAAGCGGGTTGTCAGGCCAGGGACAAGGATGCTGCTAGACCGGGACGTGTACGCCGTAGACATGGGCTGTTTTTCAGAGACAGGGTTTCTTTTTGTGCGTTCTCAGTGTTATTCAGTGGTCACCGTATGGGCCAGCAGTAGCAATTGACCAGTATCATCACTCTTCCCTCCACCCCTGGCTATAGCCACGCCGTCCCAAGTGATATTCACGACAAGATACTTCTCGACGATAATATAATAGTAAGTACTTAATATAACTGCCAGTACCGCCTCGTTTCACATGGAAAAAGCGAACGTCATAGGTGGCTCGTGCGGTGCGACGTCACTTGTGGCGCAGGCGGTGACCTTTTTCTGCCCCGCGCGCTTGTTTTTCGCTGGCGCTTCGACTATAAAAAGACAACAACAGCAGCAGCAGCAGAAGAAGAGGAGAAGAAGAGGATTATATCAGATATACCTACCTTGACTCGACGCCGTTCCGTCTAGTCCTGAATATACCTGGATATACCTGGGTTTGCTTTGAGAACTACTAGTTTCTGCTACTCTCGACTCAATATGTCTTCTACCGTGCATGTGGCGAACATCTCGTCCAAGACCTCTGAGAAGGAAGTCAGAGATTTCTTTAGCTTCTGGTAAGTCGGGGTCAGAAGACGTTGTTTCTTACGGGTCAATGCTGACGGGATTCTTGCTTAGTGGAAAAATCACCTCGTTGTCGCTCACTCCAAGCAGCGGAGACGCTGAAGCCTCCCAGTCTGCAACCGTCACATTCGAGAAGGAGACGTAAGACAATTACCCAAAATTCCCCCAATTAAAATATGATAAAATACTAACAAGAGTACCGGATAGCGCCGCTAAGACTGCCCTCTTGCTGGACCAGACACAACTCGGCCCCTCTGCCGTTAAAGTCACCGCTGCACCAAGCATCGACGAGCTAGCCGGTGCAAAGGCCACCACTGCCCACGGAGCCAGAGACGAAGCCAACAACCATCTTGAGCAAGAAGACAAGCCACGCTCTCGAATCGTTGCAGAGTATCTCGCCCACGGCTACGTCATCAGCGACCAGGCCATCGAGAAGGCTATCAGCTTGGACAAGACTCACGGCATCTCTGCTCGGTTCAACACTGTCCTGAAGAACTTTGACTCAAAGTACCATGCTACCGATAAGGCCAGGGGCATAGATGAGAGCTACGGCATCTCTGACAAGGCTACCAGCGGCTGGCGTGGACTCAGCTCCTACTTCGAGAAGGCTCTAGATACTCCCACCGGCCGCAAGATCAGGGCGTTCTACCTTCAGAGCGACAAGCAGGTCAGAGACATCCATAACGAGGCCCGTCGTCTCGCAGACCTGAAGCATGCTTCTTCTCCGTCCCCTGAATCAGCCATGGGACAGACAGCACAGACTACTGAGGGTGCCCCAACTGCTCCCACGGGTGTCCCGGTCGGAGACCCTTCTGCTCCTAAAACCGTACCAGGAACTGCCGCCGAGACCAAGTAGTCAACGGCTCATCTTATCTTCTTGTTCCCCTCCCCCTATTTGTCACTTTCTTCTCGGCTATGCTTGTTTTATATCCTTATTAAGTTCACTTCTGTGCCTAGTCATGATATTTATGATATCTAATGAAAACACCAGTATCGTTCCAGTGAGCGATTATTATGAATCAATCAATTGCTATACATGACTGCAGTTCCTCCATACACCATCCTTCACCGTATTGATTTCCCCCCGCCGCGCCTCCAATACCATAATCCGTAGAATCGGGAATCAGAAGCCCGACGATCCCAGCCCGTGAAAATCTTCACTCAGTCTTCTGTGCTTCAACTGAGACGTCTTTGCAAGAGGATGCACCGGGTTGCTCTCCAATCCTGTCACACCTGGATCTTTACCGTGTGGATCAGATGGGTTATCGATCGAAGCCGTTCCATGGCTTGGTTGTTCTGCTTTGCCAGACCACGTTGGGATATCGCCTTGCTGGCTTCCGCCCTGTCTTGATGGAGGAGGAGACTGACGGCCTGACTTTGGAGCGGACATGTTTTGTCTTTTTGCTTCTGGTTTGTTTGAGTTCGGTGTTTGATCGTGGCAAGTCTTTATGTCGATATAATATATCAGGCTGATATCAGATATATGAGTAGATGATTTCTCTGTCTTTCTTTTGATCGAGATGTTAAAACTTCGACACTATCAAGAAACAGCCTCCAATATATAACCATTCATCATATCTATATCCTGATTTTTACCCGTATGACGTCAGTAGTTATATCAGTTCGAAGAGCAAAGCGGTCTCGCCACGTAACTGGTACCTAATTCCTATGTACCTTTTCCATGGATACGAACCCAGCAGCGCCAGGATACGTACATCTTCCTCCTTGTATAATATGCTTGCAAAGATCTACATAAAAGAAGCAGATAAATATGTCATCATATTTGAGTGCACTAACAAGGAGAAAAAGCTACTAGACATTTCGTCCTGGGATATAAAAAGAAGGAGTAGCAAACAGACAACGAACAAAGGTAAACCCCCCAAATCTAAAATAGGAACGAATGGGCAAAAGGGTCGAATAGAGTAAAGCATTCTTATCATTTTTTCTTGTGTTTGATTGGTTATATTTCAATTTTTTTTTATGTTGGTTGGCTGTAGAGAGAGAATTCTCTTCGCAAAAATCATTAATATTAGATAGATACCTACTTTAGTTTTCCAATCTTAAGAACCACCGTTTGCCTTTTCAGCTTTCTCGGCTGTCATTGCTATTTTGGTAGCTTCGTTGATCACACCTTGGATTATTTGCTGTTCCTCGGGGTTCAAAATTTTGGTCAAGTTCTCGTACAAGTGTGGTTGTTCTTGTTGAAGGACTGAGGAAGTATGTGGTTAGCGTGCACAGGAGCAAAGAGACCCGGGGGTACATACTCATTAACACATCCTTGAATAGGCCGTATGGTTCAATCTTGTCAAACGGCGACTCCAGCAAGCTAGCCTCATATAGATCATCCTCTTCCTCATCGTCAGGAACTTGACCGATTTTCAGGGCCTGCATCTGATTGTTAGTATTCAAGCACAGGTTGAAATATATAAGCTGTCTTAAGAGAGCATACCTCTTGGTGCAGGAATTCAATGTAAGCAGAGCTTTCATCAGTCACGTCAACTTCCGGACCCTCAGATGCATCCTGTTCAGACCATTCCACATCCCGACCACTCCAATCGTTGTCTCCATCCTCATCTTCATAGGGAATATCTGCGTCTTTGGCTGCTTCATCTCGCACTATACATAGGTTAGTCACGCGCTGTATGTAATATACACATAACACTCACATTTAATTGCATTTGGCAGAGTCTGGAAGAGACGAGTAACGCCCTGGAGAAGACGTGGCCATCCTGGCTGGATGCTAGCCGGAACGTCCTCGGCTCTGAGAGTCAAAAGCGCAGAAATGGCTACAATTGACAACTTCTTGTCGTGAACACGCTTGAAGTTATCAATGTTGGAGAACCAGGTGCTGAAAAACTTGTTCGTCCACTGGCCGCCTTCTAGAACCTGGAGTGAGAGGCCAGGATTATAGTAGATGGCGTTGATGACCATCTCCATAAGATGGATCAGGTATGACTTTGTCTGGGTTTCTTCATTGCTCAATACCTGCATAGCCAGGCTGATGAAGACGGGAATATATTGGTCTGCGTGACCGCGGAGATTTAGCATAATAGCCTCTGCAAGCTTACAGCCGCAAATTCTATCTACGCCACCACTCTTTTTGTCTCGGAAGATATCTTCTACCATGCTGACGACAGCCGCGAGATATTCTGGGTTTTGAGCCAAGGTGGCAGCACCATAGGTCACGAAGTTATCCAGGGCAGGTAGCATATCTAACGCAGGAATGTGAGCAATTAATGGAATATTTGAGGGTAGCGGATATACAAACCTTCGAGGTAAAGCTCCGCACCAGCCTTAAAAGTCTTGTGTATAAGCACAAATGCCTGCCACATGCTGGGAGAGATGGACTTCGCAGTAAACGTGCAGGAGTCGATGATCTCAAAGATCTCGTTATAAAGGTCTACTAAAATTAGTTATTGTTTCAGTTTCCTTATAGGAAATACTAACCAAAGAGCTTGTTCTCCAATGTGATTGTAATCACAGGCATGAGGACACTTTCGAGGTGCAAAAGAACATCCGGAGTGCTTTCAAGGGTGAGTATCAAAGTACCAATGGTCTGCAACACACCGATAGCCGTAATACTCTTGTCATCCAGTAGATCCCCATACATATCGTCTTCAGGCTTACTTGACTTTCTTTCAAGGAGACCCTGGACAATACGCATATAGGTGTCTCTGAGCTGCTCGCACAAGGCGACAGCGAAAGGCGTAAGTTCAGCAGAGAAGACCTCGACAAAATCTTCCATAACATTCGTAAGAGCATCGACATCGACTTCATTTGCGAGTTTCAGGAGTTGTTGCATAATTTGAGGAATATTTGTTCGCATCGAAGAGCGGATGATGCTATGACGGATCAATGGTTGAAGAGAAAGGGCGGCCTCCACTCTTACAGGCAGATCAGGATCAGCAAGACAGTCGAGGATGTTGCGGTAAATTGTCATGAGATTGTTAGGATCCTTGAAGTCCAGCTGCTCAAACTTCTCCAAGACATCACAGGCTCGCGCTCGCAGATATCCATGTGGACTACGGAATTCGGGAAAGACGTGGCGGACAAAGAAGTACTCCACTTGATCTGCAATGGGGCTCTTTTTCCCCAGTATAACAGACGAAAGGGTTCCGATCATCCGAAGAGCGCCCTCCTTTTCTCTTGGGAGTTTCTGTCCATCGGGCGCAGCTTCATACTTGCTGACAATTCCATTTACGAAGGTAAGGATGGAAAACGTTTGCTTCTTCCTTGTCTTTGTCAAGGATACTAGGAAATTTGTAGCAGCGACTCCTGGAACAGTGGCCTCCTCGTAGACGTTCAGCTTTCGATGCAAATACTCTGATGGATCAGTCTCAAACATTTCGATATCCTCGTCTGATAAACATAAGATAGGGAAGATGAAGTGAGCTAGGAGGTTATCCATATGGGGTTTGAGGATCTCCCAGGTGACCTTTGGCTTGATACATTCCTGGAGGTAGATAAGGGTATAGGACAAAGAGGGTCTGCTCAGCCATTGGCCCTTGGAGACCCATTTGTCTATTTCCTGAAGATATCCATTCAAGATCTCGGGAGCAAAAGTGGTGATGAAGGTCTTAGCAAATTCAATGTACTCCGTGCCACTTGATTTTGAAATTGCAGAAGGGTTACCATAACTAGGTATCATGGTTAGCAGGACATACGAGTCACGAGTTGGCGCAAAATAATCGAAAAGGGGTGGCCCAATTATATTAAAAGGCCATGCTCATGATCTTCTTAACATACCGAATGTACAGGCGGTTCAGATTGGCATATGACCACTTTTTGCACTTCCACCAGTGGGACTGTTCTCGTTCATCTGTATCGTCTGGCATAGAATTTGCTGGGGGCACCTTTCCTATTACTCTTAAGAACAAGGTACACCAACCAACCGTTGCCTGCTGACTAGTTAGGGCGATGGGAAGTTCGAACTGCACTGTTGTTAGCTAAGAACGGCCCTGACCCGAGACGGGAGCAACGAATAAAAAAAATTAAAAATAAAATAAACCACATACATATATAGCATTTTTGAAGGCCTTGATGACAGTCCTTAGCATCTCTCCGGCCTCAACACTCTCCTCATCAATGAGACGAGTCCCAATATTCAAAAGCTGAGGAAACGAGATTTCAACAATCTTATCGAAATCGCCTCGCATCTCACCGCCCTTGAATCGATAAACCCTACATATTGCCAGGAGACACTGCAGACCAGCAAAAACAGAGTTGGCATCGTTTCCATTCAATAGCTGAAGCGTTATATCGATATAATCCGGCCATTTTTCGGGGAAATCAAATTGTAGAATTTTGGAGAGGATGGGGATCAACTGAACCCGGATATTAGGAGGTGACGAAGCGAGAACGGGAATAAGTCGGTTGCGCAATGATGGTCTCTCATCCTCAGGTATCGACTTATATATCGAGTGTTCTTCCTCCGGCGCCCATCCTCGAGTGATCCTATTCTTCAGATATACAACCGCTGCGCAAAACGGCGTTAGCCTCGATCCTCATCCGACCAAGAAAGGAATTGCTCGGATCTGGTGATGTATCCTTACTCGAGAGTCGAACTGCCGGATCCTGCTCGGCTTCGAGAATATCAATAAGGGCGTTCGGGAAGCCCGGCTGGTTCTCTGCCTAAAAAATACGTGGGTTACAGGTTAGCTATCAATTCAGCAAACATCATGCCCCAGCACCCAGCACACACATATTTCAAGTCCAACTCAGCCTGTCTCCTGGTATCCCCATTGCTGTCTAGGGTCGACTTTATACGGTCCCTGAGAGTAGCGACATCCATTGCGCGCAACCTGGTCCAACGTCTATTTTTTTTTTAAAAAAAAAAAAGTAACCCTTAGTGCCGTATACGCACGATCAGGTAGACTCGACGAGGGGCTACGCAGTCCCACTGGCCTCGAGCAAACGGCGTCCGAGCAAAGCAGCCGGGGGGATATAAGGGCTGATAGCGGTGCGGGTGCGGTAGCCTGGCTCTTGTATATATCTCAGCGTCTCTCCTCGCTTCTGACGTTGGAATTGAAAGCAACGAGAACGATTTGGCGGGGACGAATTATTTTTGGCGGTGCCTTACGCTGTAATTACGTACAGTAACGTTGGGCGATCTATGCTGTGTGCGCGGTGTATTTACGGGCCCGTACGCCGTGCCTTGTATTTTTTATTTTGACTTTTATGCTTAAAAAATATATTTGGACCGCGCGAGGAAAAGGGGCAAAGGGGGGCGTTTTGATATTGGACGAGAGCGCAGCGGACGCTGAAGCTGGGATTGAAATAGACGGCTAGAGGTAGAGTGAAGCTGCAAAGATCACATCTCGCTTGATCATCTCCTGCGCCAGCTGCATCTTGTTGTACAGGGATGGATCTCCAACCAGCTTGGCAGCGTTCTTGACCTCGCGGCAAGTTTCATCCAATCGACTAATTACCCGCACGATAGTGCCCTCCATCACGTCCGTGAGGTCCGTGATGCGGTTAAACGTCATCCCTCGTGCCCACTCGTACACAACTTCCATCAGGTTGAACCGTGGTTTGCTCGCAAAGTCGTTGGCATCGTCGGAAGAGAGCACGACCTGATGCTTGATCTGCAGGTCGTTCACCCGGTCGGATATTGCTATTATAGCCTCCTTGCCGGCCTCCAGACGGGGAGTCAGGTTTGGTTCATTCTCTGTCTTCTCCTGGAAGACAAAGGCGGACAGGAGGGCTACGATTTCCTCTGGCTCGTACTCCGCCAACACGTTCTCGAGTATCAGCTCGGTGAGTACCAGTTCATCCGCTGAGTGGATCTGGTACCAGTGTCACACAATCAGCTGTTGTTCAATAAGGCACAATCGGTAACGACTTACTTCGCAGGCGACCTTTCCTTTCAGTTGAACCCGGCTGGCTTCGTCGACGAAGCCCAGATCTTTTAACACTTGGATTCGTTGTTCATAATCAGGCAGGAGCTGGAGATTTTGATCTGACATTAGCAGTTTCAGCTGCGAGATATTTTCCTTCACCTGCCATTCATCATGTTGCATCTCAAACTATCCAGCAAGTGTCAGCCCATATCAGCTTATATCACCATCCATTAGGATTAGGTCTTACATGTTTGAGGAACTGTGGACATTGAAGGCATGCACAGGACTTCGCAATCTTAACCTGTTGAGCCCTTTGCTCCAGCACTTCCCTGACCGACATATCCTTGACTCGTTCCCAATCAAGCTCATCCCAGGCTTTGTCTGTCCACGATGCACAGAGTTTTGAGAACTCCTTATCTGCCACTTTCAAAGCCTCTGAGTGAAAGTTAGCTCAGTCTTATGGATCTCATACATCAAGCAACGGACCTTTATGGATATTGAGACACCAGGTTGGGCCTCCAACCCGCACCGTTGTACCTGTCACACACTCAAGATTGGCGATTGGTACTTTACAGCTCTTTAGAACCATGTTCCCAGGCGACGTTGGCAACGGGTGGAAGTTCTCCCTGAAAACGGGCATGTACGGAAGTATATCACTGGGAAACCTTCGAGGCTCAACTGGACCGATCTCGAAAACATTCAAGGATGGTATAGGTCCACCTGTGACGCCCTCCTTCATCAGTACTCCAGCCGTCCTGACTCCATTCTATAAGTTGAAGAGTTAGTTTAGTTACGTATTCGGACGTATAACATTTATTACTTACCTTTTTAAATACAACAAGTTGCTTTGCGGCGTACATACGTTTGCCAACAGGAGAAGCCAGGAGCAATGTATGCAACTGAACTGTTAGACGTTCATATTCAACGCTCGCCTGGTGGCAGGCCGCAAGATCAACATCGCAGACCGCACAAGGCTCTCGCTTGATCTTTTCCAAACTGGCTTCAGATAGCTGCACTTGTTTCTCATGTTCAGGGAGAAGTGCCTGGGTAGCATTCTCACTAAAACTTCGCTTAATCATCTCCTCTATCTTCAATGCTTCGACACGTAGAAGATTCAGCATCATGTTATACGTGAGTCTGATTGATAGTCGGAGCTTCGTCACGGCCGGATGTGACAATAATAACTGATCCGACTGTGTCGAGACCACGGCGACCAGCCCTACCAGCCATTTGGGTGTATTCGCCAGCTAGAAGATCTCGGAAGCCTCTTCCGTCGTGTTTCCGATATCCAGAAAAGACCACTGTGCGAGTAGGCAAATTTAGACCCATTGCAAACGTCTCTGTTGCAAATAGGATTTTCACAAGACCCTTTGCGAACAATATTTCGACAATCTCCTTGACGATGGGAAGAAGGCCACCATGATGGACACCGACACCACGACTAAGCAGTTCTCGGACTTTGCGGATCTGGGGGAGATCTCGATCTTCAATCCGGAGACGAGTCAACGATTTTTCCACGACCATGTGGATTGCACTCTTATCTGCTGCGGTGCAGAAGTCCTGGTTAGAAAGAGAATCTGCATTCTCTCCGCATCGTTTCTTAGAAAAGACGAAAATGCAGGCCGGAAGCATTTCACGTTTTCGGAGATATTGCACCAGGTGTACCCATATATTACGGTCCTGCGCAGCAGATGTCCTACCACCACCGCGTCCAGTCCTTGCAATATTGCCAATTCCTCGAGCTGATGGTTGTCCTCTGCCTCTCTGCTGAGGGCCACCTCGCTGCCCTGTACCGCGTTGACCACTTCCACGCTGACCCTGGCCACGTCCTCTCTCCGGCTGGTGCCCTCCCCGAGCTGCCTGAGCCTCTGCTGCTTTCTGAGCCTTGACTTTATCACGTCCTGATAGTATATCATCGGCATCTTTCCAGCCTTTTTCGATGAATCGTTTCTCCGAATCAACTATTTTGAATATTTCCTTTCCAGCCCACAGATAATGTTCAAGTGGTACTGGTCGTTTCGGTGTTGAAATAACATAAATATCTTTCTTCTTCGTCCGTCCCACCCACGAGGCAAACTCGTAGGTGTTCGGTACAGTGGCAGATAGAAGGATGAGGCTAACGTGTTCCGGCAGCATGATGATGACCTCTTCCCATACCACTCCTCTTTCCAGGTCGTTAACATAATGGACTTCGTCAAATATGACAAACTCTACGTCACGTATCAAATCGGCGCCTCGATAAAGCATACTCCGAAGAATCTCCGTTGTCATAATCAGGCAGCTTGCTTCTGGGTTAATCTGTATGTCTCCAGTTAAGATTCCAACATCATCAAATGTACTTCGGAAATCGCGGAATTTCTGGTTACTCAAGGCTTTTATAGGAGATGTGTAAATCGCTTTAGTCATATGCTTATTTGCCAGAGCGATTGCATATTCTGCAACCACTGTCTTTCCGGCGGAAGTGTGGGCAGCGACAAATACGGAATCTCCATTCTCCAAATGATACACTGCTTCCTTTTGAAATGTGTCCAGTTCGAATGGATATTCCCGAGCCATATCAGGAACAAGCTCGTAGAAATTGGTAATCTCCTTATTAACATCCACAACATGAGCCCACTCTTTGCGAGACTTTTTCAAAGAAGACTGAATGAGTTGCCCTCTAGGTTCCAAAGCAGGGTATTCCACAGGTAGAAGTGCATCGATATCTTCTTCGTCCTCACTGGTTGAGTCTTCGCTACCTTCTTCAACGCCTGGTTTTCTAGTAGTATCTCCAGACTCCTGACTCGGTAGATGCTTCAGTTCAGTTTCATCTTCACCTTCAAGTGCTTCGCGGACTTCTTCTGCTCCCTCTTGGCCAACTTTGTTCCCTTCGGTTTCAAACTTGAGCCCACGAGTGAATCCAGGGGGTATCTCTAATAAACCGCCTTGAGAACCGAAATTGATAACTCTGTCAAGGCCTGATGATTTCTTTGGTGCACTTTCCAGAGTCTGACCTTCATCCAGCTCAACTTCTGCATCAATGGCTGAAATGTCATCGACTGCTTCAAGGCCACCTGGTGCGAATGGGTAAAATCCTGCAGCTCCTCTGACAAAATCTGCACGACTCGCCGGTTTTCTTCGTAAAGAAGTAGAGTTCTTTGCCGTAGCACTTCCAGCTGGAACAGTGACTTCATGATAGCCGGTGACTTTACCTTCGAGGCCTTCACGGTTGAACCTGATGATGGTCCGACTCTGGGTCGGCGCAAGCTCAAAGAGCTTCGAGTAATCTGTTGGATAGTCCCATCGTCTGGTATGACAGGTGTAAGCATGGTATCAATCCTTCGGGGATATATTGCAACTCACCTCTGAAGTTTGTTCAGCCAGTGAGTGTTGAAGCGCGGAGACGGTATCAGAAACTCTCTCTCCAGCTCAGCTTTCAGCTCCTCTGCCGATTGGATCCTGCGGCTACGCGGCTTTTCTACTGCATCATCTTTAGCCCATGCATCAAGGTCTCCATCTGAATCTATAGCATCCATCTTTATCTTCAGTTGCTGCATAGCAGCCTCTAGACCGTCCGACATGGCGGCGCATTGAAGTCTATCGTCCCTATAATTCCCAGGCGAGCCAAAAATACCAGCCCTCAGTACAATATCGAGCAGTAGCACTTGTTTCTTTAAATTCACACCGTTCTTGTTATGGGTTTGCAAGCCCTGGAAGACGCATTGATAGGAATTCGCCTTGTTTCGTTCACGTGACTGGTTTTCAGCCTCAATTTCGGGAACGACATCAACCAGAGAGCCCTGATTGATATAATTTAATTGGCAGCATTTATTATTCATCTAGCTGGTAATTTTTACAACAGAAGACACTGGACGTGTGGTTGATATTTTCCTCCCCTAACTTTCTCTTCGATATTATTGAAATTGGTACCTTCCAAGGTGTATCAACTATTCCTCAAATTTCCAGGCTGAAAAGACGTGGAAGGCGAGTTGAATTAAAATTGTTATATATCTAGTTATATATCTCGATAACTCATTATCATGATTCTATACCCGTGAATTTTTCTCCTCTTCATGGCGAACCATCCAACTTACGACTCGCTCGAGCAACGGCTTCTTGGGACCTAATTCACAAAACCACTTAATAAAAAAGCCATGTTTGATACATTGTGCGGAACTTTCACTAACCTTGCTGTGGAGGTGGTTCCTGAGAGCGCTCCTTTTTCCGCCCTGTAATGCACCCAAATACGGTAGATGCGCTGGGAAGGACCAGGGCGACGGTCTGAGCAATAAAGAGGTAGATCGCAACCATATCCGTCTCGGACTGGATGTGGTTCCGAGAAACAATAAGTTCCGTCCAAAGAATAAGCATCCAGCCGAAAAACAACATCATGAGTGCGGATCCTAGCGGTATCTGGATGTACTTGTTGAGATACCACGGCATCTTCTTCCCATCCTCTCCATAATGGCGGTAATGATATGCAGCAATACCTAGCTGGAAAACCCCAATAAGGAAAGAGAATGCCAACATGGAATCGGCGATCTGCCAGAGCAGGAAGAACGTGTGCCAGCCTTTAGTGAGAGTTCTCCATCCGAAGAAGAAAAACTGGTATTCTCCGATGCCTTCTGGGAGGTTTGTCTTCCAGCTCACCCAGGCGGAAACCGTATTTAGGATCATGACACCCGCTGAGCCTAGCGTGAGAATAATCGTGGTGATGAGATTGCCCGATGAGATGCCGCCGAAATATGTAATGGCGTAGATGAAGTTGAAGTAGACCGGTAATAGAGCAAGGGCGTGAAGTTGTTTTGCTCGTACAGCTTGGTACCATTGGATTTGTGTATACCAGTTATAGGCTAAGAAGCCAATGTTGCTGGGACAATTGTTGCCAATTCCAGAAACAAACTGGGCTGGAGTCAGCATCATGCTGGCGTAGAGCAGCCACCTGTTGGTGACACTGAACCCCTGTACGACCTGGTTTGCGGTCATTTTGACACAGAGCCAACTCGGGGTAATTGACTAGCTGCAGAGAAGCCAAAGCAGGGGATGTATTAAGCGGCCAGTCACTATAAAGGCTATCTGTGAGCAATGATTTTAAAACACAAGATTTGTAGACCAAGGTTCGTGCATACAGTAAGTAATTAATTGGACAACGGTATGGAGAAGTGAAGCAGCGTTGGCGCCTATGGTCTCGTCAACGCCATCCTTGACCAAGGGAAGGTCAAGCTTTTATCCCCAGGCCCCTGAAGAGCCGCATTGCGTCCCATAAAGAGCGAGGCTGAGCTCTTCGTGTCCTCCATTCTTTACTGGCTGCGGATTTGCCGAGACTGCGGCTTAAGCGACTGAAGCCCTGTCACCAGACCATATTGCTCGTCTGTGCCTTCGCCCCGTCCCGATATCGTTTGTTAGCGCAGCCATAAATAGAAACGAGCGGGAAGCCCTCAACTGCGAAGCGAGCTGTTGATCTGCTAGAAACTTGTAGTATGCTTGGCTCATCTTAGGGTTGAAAAATGACCAGTCTGGGATTGATGCAGCTAAAATTTTGAGAACCTGGCTAGTTGGCGAGCACTTGTCGTTCGATAGGGGGTATATTTGCCTCTTGATAGTTAGTTGACCCTGCAGAGCCTCGCCTACCCTTGTCAGAGCTAAGTAACTCACTAAATGTTACATTCTTCAAGCGAAAAACCAACAAGCTTCTGTTTTTTGAACTTACTTCCTGATTGTATCGGACCAACAGTTAAATGAATAAATCAGATTTTATTAGATTAATGGAACTTTTAATTAGCAAAGACCGAGCAAGCATGGATCAAGACACAAAATGATTGGTAATTGGGTAGAATCGCCGTTGAATAAATAATATTCAGCCTCAATCCTACCTTTGTGTTTGTTGTTAGTATGAAAAAATATATGAAAAACCCCAGGCCGAACCTATCCTAGCCAACTCAATGCACCAAAAAAAGCACCATACAAAAAGAAAGATAGGGAGAGAAAGATGATATCGAACGCTTGCTGAGCGGGGAAAAAGAAAGTAATAAATATGGAATCAGCAAAAGGAAGGAGGCTTGGGAAGAAGACAAAGAAAAAAGGCCGTAGATTAAACCAAATAACAACGCCTATCCAAACTGACAAGTTGGGTATTTTGCAAGCGGATTTGGGTCACGGAGCCCCTTTATAGAGTATAATTATAGCTGAGTGAATAGGGTTGAGCGAATTTTTTCAGCTGTGGTGCTTATGCATGTTACCTGCAGGTAAAGGCTGGGAAGGTCTTGCGATCCGGAATATTGATATGGTATTCGAATATTCCCTGCACCGTGCCAATATATCTTCACCAAAAATTAGCATTTCGATTCGATAAAGGAAGGCAAAGACAAAGGGAAACTCACAAAGTCCGCCCATCATCACTCCATCCGACACCAGCAGTTCCCACACCCCATCCCGATTCTCGACCGCCGTAAATTTCCCCAGAAAGATTTCGGATCCTAGGGCTTGCTCGAACGTTATCGAGCTCCAGCACACGGCGGTATTGTTGTTCCCATTCACTGAGCCGCTGGTTTTCTTCCACAGCGGCCTGTCGTTGGGCTCGTAGGCGCTCAGCAGCTAACGTAGATCTTAGTTCGGAGTCCATTGTATTACGTGGGTCGAGACGCTCACCAGGGACACGAGTGGGCCTATCAGCACGGCGGGGGATTGACCGTGAGCGTGCAAGACGCTGGCGTTGTCCTGTATTGGGCCGGCTACTACTCGACGATGTATCCTCCGGCTGCTGTGCTCTAGATCCACGATGGGTAGAGCTAGACGGGCCGGTCTGTACGCCATCTTCGTTAGGTGATGGTATGCGCGGGAAGTCTTCCTCCATACTCAAATTGTCTGTTTCATCGTTAGGTGCTGGGACTTGATTGGGTGAGTAAGGCCACCTCAATGACATGCCTGGGTGAGGGATTAGTGCAGAAGATGTATGCACGGTTGGACGGGATGAGCTGTCCTGAGATAATATGACGGAGTTGCGTCTCCGAGGGGCTCCTGTTCGGGGCCTTTCGGAGTTGCGAGATGGCTCATTGCGGGTTATATAATGATCAGGAGGTGGAGGAGGGGGCGGTGGGGGCGGCGATGCGCCTAAATACTGACTTGAGGACCGCTGCTGGTAAGAATAAGAGGGATTGGGCAAAGGACTAATTAGATGCGGTAGCCTCTGAGGTCCTTCTTCAATAGAAGACGCCCAGCGAGCTGTATTCAAGAAATCGATAATCTGTCTCTCGCGTGCAGTTAGGTCACGGGCCAAACTATCTCGCATTACTTGTGACTCTGCCTCGATTGCCGCTCCCCGACGTCGGTGGCGGTTAGAGTCGATGGCTCGCTGTAATGCTTCCTCGGCCTCATTTAATCTGGAATGGGTTGCACCATTCTCTGGTCTGTGAATATCACCATCCAAATCCAGGTCTGTTTCCGGTTTGTCGAGATTGTCTGTTTTGACACGTTCAAGACTCGGCTCGTCTACATCGAGAGTTATAATTTGGCGCCTGGAAAATCCCTGGCGGACATCCGCTATACCAAAGCGTCCGTGATCTTCAACCCAAACTAAGAGGTCCCAGGGCTGAGGAGAAAACGACATGCAGCGAATAGCACCGCCGTCAAAGCATGATCTAGAGGATCTAAAGACGCAAAAGATATCCTCACGTCCAGATCTTCCATCTGGATCATCATTGAATATGTCTTTGACGCTAAATACCGTGATAACACCAGCCTGAGACGCAACAGCACAAAGGTGGCTCGAAGGAGAAAATGCAATGGTGAAGCAACATCGGTCGTCATAATGAGGATCGGAATCTAGCTCCACGCTTCGAAGGAGTGGCCAGGACCATTCTCGGAGCAGTTTACCACCGTCGGTTGAAACAGCATTCTGTTTATCAGAGGAAGGAATGGCTCGGTAGAAATACACCCGGTTCTCATCGCCTACTGCGGCAAGCAGCTTTGAGTTGGGGGAAATGATGGCAAAGTTCATGCATACGGGATGACGGATTGTCTCGATAACTTCCATTCGCGGTAGTGAGAAGATGCTCACGGTGGTATCATTATTGCTATATTGAGAAGTCGGCTTTGGTATCCTGATAGGAGTAAAAAGGAGATACAGACTGATGCCAGGCTTACCTGAGAACTGCGATGTCTTCATCGACGAATTCATCTCCATTAGCTGGAAGACGATGAAGGGTCACAGAATTGACGATACTTCCCCCAAGCTCACGAACGCTGAAATCTATACAACCAGTTAGGATTCCGTGTCAGGGGGGGAATACAATATATACGGACAATGCTCACTAGGTGGATAGGGGAGTGCCCTCCTCGATAAGGAGGAATCAAAGTCAAGCGGAAGAGGAGAGTCAACATCGGCAGGCGAGCCAGGCACAGCAGACTCTGACAGAGGAGAGGACGCATCCAGTTTAATAAAGGCACAATCTCCACTCTCCGTGCCGCCTACGCCAATCCATCCATTTCCGGCGGTAAGGCATTTTGGATCGAAGGGGACAATGGTGAGGATCTCTCTCTTGCGTGACGAGATGTGGATGGCGTATATTATTCTCCCAACGGCTACATATATCCTATCTGGATCGGCTGTGCTGATATAATGGCGAAGCTGGTGGTGTCTAAACCCAGGAGAAGGCAGAAAAGTCAACAAAACCGGTTTCTCAAAAACATCGCTTCTACACACTGATTGCAACAGCTGCCAAAAGACCAGCACGTAAAAAGAGATATGATCACTGACGTATTGGGGATTTTAAAGGGGAAGAAGCGTCGGCCGCCGGGTAAGAGAAGGGCTTCAGTGGGTCGATGCCTGCACACAAATAACCGCCGTTAGCAAGGGCCTGCAAGTGGCCAAACGGTCCGCGGGGAGACACAGCTGCGGGAGACGCACAGTAACTCGGTATCAAGAGCCATAATAGACGGACGGATGGAGGCACATAGGTTGGTTGTCTCGCCGGTCTAGGCAAGTCTCTCGCGTGCCAGGCTCGAGCTCGCAGCCCGCGCAAACCAGACTCGTGGGCCGGCTAGATGCAGCAGCTGGGCAAAACAATCGTCTGCGAGCGGCTGTCCGTGTCTCAGACCGGCCGTCTCTCTTTTTTGTCGGCTGTCTGTCTTTGTCGGGTTGGCGTGGGTGTTGCTTGTCGCCGCAGGTGGTTGCTGCGAAGGCGATGTGAGGTGATGTGCGAGAGGGCAAAAAGCTCGATGACGGAAGCAAAAAAGAAAAATAGAAAAAGAAAAAAGCTGGGGAACTTTCCTTAAGGGGAGAGGCAAGCTTGGCCCGAGCTTTTTTTTTTCCAATTTGGAAAGATCACGTTATAATCACGTGTTGGCGACTAATCTGATGACTAAGAAATGAATCAGCGCCAAGAAGTCGTTGCTTTTCTGCCGGTTTCTACGCGACCGCCTTTCCCGATACGGCCTAGCCCGCTTATCGTCCTGCTGGCTTTTTTTATCTGAAAATTTTTCTCGCAGCTTCGAAAAAACTTCTTCATCTCCAACATCAACTTCCAACCTCAACCCCGTCACCACCGCCATCAATCCTTTCCTCTCTCTCGCGTTTCCTTCGCTTCATCTATCACGCCCCTTCACTTCTTGTTTGTGTTTGTTTTTGCTCCTCTTCACACATAATGCTCGCCTCAAGAATCTGCCGCGCGGTAAGTAGCAAGCTGCAAGGGAAGCTCGCAGGAGCTCGAAAGAAGCCTATTGAATGCATTTTTTTTTGACTGACATTTAACCGTCTAGGCTCCTCGCGTGCCTACACAATTCATTCGCTCCCCTGCTTTCAGAGTCCCATCCACCTCGTTCAGACGATGGAACTCGACAGAGGGTGGTGAGGAGAAGGTCAAGGGCCAGGTCATCGGTATTGATCTTGGTACGTCTTGATTCCTACTATATGTGATGGAATTGATTATAGGATTGTCAATGGCCATGGGCTAACAATTGGCTACTCACAGGTACCACCAACTCTGCCGTCGCCGTTATGGAGGGAAAGACCCCAAAGATTATGGAAAACTCTGAAGGTAAGCCAAACAGGCGGTGTTTCATCTGATCACTATACAAAAAATAAAGAAATATGAACTAACAATCTATATAGGAACAAGAACCACTCCATCCGTCGTTGCTTTCACCAAGGATGGCGAGAGGTTGGTCGGTGTTGCTGCTAAGCGTCAGGCCGTTGTCAACCCAGAGAACACTCTCTTCGCTACCAAGCGATTGATTGGTCGTAAATTCACCGACCCAGAGTGCCAGAGAGATCTGTCAGAGGTTCCTTACAAGATCGTTCAGCACACCAATGGTGACGCCTGGGTTGAGGCTCAGGGCCAAAAGTACTCTCCCTCTCAGATCGGTGGTTTCATCCTCCAGAAGATGAAGGAGACCGCTGAGGGATACCTCAACAAACCAATTAAGAACGGTGTCGTCACTGTTCCTGCTTACTTCAACGACTCTCAACGTCAGGCTACCAAGGATGCTGGTCAAATTGCTGGTCTTAACGTTCTCCGTGTCGTCAACGAGCCCACCGCTGCTGCTCTTGCCTACGGTCTCGAGAAGGAGCAGGACCGTGTCATTGCTGTCTACGATCTTGGTGGTGGTACTTTCGATATCTCCATTCTCGAGATTCAGAAGGGTGTGTTCGAGGTCAAGTCCACCAACGGAGACACCCATCTCGGAGGTGAAGATTTCGACATCACCCTTGTCCGCAACATTGTCCAGCAGTTCAAGAAGGACTCTGGCATCGACCTCTCCGGTGACCGCATGGCCATCCAGCGTATCCGTGAGGCCGCTGAGAAGGCTAAGATGGAACTTTCTTCCGCTTCTCAGACTGAAATCAATCTCCCCTTCATCACTGCTGACGCTTCTGGCGCCAAGCACATCAACTCTAAGCTCACTCGATCTCAGCTCGAGTCTCTCGTTGACCCCTTGATACAGCGCACTGTTGAGCCAGTCCGAAAGGCCCTCAAGGATGCTAACCTTACTGCCAAGGATATCCAGGAAGTCATCCTGGTTGGTGGTATGACCCGTATGCCCAAGGTCACCGAGTCCGTCAAGAGCATCTTCGGACGCGAGCCTGCTAAGTCCGTTAATCCCGACGAGGCCGTTGCCATCGGTGCTGCCATCCAGGGTGCTGTCCTTGCTGGTGAAGTCACCGATGTCCTGCTTCTCGATGTCACTCCCCTTTCACTCGGTATCGAGACCCTCGGCGGTGTCTTCACCCGCCTCATTAACCGCAACACCACCATCCCAACCAAGAAGTCTCAGACCTTCTCCACTGCCGCTGATTTCCAGACTGCCGTCGAGATCAAGGTCTACCAGGGTGAGCGTGAGCTCGTCCGTGACAACAAGCTCCTCGGAAACTTCCAGCTCGTCGGTATCCCACCAGCCCACCGCGGTGTCCCACAGATCGAAGTCACTTTCGACATTGATGCCGACTCCATTGTCCACGTCCACGCCAAGGACAAGTCCACCAACAAGGACCAGTCCATCACCATCGCTTCTGGCTCTGGTCTCTCTGACTCTGAGATTCAGAACATGGTTAACGATGCTGAGACCTACCGTGCTCAGGATATTGAGCGCAAGGCCCTCATTGAAGGTGCTAACCGTGCCGACAGTGTCCTGAACGATACCGAGAAGGCCCTCAAGGAGTTCGAAGACAAGCTTGACAAGGCCGAGGCCACCCAGATCACTGAGAAGATCACCGCTCTCCGTGAAGTCGTTGCCAAGTGCCAGTCTGGTGAAACCACCATCACCGCTGAGGAGCTCAAGGCCAAGGTCGATGACCTCCAGACCTCCTCTCTTACCCTCTTCGACAAGATGCACAAGGCCCGCCATGAGGAGAGCCAACAGCAACAGCAGCAACCACCACAGGGCGAGGAGAAGCCCAAGGATGGAAGCAACTAAAAAGTGAATCAGAAAAAATCCCCTTGATACCATCAATTGAATTCTTTGGAGTTGGGACGCTTTGTTAGTCATACGGAGGGTCATGAGGTCATCGGATTTGTGCCTCTTTTATGTAAACTAACATTTGTACTTTTATAAATAACGTGTGTAATATTAGAAATGAATGCTTAAGACTAATAAAATACCCCCTCTCACAAGAATTTACATATGAATATATAACCACTTTGAAATTTCATTGCTGCTCATTAAATAATTATGTATATGGGGAGATAATTAACACCTAAATACAGCCCACTATCCAATCGATCATGCCATAGCAAAGCCAAACAAGACATCCATTTCCACCCACTGCCGTCCACACTTCTTCAGGTACCCATCCACAACAGATTTGACGGTGTCAAACCGTGCCCTATTCCACGCAATAAGTGCTAAGATTGCCTCTCTCTTTTCTACAGAGGCCTCCTTCTCCGCCATTCCCTTAGCTTTCTCGACATCCCACAATCCAGCAAAGTAAAGCAACTGGTTATATAGCTGCTTTTCACTATATTCATAGTGCATTCGACCAAGACAGCCTTCAGCACGTCCACGAGGCCCTAAACATCGTTGTCCGTAAACGCTCATTTGACGAGTTCGGTTGCCGCAGGCAGAGTCGTCACAAACGAGCCAGCCTTCGTAGTACTGTGCGGTTTGGGCTCGGATTTGACTTTCTAGCTGTGCAACAATCGATATGACTGTAAAAGCTTTGCCGCATGAAGGTTCAGGGCATAATAGACCGTTGGGAGAACACATATCTCGTGAGGCAACGAGGCCCTCGAATGTAGATTTTTTGCGGCAGAAGCGGCATTGGAGGGTTAGCCTGGCAGCTTTCTCAAATCGAATTGAGTCAGGGATTTGTGATTCAAGAGCGCATAACTCTGTTTCTTGCTGGCCGTGTGTGGCGTTGCTTGAGATTTGGTATTTTCTAACATCCAGACCGAGACATTCAGCGAGTCGCGCAGCGTCTGTACCGGGTATGGGGGCACATAGTCGCTCAATTGGAGGGAATATCTGTTTTAGCAGATAGAATTCGACGTCTGGCTTCAACCCAGAATCTGGCTTGATGACGTCTTGCAGGGTGTATGAGCGTTTGGCTGGTTGCAGCGAGGACGTCTCGGAGTCACCCAACGTTACTATATAAGAGATAACATCATTTGGGCGTACGGATTTGCCCCTCGCGAGCTCACGCAGAGCTACCTGTGCGGGAGGCATGGTCTCCTTGTTTGGATATTCATCTGGCTTTTTGGATAGTTTCTATAAGATAAGGTTAGAGAAAGTCTACCAAAGCATCAGTGTAGAATAAGCTTTGGAGGCTCGACGTACCGTATAAATAACATATTTCTGGACCGGAATCGCATATTCATGCATCTTCTGCGCTAGTTCCCGCAAGTAATCATGGATCTTGTTAAGGACGACTTCAACATCATCCCCGGACAAGATCTCATGCAGTAACTTAGTGGAAACCTCCTTTGACAAAGCACAAAATTCTCGACGTTTCATATCCAAACCCTTAACTTCGAGACGTTCAACGTACTTCCCATCTACCTCTGACAAGTTAATGGCGGCATATTTCTTCTTTGCGTGCAGAAGAAGCCTCTTGAACACATTGTCAATATCAATTTCAAGAAGTCTATATCTTTGGTTGACCAAACGTTTGAATTCATTTCCAACTTTGAGTGCCTCCTGAACATTGTCTGTGTTAGTATTGATCATGACTGAATCGGTATCACCGTAGATAACTCGAAGCTGGTTGGTCTCTGCAAGTTCCTTCGTGTTCCGTAAAATTTCTCGTCCTTTGAATGTCGTAAGCATTGCAAGAGGCCGGGCATAGAATCGTGATTGTGTGTAACCCAAACATCCGTACATGGAGTTCGCTGTTAGCTTCAAGGCTAGCTGTTTGGTATCCCAAAGAGCAAGTTCTTCGGGAGTAGCACTTTTGTCTTTCATCAGCTTTTTCACTTCTCTTCGACGGCTGACAAGAGTTGCAATGAGACGTGGTAAGATGCCTAAGGGCTGATCACTATCTGGGACCTCTGGCACGCTCTCCTCTCGGTCATTTTCAGACTATGTACTGATTAGTATACGTGCTCACTATGACAAAGCCAAAATACTTACCGATGCATGCCGATCTACCGTCGTAAAGCAAATATTAAACTCCTGGATGATACTGGGGTACAAACTGTTGAAATCCATGACGAGAACGTGTTTGTCGTAAAGACCCTTTTCAGGTTCAAAGACCAAGCCACCCTTGTATTTCTCCTTCTTCTTCTTATCTACTCCCTCTTCTTCTCCTTCATTTTCCTCGACCTTAATCTGGTTTTTGTGTCCATATTTGTCCGGGCAAATATATTTACCACGGTAAAACTCATGAAGCAAAATGTACTCATTTCGTTCAGCTCTAGTTCCGCTAAGCGTTCTAGACCAGGAGTTTCCAGCCAGATTGGTAAGAACTTTGGTTAAAGGAAGCATCTGTAGCTTGAGAACAAGCGCAGCAATGAAGTATGTATCCGCTTCGCAGTGACTGAGGAAGTTCATCAGCCCTTCTTTACTAGTTGCCCATGTTTTGAGAGCAGCTTCAGTGTCAACTTCTCGGCGCTGATCACCCTCGCCCAAGTAAAGTTGGCACATTTCAGTTAAGGTCCACGACTGACATTTCATCATCAAAGACTTGCCCATATCATTAGCAACATCGCAAAGAAGTCTTCCTGCTAGAAGTTGTCTGTCACTGAAAAATCCGGAGCCTTTTGAGAAATTTTTGGGCCATTCGCCACGCTTTAATCTGCCAATTCGGTGCCATCCAGGGGTTTTCTTCTCCTTCAATCGGCTGAGAAGGACGTTAAAATCCACCTCTTGAAGCTGATGGCCCATGATGACGTCTGGGTCAATTTTTTCGAACAAAGCTAAGAACTTGCTGAGAAGAAATTGTTCGGTTTTTTCAAGCATGACAGTCCCACGCTGCTTTTTAGCTTCGGCTTCAAAGCCAAGGGGGTAAGAGAGGTTTGAAGGCCTCATAACAGTGAAGGTTTTGCAAGGCAGGTTTTCTGGTGGTGTGGTATCACTGAGGGAAAGATTCTCATATACACGAGCCGAAGCAACGATAATCTCTTGCTTATTCTCCTTGACATTCAGCTGTGTTCTGAACGACAAGCTCATGAGTGTCAATGGGGGCGTTTCAATTTCTTCAGAATCCGGGACTAATGAAATTTCGGCAGGATTTGTGACCTCGCACTCAAGCTTGCACCATGAAGCTCCATTGACCGCTGTGAAGTCTGCATCTTCAATTTTTAGCCAGCAGGGACCCATGATATTCTTCCACAAGACGAATTGCTCAAAAAGGGCAGTATTCGTTCCGAAAACATGAGAAAAGGTCTCGCCTTTCAATTCCATCGGCAAGGCAGGTTTCGTGTAGGGATACATCAGCTTTAGGTATTCGGCTTCTTTAGGAATGTCCGGTAACTCAAAGGCGTATTTCCGAGTGCAAGGTTTGATTTTATGCATCTCAACTTTCGATCTGCTCATGATATTATCCACCTCCCCATAGACATCTTCCATGTCAACCTCCTCGCTGGTAGATTGGCCACGGACATATTTGTATTCTCGGGGTAGGAAATATAGTTTCCTAAGAATATTGTCGACTTTCACAAAAGCACTCACGTAGCTGTTGTTGGTCTTATTCTTGACCTTTCCGAATAAGCAGAGACTACCGTTAATTTCAGTGTAGTCCAACCAGAAAAATTTCAAGCTACCGTCCTCCTCTACGGCTTCCTGACAAGTGAGTTTTCCGAACCGTTGCATATCCGTGACTGAGCTGTTGAGAACATTCAATTTGTTCGTTACATCGTTCCAGGAAGAAGGATTGATCATTTCAGTTGTGGCTCGAGCCGGAGAAGAAGCCATAGGATCATCATATACTTCTTTTTTGACCTTTGGAGGTGGCCGCTTTCCAACCATGTTGACACTTGGTGTATTCGCACTATGATCCGCAACAGCTTCTGCTACATCTAGCATATCGTCGTCCCCGTCATCGTCATCTTCTTCCTTTTTGATTATGACTTGTTTCGATCTCGACGCACCGGCTGTCTTCCTCTCCACTGCACTAGCAACTGGGGATGAAGGCAATGGCTGCTCACTCATAATGGCATCGTCGTCTCCACCATCAAGAAAAACATCATCTTCAAATTCCGCATCTGCTGCTGAATTATCTTTTGGGTGTGGGCTGTCATTCTCCTGGTCGATCTCGGTCTTTTTCACTCTTGGTTTTGGTTGAGCTGGAGGGGAAACAATCCGTACTTTTCTCCTCGTCTCGGACTTTACGGATTTCTTGACAGGAACCTTCAGAGGGGCTATATTTGTCTCGACGTCACCTAGAATATCCGCAAGAAACGCTTCGTCATCGGCCGTAGCAACAGGCTAAATAACCAGAAATTCGTTAGACCCGATCAATGTCATATTTTACAGAGAAATAAAAGTAGAGACACATACCTTTGGTTTCGAGGTCTGCTTGGTGAGAGTGGCCGTAAAATACTTGTTAATCCCATTGTTTATTTCCTCCTTTTTCTTGTTATCTTCTTCACGTTTCCGCTTAGCAGCTTTCCCCCTAACTGGCAAGCCATCACTGTCACTGTCGCTAGCTGCAAGTCGGGTATCATCCCACTCTTCCCGGCCGTCGTCTGCATAGCCCTCACCATTATCATCAACTACAAAGTCATCGCGATCAAGTCGTTTTCGGACAACCTTCTTATAGCCTTCCTCGTCAACTTGTTCGTAAATATCTTCGTCTTCTTGGACTTCGTAAGTTGAAAGTCGCTTCTTTCCAGAGGCACGGAGAGCCTTTAGCTCTGCTAACGTTTTGGCACGAGAAGACATGATGCAATTGAAGGGCTAAAGCAGAAAACAAATCATAAAAACGCAGTGTCGTTAAAAAAAGAGTGTCGACTATGCGAACACTCTGGTCATGATACCTCGTTGTCCCTGGGAGAAAAGACGAGCCTCTCACAAATCTCGCGTTGTGAGATCCAAACCAATTAACAAACTTTAAAAAACCGCGTTTCGCGTCAGTTTGACGCGCGCAAATAGAAACTTTTAGTCATGTGATAAACTTTATTTTGAGGTTACTTTGTCAGCCATTTAAGCGAATAATAATACCCACGACTCGAGGTCATTATTTTAACAGGGAGCAAAAGCTTGTCTATACATGGGGAGTAGAAGGTGCCGAGCGAAATGAAAATGAAGACAGTCATCTACGTTCTCTAGAGCACACTTAAAAGAAGTTGGAGTAATCGGGGGTTTGACATAATAGGTTTAGAGTCTACCACAAAAGACAGATATTTGACATTCGTTAATACATTAAAACCTCATGACCAAACCACCCGTTAACGCCCAAAGCCCGACACCATTTTTTTGTTTTGACTAGCTTAGTTCATCTGTTTGATAAGGGCGTTGATGTTCTCCTCACGGTTACCAGTGTCACCACCCTCGATGAAGTGCTTGAACTTGCGAGTGCGGAAACCACCAGTAGGGTTGGAGAGCTTGAATGGCCACAAGAAGTTGCTAGCCTGCTTGAAGTTGGGGCCGACAGTGTAGATCTCATGGATCAAGTCTTCCATGCAGACAATGCCGTACTTGCCAAGGTTCTCCTCAATAAGCTGGTTGTCGGTAAGGGCAATACGCTGCTTGTTGATCTTTCCGTAGCCACGCTTGTAGATGAGTTCACGAACGCTCTTAAGGTTGGGGTAACCATAGGCAATGTATGGGTCAACAATGGTCAACATCTCAGCGGTAGCCTTGGTGAGCTTGACGAAGACTCCGTTGTTGATCTGGAGAAGACGGAGAAGCTGCAGAATCTTGCGAGGCTTAGGAGCAATCTTGTTGATACTATACAATTGTTAGAATGCGATGTTATGTAGCTGAGAAGATAAATCGGTACTAACCCCTTGATACGGACAACGAAGACGAGCTTGGGCTGAGCAGGGACATAGAGGGAACCCTCCTGCTTGCTCAAACGAGCCAAGCGGATCTTCTCACGCTCAGCATCACGGTACTCCTTGACATAAGACTCGGCACGCTTGAAGATGACAGCACGCTTGCTCTTGTTGGCCTATAGATAACGTTCAGTCAGTATAAACGTTACCCATCAGATATGATACAATATATATTGTTTTGGGTTGCAACTTTCAGACCCGAAAGATGGTTAAAGTGAAAGCGACAGCATCGACTTGAAGGTCTAGTCGCATCGTTGGTAATATCATCACAAGACAAAGCAAGAAATATAACAAGGGCGCGGGAGATGCAGAATAAGGGTGTCAAACTAACCTTGCGGCGCTTCTCAAGCTCAGCGGTGCGGTTGGCTCTGGCCTTCTCCTGGCTCTTGCGCTTCTTCAAGAGGGTCTCAGGAACAAGGACCTGGTCCTGGGTTGGGACAGTGCTAAATGCCCTATGTCAGTATAGTCCGATCCACGTATAGTGAAATAATCTCGCCGAGTGTAAGAACTGCAGCTTATAGTGCCACATTCTCAACTGAAGGCGTTTGATCAAGACTCGACGAAATGTTTTTAATCAATGAAGACTTTGGATTGTTCTGACAGTAGGTACTAGCATATCCAGGCATATATGGATATAGCTTTCCCTATTACTCGAACTATCGCTAAGTATCCTCAATTGACAAAGCCCCATGCAATTACTGCGCGGGATAACTGTGCCTGTCTATTTTCGCAATCATATGGACAACCAATGCCTCATGCGAGGACTGGTACCCAATGCGAGTAGACCCGACAATAAATTTCAAGGAGAAAGTTGTGACACCTTCAGCCTCAATGCCCCATTAACGTCTCCCTATAGACCTTCATTCCTTGCTATCTGTAGACCACTCGGAAGGGTTTCTGAGGGAGCGCCGGGATGGTTCGAGCTGGTGCTAACATCAATCACATCTAAGTGATACGGTGCAAGCGACTCCAGCGAGAAGGACGGACTATAACCCAACACTACCACACACGGGACTGAGATTAGTGAACAGGAAAAAGAAGGGAAGCATACGTAGAGGTGGGAGCCATGTCGAAGGAGTCTGGTGTCGACTTGTGCTGGATTTGCTGGTCGAAAAAATGTCGTTGAAGTCGCGAGATCAAAAAAAGAAGCAGAAACGAAAGTTTTGAAGAAGTTTTTGTGTTTTGTGGAAAGAAAAAGACGCTAGTCCTGGTTAGTCAGATTATATCACGTGGATGTTGGCTTTTGGACTTTTAGGGCTAATGTTGATGAGTCAGCGGTTTTATCGATAAGACGTGGAAAAGACCTTTTGAGGACAGCGAGAGAGGAAGAGAAGAAGACAGCAACATAGCGACGAAGAGAAACCCGACAACAGGAGGTCACAGGCAAGTTACGAGACAATAAGGGCTCGCTATGTCGTCCCGTCGCGGTGTTGGACTAGGAGCGTTTGTGAATAAGAACCAGGCTTCGCAGTCCTTTGCAACACATGGCGCCAACCTGAAGTCAACACATGCGAGCTCACTCCAGACACAGCTATCAGTTTTCCAGTCCCTCCTACATACCTTCGCCCTCGAACATGGAGAGACTATCAAGTCAAATCCGACCTTCAGAGCAGAGTTTGCCCGCATGTGCCACGCCATAGGAGTCGACCCACTAGCAGCCAGCAACATCAAGGGCAAAGGGAAAAGGGGACTCGGCGAAGGTGGTAGTTTCTGGACGCAAATACTCGGCGGAGATGTCAACGACTTTTACTTCGAAGTTGCTGTCAGAGTAGTTGAGCTTTGCAGAGAGACGCGCGCAGAGAATGGCGGCCTGATCAGTGTTGAGGCTTGCCGGAAGGTGGTAGGAGCTGGTAAGGCTATTGGAGGGGGATTAGAGGTTTCCGAGTAAGCCCGCTCTCTTGAGTATGTGACTTATGTCTGATATAATTACTGACATCGTATTAGGGATGATATACTCCGTGCTGTCGAGTCTCTGGTACCACTTGGATCCGGCTTTAAAGTCGTCAAAGTTGGGAGCAAGAAATTCATCCGGTCTGTTCCTAAGGAGCTTAATACGGACCAAGCTACCGTTCTGGAAGTCATCCAGCTCCTAGGTTTTGTAACAGTGTCTATGCTACAGTTAAATCTACAGTGGGAAAAAGCGAGATCAAAGACGGTTATCGGTGACCTTCTTGCGGACGGTCTTGTCTGGGTTGATTCACAGGCTGCAGAAGCGGAATACTGGTCTCCCCAATATCTACAAGATAGCGGGTGAGATGGCCGTATATTTAACTTGAAACTGGAAGCATTTTCCAACTTAAGAGTTGGCTGATCTTCTTACTCACACACGAGCATATGTCGCCCGTGTTGAATACCGTTGGTGAATCGCACCCACAGCTAAATACCAGGAAGACGGACGTTACCTGCTGCCAACCTGCGATTGGAAGCAAGCCCTCTACCAGCACCATGGTATAGAAATGTTCAATCCTGAAGCCTAAATATTTATCCGGTCTATTCGGTGTCCATTCAAAGTTATGGATGGCCCGATGATAGTCGGTTGGGCCTCGAGGACGAGAGTACTTATGTTTATAATCAACATTCGATAGTCGAACATTGAAGAGTGAACCACTGAAGTTTTGATTTATTTAACCTGCCATTGATCGTTTATAATATGCATGGACATTTTTGAACCCTGCCAAATGGCGTAGATGCAGACTCAACCCCAAGCATTCACTGAAGACAGAGCCGGTACACATAAATAGGAAAAGAAGTAAAAAGCAGACAAGAACCATTAAGAAAACGAAAGGAGGAAATGATGCTGATACAGAAAATCATAAAACACATCATTTCATTAACTTCTCGGGTGTCAAAAAAAGGGGTTTGATGATAGAAGAAGGGGGTTAGAAGGGATAACTCGTTCATGCTCTGATTGCTCCACCAAGGGCACCACCGCCGAACTGCTGGTTACCGGGCCTTCTACCTTGTCCTCCAATACCACCGCCACGGCCACCACCACCTCGCTGTCCGCCTCTGCCACCTCGTCCACCACCTCGTCCGCCATGACCCTGGTCACGTTGGAACGCATTGGTCATACCTTGTGTTCGTTGTTCAAGGGTCTTCTCGTTAGCTTCTAGTAGAGACATGGACTTGTCTGCAAGAGTAACGATTTGACTCTGGAGTCTAGAAAGCTCAACGCCCTTGCGGAAGACAATGGCGTCGTTAACTTGGTCGAGGGCAGCGCTGAGTTCTTCGTGAGAAATCATGCGGCTGACAATAGCAGAAATTCTTTTCTCGGAGAGCTCAAACATGGCGGCGAGGGTGCTGATGGAGAGGGTATCGTAGAATGGAGCGTAGGTGAACAGATAGGTGCGTAGGCCTTCCTCTTGGATTTGCTCGGCAAGCATGATTTTGATCTTGTCGGGCTGGGCCATCAAGTCCCAGATCTTGATGGAGTTGAGGGTGGCCGAGGCCTTCTTCCAGTCGCCAGCTGCAAGGAACTTGGCGCTCATGATAACACCATCACGCGTGTTCTCTGGTGGGCCGGTGAAGACTTGTCTCTCGTTGTAGTCGAGCATTCTTCGGAAAGTCTTGGAGATGATTCGGCGCTTAAGTTCGGGGGAGGAAGAGCTCTGGGCCATCAGAGGAACCTCAAGGAACATACTAGAGGTGAGGTAGATGCACTCGAGGAGCTCGAGGTTGATGTGCATGTGGAAGGGGAGCTGGCGTTGACGCTCAAGTTTCTCCTGCTCGGGGGAGACAGAGGAGTATCTCTGCATGATGATCCCCTGAGCCAGAAGCTCCTTTTGTCGTCCACTTCCGCAAACCTCAGAGAGGGTGTTTTGGGCTTCATAGACAAGTCCGGCACGGAAAGCGCAGAGACCAATCTGCACAAGCGTCCGGTTGAAGAGGATCTGTGTGCTAACGTCAAAGTTGGAGATGTTCTCTGTGAGATGGGACATCAACATGAGGTCTCTGGCGCGGTGGTATTTGTCATGAAGGGCGAGGAAGTAGATCTGGCAGAGCATAGCACGAGCTCTGATGATGCCGTCACTGTACTCGAACAGATAGTTACACAGGGTCTGTACCAAGGCGGTGACATATGTGCTCTTTGCTCGAGGGGTGATCGATGAGTCAAGCTTCTCAGGAACAACCTTCCAGGAGTTTTCTTCCATTATGTTGACGACCTGTGCAGGCTTGAAGTAGACGTGCTCTAGTCTTCGCATCAGAAACTCTGTTTACGCTATCTTGTCTGGGCTCGGACTTCTCGATCTCATTGAGGTTCTCAACGTAGATCAAGGCACGAACAATGTTGTTGTATAGTAGCTGCTCGTCACTGAGTCTCTCAATGTACTCGGCTGTGTGAGGGTCAATGTGTTGCAGCGAACGGGTGAGCTCGTCATCTAATCGTTCAACCAGAGAGACAATGCTTCCAGGCACCTTAAGTACTTCACCAGGGGCCAGCTGTGGCATCTTCTCATCGTCTTCCCACTCTTCAGCACCTTCGGTGACAACATACGAAGGATTCTCCTCCAGGGTCTGGAGCAGGGTGGTAATCTCTCGCTCGGCGAGTTTCCATTGATCAGTACTCAAGAAGTTGTTTACCGAAGTGGTGCTGAGGTCGAAACGAGTAGAGATGAGGGTTAGGAGGATTCGGATAGTGTGGTATGGTGTAGTGGCAACCTCAAGGAGTTTTTCCATAGTTCGGATTTGCTCCATACGGTCGGTGTTTTTCTTGCCTCTAGACTCCACCACAACACGGAGGTGCTTGAGAATGCTCTCTGGGGTATACTGGAGAGCCTTTCCACCACGGCCAACGGTCGAGAATCCAGTGTCGTCTCCAATAAGAACATCCTCAACTCGGGTAGCGGCACGGGGAGCACGCTCCACAACCACAACTTCTTCCTCCTGGTCTGGCTCCATGTACTCCTCCTTGTTCTCTCTGTACTTTTCGATCTCGGTGACATATTCCTTATTGTTTTTCTTTAGACGCTGCTTGACAGTATTGAAGCCCTTGGCGTTGTTGGCGTTCATCTTCTTCGTGGACACTTTCTGCTTCGCAAGCGTCTCGTTCATGAAGTCCTCCAGATCGGCGATAGCCTTGATATAGACCTTTGGAATAGGCCCAGACTGGACAATCTTTGCAGTCTGCCTGTTCAGCTTATCAAACTCTACACCACCAAGTCAGTTTTCTCTTATCAAGAGATACCCCCCCGCAGTCCACGGCCAACCCATTCTCTAGACATACCTGTAGAAATAACAGCCCAGTCATTGATTCTCTCCGCATTATCAATGACCTTGATTGTATGTTCCAACTCCTCTAGCCTCTTATCCTTCGCACTCTTCATGACCGTAACCCGCTCCTCATCTTCGTCCGATTCAACGGCGGCCTTGGTCGACTTGTAGAACTTGCTCGCACCCTGCAGACCGCCATCTTCATCGGAATCACTCTCCTCCTCCGAGGACTCCTCCTCGCTGGACTCCTCTTCACTAGACTCCTCCTCATCATCTTCCGGCTTATCGCGATCGCTGTAGAGCTCCTCCTCGTCTGAGGACGAGCTTTCGCTGTCACTGCCGCCGTGGAAGAAACGAGACATCGTGCTGGTCAGGACAGGCGTTCGGGCTTTTTGTTCCGTGTGCTAATCTCTCGACAAACCTGACGGAAACGCTGGAGATGTCTGTGGTCTGGTCGGTGGTTGTTTTGTTCGCTCGCTCGCTTTCTTTTCGCTCCTCAAAAAACGGCAAACTCGATAAAAAAAATCTAAGCGAGGGTGGCTAGCCCGATCAGGTTAGCGCGGGTCATTTAACAGCCCAGGCATCGACAGAACAAAATCGCCAACGACAAGTCCAGCATCCAGCATTTGATAGCTGTTGATGACTGTTGAGCACCTTTGATCGTTGTTACTTCCTTTACTGATTGGGAGTAGCTAAGCTTACTCCTGAAGTTGCTCTCAAGATGCTCATTGGGGCTTTTTTTTTAGAGTGCCTACGTCATGAGGTCATATTCATATACCCAAGTCCCGCGGGCTAAAGAGATGTATCTATAGCAGACATCGTCTATCATGACAGGACGGCAGTTGATCCAGTCGTTGGTGTCTAATACTGGGTTGTGGCATATTCTATCACGATAGCTACAAGAAACCAGACGCTGTCGGATGCTTTTCTGCAATTGCGTGCCTCGCATCTGCAGTTTGCAGAGGACTACATTGCCCACTTAATAGATCCATAAAGTATGGCTAGCGGGTAGAACAGCGTGGGGCTATTCATATATCCATACTGCTCGGCTGTATACAGAGGGATCGAATCTTTTATCACAGAGCTTCATACTGAATAACACCCATCTAAGCGGACGCCACCGTTTACATGAATGGCAAAGGGCACAATCATAGCCATTTACGTCAAAAATATCCTTATTATCGCGAAAGATGAGAAGGAAATCATTAAGACGAAGAAAACGGTTACGACTATATATAAAATGAAAAACCTGGAGACTATATATTAGAAAAAGGTCCTGGGTATAGAGGTTATTGAGGAAGGGCGCCAGATAACGAAGACAGCCCTCAAGCAAATATTCTATAAATGCTCGAAGAGTTTATAATAAAGGATTATAAGTATACGGTAGATAGAGCATAGAATAATATCCCCTAGGTTACCAATATCCGAACACGAGCTTTACAGATCAATAATTAGGAAGCTAATATTTGCAACTATTACCTACAGATCTGATACTCTACGTGTAACGGCACGGCATAGCTAGTACCTTACAGAGCTAAACACGTACTGAGATCCCTCGCCAGAACTGCTGAATACAGAGTTAGATATACGAAACAAGACATTAGAATCGTTGCTTACAATGATGCATCCATCCTACAGGAACCACCGTCAGATTCGATGGACTAACTATAGTCGAAATCTCACAAAAGTGCCAACAGGATCGAATTCGTTTATTGGTTACAAGCCCAGATCGGAGACCCGAAAGGCCTACCAATAAAGCAGCGCGATTCTTCTAAAACTCAGCCAATTCGACCTTAGCAAGGAAGATATTATCGTAACTTCTGTCTACTGCCTTTTCCCCTCGAACATAAGCTGGCCTGGATCCAGGAAGTTAAACACTAGGAATAATTTTCAGAAGGGAGATTCTGCGATTTATTTTTGGCTCATTTTACCATTTCTAGCTGGAATTAGGTGTCAGAATCAACCTTTCCTTGGCCTCTGTATATCCTAGTTACTAGACGTGAGCATCTTCCTGTATATCTACAACTAACTACACACCCAGCATATCTTTCCAGTGTAGACTGAGGCGAGTCGATATAATATGTTATGAGATAACATAAACTACCAACTCCAACGCTATGGTTAACAAGTTAGAGATATAGGAACAAAAAAATCGAAATTCAAAGTAATGACGTAAATCAAAAAGTCAAACAGTAAAGCTGATAGAGAAGATGAAGCGAAGCAAAGTGGGAATATAGAAAGTATAAGCCTATAATCGGTCCATCAAACGGTTGCATCCTTGTTTGTGGATGTTGTTATACTGGAATAGAAAACCAAAAAAAAAAAAAAAAAAATAAAATAAAATAAATAAATAAATAAAAATAAAAAAAATAGAGAGAAAAAAAGACGACCACTTGAAGGTCAAGAGATATAAATGTTGATAAAAAGGGGAATAATAGAACGGAATATATAAAGGTAACGAAATGGAAAGAAAAGAAGAAAACAGGGGCCATTCATATCTCCTCCTTTTTTACCCCTCTTGTCTCATTCGTTTCAGGAGAGGTATCATTTTCATCCACCAATACCTAACCAACATACACAGAGCATAGCATTCCCTTATATTCATCATCAGTGACAATTCTGTTTTCGTCCTTTCTCTCATTCGCCGAAGCTAATTGCCTCATCCATCGTCAACCAAGTTCGATTTAATTCAACTTGTTTATCCCAATACCCTAAGATCCAAGTTGTGCGGGCGTTCCATCGCGTGATATAAGTGTGTTCTGTTTGACGCGCGCAAGGCCATTGGCTATGTGCACGTCTATTGTAGATGCCTTGCGAAGAGTATATAATGTTTGATGAGTGGAGTGGAGAGGCAGGGGGCGGGATGTTGGGTAAATGTACATAAGTGAGCCAAACCCGGATTTCAAGGTCCAGGGATAGTTAACCCTTTGCAGAGCCCGATTGGGTTATTGGCTTTTTAGGGTGGTTGTTTGTTTGGGGCTGTACGGCCAGTTGAGGTGAGTTGTATCCCCAATTGGTACAGTTGGAATAAAATAAACGTGAAATGGTAGCTGAAAAAATTTTCAATTGAAACGTTCAATCAGTGCCACTGGTTCTGGTTCTGGTTCATGAAGCCATCTCCCAGTGCACCATCTTCGAGACTGCGGATGAAGTCTCTATTTCGGCCGTGTGAACCGTTGTTTCTTGCCCGGCTGGTTCGTCTTTGACCTGGACCGGAAGCATCTGGGTACCCGTCTGCTGGAGGCGGGTAGTACGCCGGGCTAGGCTGGAGTCGAATGGGTGAGTTGGGGTCCAAGTGGCTAGCTACCCGTTGTATAGACGGTGGAATACCACTCTGCTGTTGATCCATTGTCGTAGCCCGTTGTCGACCCGCGCGCGTAGTTGCTTGCGCGTATAGGTTCTGAGAGGAGCCATATTGTGTTTGCTGCGGTGGCATAGACATATGGCCAGACTGCATGATGGGCATTTGATAACCTTGTTGGGTAGGATAGGGTGGTGGTGGGCCCTGTTGCTGCTGAGGCTGTTGCTGTGGAGGCGGAGCCGGGTGTTGCTGCTGTTGCTGGGAATTATACATGTTGTTGTAGACTGGTGGAGGTTGATTGTGTGGTGCGTTGAATTGGTTCATTTGAAGAGCATAAGCAGATTGAGCAGCAGCAGCAGCGGCAGAGTTTGCCTGGGCTTGAGCTGCTTGTGCTTGTGCAGCTTGGGCGCGTTGCTTGGATGCTGCTTCTGCTTGTTGCTGCTGTTGAACTCCGGGAGCAACAGATTTGTTAATGACAGAGGATTTAAGGTGGACCGGAGGGACGAATGGTTGGGTGAACTTTTGCTGCGTGATGAAGGGGTGGAGTTTTGCTTGCTGCGGAGACCATCTTTCAAGAGGATTGATGGATAGGAGGCCGCGAACAAAATCAATGAATGCCACGCGGTTATTCATTTCTGTTGACCAGAGTTAGTTACAATTCACCACAACATGCTGGGGCAATACACATACCTCTGTCAATTTCGGCCTGCTTCATGTTCTTCCGCGGCATTGCGTATGACCTGATGATTTCTGGCAGTGTAGTAGCCTGGAAGTACTTCTTGCTTGGCTGTTCCTTGGTGTTATGCTCGCGAGAATATTGTTCCATGCTCTTCAATCTAAAACTCTGTCGACCAAACTCATCTTGTGTCTTCTCAAAGAATTCACCAGCCTGCTTCCCGTTCTCAAGCATCCATACTGGAGGCAAGCCTAGCATTTCCGTTATTCTAGCTATTTGGTTGTACTCCGATGATCCAGGGAAGAGTGGAAGGCCGAGGAAGAGCTCAACAACAATGCATCCGAGGGACCACATATCAATTGCCGAGGAGTATCTGCAGAGACGTTAATAATTAAATTATAAAAGAGTACATTGAGTAAGAATTACTTACGGCAATCCTAAGAGAACTTCGGGTGAGCGGTAAAATCTAGATTGGATATAGGTATAGACAGTTTGTCGTTCGTCACACGCAGACCCGAAGTCGATAATCTTGATTATGGGGCTCTCGAGGCTTTTTTTAATATGTTAGTCACCAATTGTTAAAGGCAAGGAAAGCGGCAACGTACTTCTTTAGCAAGATGTTCTCCGGCTTTAGATCGCAATGTATCAGTCTGGCTTTGTTCAAGAGTGCGAGCCCATTAAGCAGCTGCTGAGCGAACACTCTCACGAGTGTGGTACTCAATCCACGGAACTGATTCTGCTTGATCAACTCGTAAAGATTAACGCTGAGTAACTCAAACACTAAGCACAGATGTTGGCGATGGATGAAGGTGTCCTTTAGTCGAAGTAGATGGTGGTCATCGTTCTTGTCAAGTTTGCTGCTAATCTGCTAACTGTTAGCTGCAAGTCTAGTCCGGTAACGTTCGCATCGACATACCAAATCCAAGACTGAAACTTCCATCATACTCTGGTTGAAGTATGCAGTCCTATTCTTGATGACTTTCACGGCAATGACTTCCTGCGTCTTTAGATTTTGACACTTGACTACTTGTCCAAAAGTTCCTTGGCCGAGGACGTCGAGGATAAGGTAGCGGTTCCTAGTAGACAAGGAGTCAGTATGCTGCTGTGGGCTCGACGTGTGCAAAGTGTCAAGAGCGTCGTACTTGTGGTTTGCTTCCTCGCTGCCGAGAATATCGTTGACGTAGAGAATATAGTCGCTATCATCGTTATCGTAGCCATCGTTCTTGACACCTTTGCTCGGCTTCGTCAGCACACGTCGAGGGTTCCTAGATGATTCGTATTTGAAGGTCGGGTTGCAGATTCGATACGTTGCGGGTAGATGTGTTTGTGAGGGCTTGTAGAGGCTAGTGTGAAAGATAAGATAAAGAGATTAGCATTAGCGTCGATATAGCGATAAAGGTGAGCGCTGCGGGGAAGCATACACTGATAAACCCTCCCTCTGGGTTTGCTCGTCGGAAAGCTGGCTGCTTGTTGATCCTAGGTTGTAGCTCGCTGATGCATTTGATACTCTGGAACTTTGGTACGGGACCCCTGCCCATGCCGACACTCGGACTCCCGCCAGCTGACTGAGGCTGATACGAAACTGGGCGATGAGATTTTGAGTCTTGGCCAAATGCGGAATGGAGCTGAAGGGTCGCAGACTGCGGATAGTATCTCTCCGGGCTCATATCGTTGGACTGCATGGGGGGTAGGCGTGGGGCATGCGGTCGTGAGGGTGCGGCTGGAGATGTGTTAGTAAGATGATTGTCAATGTAAGGGTTTGCTGCGTGTTCAGGAGGAACTGGTTTATGAACAGTGAAAGGGAAATGGTCATCATTAGACCTAGAGTGTAGTGATGGAGGATTGCTGAAATCCCAGTCCACCTTTGCCGAGATGGGAGGCGTTGAGGCCTCCTCTCGCACGGTGATGGCTATGGGCTGTATCAACAGTTCGCCAGCGAGGAGAGGCAGAGAGTGAAACCGGCGGTCTTGAGGTGATTGAGAGTGAAACAGTGCTGAGAACATACATGGTGGTGATTGATATGATTGCGAGGCAGAGTAGTTGTTTGTACTGGTAGGCGAGGGATGCGAGCTGGACTTCGCGGTGGGAGGGAAGCCATATGTATTCTGGGCGGCGTTGGGGCTCATGTTATACGGCAAAGTGGGCGAGATGATGTTCATGGGAGAATATTTGCGGGCAGCGGAGGAGGTTTCTTCATTAGCGAGGTATTGCGACGAGTTTCGCTGGTGCGTGGGCGGTCGAGCAGAGTACTTGGCTCTGTTGTAAGGGTCCGCGTCTTCCATGTGGGTGTCATGATCCAGATCGCGAGCGTTGGGCGTGCCAGAGCCGTTGCCGTTGCCAGAGGGTGAGGGGACCATGGAGGTCGGTCTGAGGCTTGCAGGCACCTTGGACACGCTGCCAGGTGGTTGATACGTCTCGTACGTGAAACCGCGAGGAGGCTGGTGTGTCTGTCCGTGGTCGACGGCTGAGTGGCCAGTGTTGGGAGTGAACTGGCCAGGCTTGTTCTCCGGTATATCGGAGTAGGTTCTGCCACTGTGGTTCCATATTTTCTTGCTGCCCGAGAAGCTGCAATAATAACAACAATAATACTCCGTATCCGCTTTATCAACCTGCCTGTTTGGATTGCTGTACGTGCTCGTTCGCCTCTTGTTTACCACGGGGGTGGCTTGACGCAAAACGATTGCCAAACGGGACACCGGCCTGAACTGCCCGTCCGTGTGTAGTGAGCAGAAGCAGCAGGGCACCTTGATACTTTGTGTATTTCGGCAGCGGGTATGTCTGCGAGTCGGAGGAGCCGGCGCTGCAGAGGCGTGTGTTGCGACTGGGGGAGTATTTTTAATATGCTAAACGGGCGGGCGAAATGTCTAGCAGCGCATCATCGAGCCGGCGAGACGTCGACAGGCTCACAGGCAGAAGTAATTGCAGTATCCACGGTCACTTGCCCGGCCATGCAGCAGTCTCGTAGACCTGGAGCAGATATTACTGGGTGGCCGCTCGATGGTTTCGACGGTGGAGGAGCAAGACGGGCGGCGGTGGCGGCTGGGGGGTGGGATGCGGCCCCTGAAAAAGGACACAGCGGACGGGCGGCAGGATGAAGAAGCCCTGGGCCTGTCAGGCTGCTGTCTCTGGCTGTCCGTCTGTCGAGTGCTGCTGTCGCTCTGGGAGGTGATGGATGCGATGAAGTGGACGAGGACAGGCGAGGGAGAAGTTTGAGGTTGCAAGTCTGGGAGTTGCGAAGTCAGCACAGGCACTTTTCCTCGTGCAGCACACATCAACGTCGACGTCAACGTCGACATTATTAAACATCAACGCCTGGCTACCACTTGCACCCGCGCCGTCTCCTGCGTTTACTTGGATAGACTGGCCTTTTTTTTGTAAGTTTTACGGGGTAGTGATGGCAGTGACGATGGGTACAGACTGACAGGGCTTGCTACTACGGTGGAGAGAGACGCAGCTTGGGTGTGCCGTCGATGTACCTAACTCCAGCCCAAGGACGTTGAGCTGCCTGAGCAAAAACAAAGAACGAGGAGGAGCAACAGGGGGACCGTCGGTGGCAGGCTCGGTGGTGAGAAAGACGTCTGTCACTTTGCTCGCCTCGTCGAGTATAAAACACTCCCATTTCTACGGCTTCCATCTGGTCCTTGACAACCAACCCCCATGCAACGGAGTAACAATTAAACGCATCACTAACAGGCTTTTTTAGACCTTCAAGACCTCCAAGGCTCTGGTTGCAAGAGAGAACAAGTACGAAACCATGGCTCGGGCTGACTAATCTCGCATATTTAGCAAGCTGCAGCCTGGAGAGCTTCGAAGTGATAAAATGATAGCTGAGAAGTGAGAGATATGAGAGAAGAGATAAAGAAGAAGGAAAGTGGAAGCAAAAGAAGGAAAACTAAGGTCACTGATGGCATGGCTGGTCTTTACTGAGGACTAACTCCGGGTAAAAAGCTCTGGCTGGTCGTCGAGGCGATATATCAAGCGTAACGGCTCGCCTCTCACAGGAAGCTAGGCAACTATCTACATAAACCCGATAATACATCCATATATTGCCAGCTCCGCTCGACGATGGCAGAGCTAGACCAGGATAAACTCCAGGACGGCTCGTCAGAGACCGCCACTGATGCGCCAGCTGAATCCTCACAGCAGGATGTTCAAGGGACTGACGAGTCGAGCCGCCTGCGAGCTCTTGATGCCGACATCAGAGATCAGGACGATCTCGAGAGAGATATCACACGCCAGGTGTGTTGGCCGTTGGACATGTTTCACCCTCCTGACCCCTGGGCAGACCTTAACTAACCCTGCTCAATATAGGCCGACAAAATATTAAGGGAGCAGGCTAATGAGCGAGATATACGGCGCCTTGAGCGTACCAGAAACGAGAAATTGTACAGTCTTGCCCGACTCCCGATTCAACTCAGCTGTACATGTTGACAAATATATATGGTGCAGAAAGATCGAATCTCAGGTTCTTAGACTTCATCAGCGACTATCTGAGCCCATCGGTACTTCTGCCCGAGTAAAGTACGAGGCCGATATCAAGAATGCGGAAAGTCGCTTGACGCAACTTGAGACGGATCTAAAAGAGATACAACAACGTATCGAAGAGCGCGGCGGAGAAGAGGATGCTGCCGGTATCAGTGCTGGACGTGAGGAAGGGTCGGCGGCTGGGAGACTGCCCAACGAGTCACGGAGGGACTATCTCATACGCACAGGCAAGATTACTCCCTTTTCGCGCATGGGTGGGGGTGCTGGAGATGATGCAGGTACCACGTTGCAGAGCGCTTTGTTCGAGGCGGAGGATGAGCGAGATGAAGAACTTGCGCTTGAAGCTGCTGGTGAACAGCCCGTCGCTTCACATCGGCACTTGATGAAACCTGGGTTTGATGATAGCCAGTTTGACGAAGCTGTCCGCCCGACAAAGAGGCGCAAGGTAGCTGGTGGCTCTGGCGTGGTAGCTAGCTCGCCTATCGTTTCAGACGATGAGTACCTCGATGCTGATGCTGAAGAACCTGAGGATGAAGAGGAGTCCGTAGATGAGGAAGAGCTGGATTCAGATGTAGTAGTAGAGCGAGCTCGGAGGAAGAAAGGCAAAAGCAAAGGGAAGTCAAAGGCTGCTGGTACCATTGAAGACTTCAAGGGGGTGGATGATGGAGACGAGCGAGTGTACCAGTCACGACTACGGGATTGGGTTCACAGACGGTCTGAAGCCCGTGATCGCGCAAAATTAAAGGCGCTTCGCCTTTCAGGAGAGGACAACGACAAGCCAGAAGACGAACAGACGTCAGATCAACATTTAGAAGAAGAATGGCATTTGCCGCATCCAACTACTCCCGATACGGTGCTGGATGGTGGCTACCAACTTCCAGGAGACATATACCCGTACCTTTTCGATTACCAAAAGACAGGCGTCAAATGGCTATGGGAGCTGTACCAGCAACAGGTCGGCGGCATCATAGGAGACGAGATGGGCCTCGGTAAGACAATACAGGTTATTGCTTTCCTGGCTGGTATCCATTATAGCAAGAAGCTCAAAGGTCCCATTATTGTCGTCTGCCCACCTACTGTCATGAAGCAATGGGTTAATGAGTTTCATCGCTGGTGGCCGCCTTTCCGTGTCTCAATATTACACACCTCTGGAAGCGGGATGGTCAATATCAAAAGTGAAAGCCAAGCTGAAGACAGATATACCTCTGGCGTCTGGGGAGACCGGAATTCCACTTCGCAAAGAGGAAATAAGGCAGCTCGCCGCATCTTGAAGAGAGTCCTGGAAGACGGCCATGTATTGGTCACCACCTACGCCGGGTTGCAGACCTACTCCTCGCTTCTTATACCCGTAGACTGGGGCATCGCTGTGCTAGACGAAGGCCACAAGATACGTAACCCAGACACGTCAATTACCATTCATTGCAAGGAATTACGAACGTCTCACCGCTTGATCCTTTCTGGTACACCCATGCAGAACAATCTTACCGAGCTATGGTCGTTATTCGACTTCGTCTTCCCAATGCGTCTAGGCACCCTGGTCAATTTCCGAAATCAGTTCGAGTTCCCCATTCGAACAGGAGGGTATGCAAATGCCTCCAACTTGCAGGTTCAGACAGCCGCAAAGTGCGCTGAAACACTCAGGGATGCCATAAGTCCATACTTACTACAACGATTCAAGATCGACGTCGCTGCAGACTTGCCCAAGAAAAGTGAGCAGGTTCTCTTCTGCAAGCTAACCAAGGTGCAGAGAGCAGCGTATGAAGCCTTTTTAGCATCGGGTGAGATGTCATCCATCTTGCGTGGACGGCGAGAAGCACTTTATGGCATCGATATGCTGAGGAAGATATGCAACCATCCGGACCTAACGCAGCATAAGATCCTGTCCACAAAGACAGATTACAACTATGGCAGCGGCGCGAAATCGGGAAAGATGCAAGTTGTCAAATCCCTCCTAGAGCTGTGGAAGGACACAGGTCATAAAACGCTTCTATTTGCTCAGCATCGAATCATGCTTGATATACTAGAACGTTTTATTGGAGGGTTTAACGGGTTTAATTATAGGCGTATGGACGGTAATACACCTATCAAAGTCCGTCAAAGCATGGTGGATGAGTTTAACAACGATCCAGACCTGCATGTGTTCCTCCTCACTACGAAAGTAGGCGGTCTGGGGGTAAATTTGACAGGTGCGGATAGAGTGATCATCTACGATCCAGACTGGAACCCTTCTACAGATGTGCAGGCTCGTGAGAGAGCATGGAGGCTCGGCCAGAAACGTGAAGTTACCATCTACCGGCTCATGACCGCCGGCACCATCGAGGAGAAAATATACCATAGGCAAATATTTAAACAGTTCCTAACGAACAAAATTCTGCGGGATCCAAAGCAGCGCCAAACTTTCCAGATGAGTGACATACAGGATCTATTCACACTGGGTAACGATGGGCCCACGGAGACCAGCCAGATGTTCAAGGATGCAGACATTGTGTTTGAAGACAACGCAGCAAAGGGTAAAAATACCGGATTTTCTGGTCGCCAGCAACGACGCCGGCAACCCGAAAATAAACCAGTAAAGGAAGAGGACCAGAAAATCAGCCGAGTGACTGGTGTTGCTGGGATGGAAGAATATCATGACGAAACCAGTGGCCCCGGTACCCCTCAGCAGGAAAAGGAGGCAGAAGGAGAGTCCAAGAGCAAGACAGATGCCCGTCTGATGGAAAATATCTTCTCTCGTTCTGGGGTCCTCTCAGCCGTTGAACACGACCAGATAATACACGGAAAGCGAGCAGTCAAAGCAGACCCGAAAATAATCGAGACTGAAGCCAAGCGTGTCGCAGCAGAGGCAGCTAGGGAACTTCTCAAGGCAAAAGAGGTTGCTCGCGCCGTACCAGCTGGTACACCTACCTGGACTGGCCAGTTTGGCACTGCAGGCCGTCCCGGTCTCGACGTCGCGCCGGCCGGTACCTCGTCTATCTATTCTGGCGGCGGAAGCACTGTCCGTCGAGCCATGGGCGGACCATCATCTGCCAGCCTACTCGCTAATCTCGCCAGTCGAAGTTCTGCAGCAGGCGGTAGAGCAGGCACTGCATCCCGCTCTGGATCGCCTTCTGCCTCCGCCTCTGCTTCGGCCTCCGCATCGAGAACAGGCACACCGCGAACAAGCACACCGACGGGGAGAGACTTTCTGGTGATGATACGTGACTACATCATTACGCATGGAGGAGCAGTGTACACGCAAATGCTGATCGACCATTTCAACCGATTCTGTGACTCTCCCCGAGCCACGGCCGAGTTCAAGGAGATCCTCCGCACGATAGCCGTGCTGGACAAGTCAGGGACAGGGACGCGGGCGCGAGGTAAATGGGTCCTGAAGCCTGAGTATGCTAAGAAGTGACTTCATCTTGTAGCCAGCAGCCAAATAAAACCCTTGATCATCATCCATCGTCCTCCTCATCTCTCTCTCCATGTTTTCTATATAAAGCGAGTGTTGCATATGAAACCCTGCGTATCAGGGGTAACCGTATTGTAACTTTTCACGTGACACACACCACGTTTGCTGCTTTCAGCAGAGTGTTGATTGTCCCAGCCGCGTATCGTACTGTCACGATCTACGATCCAAAAGCTTTTTTTACTTCAAGACTCTGTCTCACTTTCTTTTCTTCTTTTTCTTCCTGCAACAGACAGAAAACAATAATAATATCTTCGACTCTCGCTTCGCTGCATCTTTTGGCAGGGCTGCTTGTTTCCTTTCTTCTCAGCTCTTCACATTCTTTTTGTCCCGCTCGTTCCTGTTGCCCGCTCCGCTGTTGCTGTGTGTTCGAGCGTTCGTTACCCATAACTACAGGGTACTAATAATAATCACCACCTTTTGCCGTTCGCCCTTCACGGAGCCTCCTTCGTCACCAAGGGCCGATTCAGCACGATTCAAAGGCTCATATTACTAGATCAGCCTTGCGGATACAGGAGACGGATAGTCGAGATATTCTTCGGTCGTTTTCGAAGTGCCTCCTCATCGAACAGCCTTTTAACGAGGTCGATAAAGGCTGCCAAACCCAAGGCAGCCGGCAGCTTCACCAGAGTCCACTCCGTCGACCAAGAGTCCTTCTGGTAGACGATAGAACGTCAGAATGAGGTCGTTCAAATTCACCTTCGTTTTCCTTTTGTTGGTAATACTAGTATCACTCGTTTCAGCATACGCACCTGCGCGGAACACCGGGATTGCCATAAGAGCAGATCCAGCCTGTGAGTTTACAACAACATCTACAACTATTTCAAGAGTCCAAGGGGCTAACTTTTGACCCTAAACAGCCTCCTCAGGTGACTCGAGCCAGACAGATAAGCCGAGCCAGACAGGCGAGAATAACAGTGAGGCCACGGGGTCAGACAGCCAGAGCAACAGCCAGAGCAGCAGTGACGAAAACAGCAGCAACAAAGATAAACCCACCCCAACCGATAAGAATGGAAGCTCCAAGACGAGTGACAAGGGAACAAAGACGACCAAAAAGCCCAAGACTACGGTTGACCCCCGTCTCCCACCAGGTGGCATTGTGATGGTAACTCCTGGTCCTTTTGACTCATCGACCTACGTTAAAATCGGAGCAAATGCTACATTTGCGTGGAATTACACCTCTCTCGAAATTAAACCAAGTGCCGTTGACGTTGTTGCATACTGCTCGAAGAACGACCATTATTACACCATTGCTTCCAACCAGTCGGTTCAGGAAACCGGAAGCGCCGTTTGGGATACCAACCCCTACAAAACTGCCTCTGTGCGCCTCTTAGTCGAACATTATACTCTGATTGTACACGATTCTAAGCGCGGCCCCACTGATGCTGCCCCGGCTGGTGAACTGGGTGTCTCCAGGCCTTTCATCTTTGGAGTTTACGAACCACATGACAATCCTAACCTCAAGAGTATGCTTGGCTCTTGTTAACCCCAACCTTTCTACCTATACTAACACCCTTATTCTCCTTATAGAACGGACTATGGGCAGTGCTGCTATCTCGACCACCGATCGCCAAGCTGTCTGGTTCATGATGGGAATGGTTGGAATCACCATTGCGTCATTCACCTGGTTTGCCAGCGGACTAGGCTTATTTGCCTAAAGAGCCATGATTTCAGCCCTCATCTGTTGACACGACCTTTGTTCCGAAATAAAAATATTTACAACATTTTAACTACCCTTTGAGCTATTATCTATTGATGCCCATCTGTTTGATTGAGACTGATATTGCGAGCGACGTTTTCTTCCACTTCCCTCTTTTTTTTCACCAATTCTTGATGCTTGTTTCAACTACGGATCTAACAACGCCTTCTAAGATATAATTCCCCCACCCCTTTTTTTTTCTCTTCTCCTTCTCCCCTTCAATAATAGTTCACTTGATAAGGCTGGGCTGGGCTGGTCGAGGCTGTATATAATCATCTGTCCGTCTGTATCTTTGGTGTGGAGTTGTTTGTGCTTCGGGTTTTGATTGAAATAAGGACGTTTTTCACGCAGAAAAGAAGGAACGTCTTTTCAAAACAATACTAATAATCATTTCGGCCCTTTCAGTGATAGCCAGATCCATACCGCAATTAGGCTCCGGGGGCAAACATGTGGCTTTTCTTACGCAGGCTATCAAATTATGTACCTGCATCGTTGCTTGCCCAGTCCATAAGCTTTAAGCTCTGCATGACAAACAAACCGCATTTACCATGCGTGGCAGAGGGGGCAAGTTTGACGATCAAAAGCTGTGGAGATCAATGGATGCATCCTGTTGGTAATGACATTTGTATTTTGCCTGGCTAGGCCTGCTAGCTTCCTGCTGTCATGCTGCCAACTTGAAGGGGAGACTGGTATCCATCAATCGATGTTTGTTTTGCGGATACAATCAAGGTTGATTCCAAACTATACGAGGTTGAATAATCATCAAACGACTTCCCCATGACCAAATAATCGATCCAGTTTCAAAGTCAAAAGTAAAAACAGCGTGATAACTGACTACATCAGTATATTTGGATGTTTGCTTTTTACCTCACTAAAAACATTGATTTAGATATACGTGATCAGGTAGATAAATGGACATTTAGGTACGGAGTATGAAGGGGTAGTACTGAATAGTCATATGCTAAACAAATTGCGGTCCTTTGTTTAAATGGTGAGCGGGGAGATGCAGGTATGTATGTGCGTTGTTATCCCAGGATGAAAGATTAGTTTGCCTGGGCCTCTCGCTTGCTATATAAGCCCTGATGTAGAATGCAGTAAATGGAGGTGGGAGGGAAACAAGTCAAATTTGTTCAAATATAGCGAAAGACCAGCTGGCCTGAAGATTCTTCTCTGTCTGACCCGATATCTATCGATAGCCGAGTAGGATCATCACAAGAAATCATAAAAAATATGTTGTTCTATCGTCCACGCCACCAGATTGGCTGGATATGGCCCAAGGACCCTCAACCGGGAAACCCTCTTAAATGGCCGATGGGAAGAAGGTTGAAGGACGTCTTGACCAACAAAGGCCCGGATATGTTTATCGGACGTATCGATAGAGCAAGCCCGACCCCGCATACACCCCGATGGTCGAGATGGCACGATATATACAGCTACCCAGGCGATGGTGACAAGAACATGTTACCACCCATCCTGCCATTTTCTGACCGAAAGCTGCAGAGATATGACTTTCGAACGAGAAAATATCGTAGTGTGGATGAGAAGGCTTGGAGCTTCGTGGAATATCCAGATCCTGGTGAAACAAACAGTGTGAATACACCAGTTACCGTCTGGGATGTGAATGGGATCAGATATGCATACCCCCATTGGAAGCTTCATTATGGAGAGGGGTTTCGAAATGCACACTAGAGGTTTGATGCTCTGCTAAGTGAGAGATCAGATGCATTGCGGATGGAACGGTTCCCAGGCCGTCTTGGAGTCGCCGTTGGATGTAGTTACTGCCTTTGGTTTTCTGACGGTAGGAAGCTGGGCGTTGGAGTTAATCATTTTCTTGCATGAGACGCATGGGGATCTCTTTATGTCCGCGTACGAAGCAAGCATATCCTATTGCAATATGTTAAGTGAGCTGTACGCGAGAGCTAATATGTATTAATGAACGCACCAGGAGATATTGAAGGTCCCACTGCCGCTGCCGTGACTGAATGCAGCCCAAGATGTCAGTAGCTAACTTCGACTGGTTCTGCTGGCGACCAGTGCTGACATGCCACATTTCTGAATTGTCTCCAGCAATACCACTGGACATTTGAACGTGGAAAGTAGTCGATACGCTCTGTATGTCCATGCAAAACTTCTTGGTTTCATTAGAGGGTATAATCTGCATACTGATACCCGGTATATTTTTGCTCTTGAACGATTCGACAATATCTTTCCAAGCCCCGACTGTAGATTCTAACTTCAGTTTCTCAAGTGCGTCTTGCTGTATAGACTTTATTTCTTCCATCTTTTTTTCTTCCTGGTCAAGGGATGCAAGGACTTCCTCGTAATCGCATTCCCACATGTTGTTCATGTAGGGGTACTCACCATTCCGGTCCTTAAGCCTCGCATCCACCCGATCCAGGATAGTAGTCATCTCAGGTGAATTCCAAGAAGACTTCAAGTTCCCAATCTCGGCCATGCAGCTGGGAACTGATTGGGAAAGTTCCTGACATAGTTCTTGGGGAGACTTTTGATACTTGTCACACCCTGGAGGTTGGTTGATAATAGGTTTCAGAGGGCCTAGTAGACGCCCGGGAAGAAGGTCTCGCAGTTGGTTAATCTGTGCTTGATCAGTATAGATACATGCGTAAAGGCAAACACGCTTATGAACCTCGGAAATGTTAAAGCCTTTAGGGGCGGAGCAGCACTGTTTGCCCACTTACTCTACCGTGCATCTGCTGGAGGGTACAGAGAGCAGTCAGGAGCCGCCGTTCATCATCCCAGCTTCCCGGGTCCTTGGAGTCTGCCAACTGTAAGTCCTCTGCCGGTTCCGACTTGACTACACTGCCGTCGGCCGCCATAGTCGAAGGAGGCGGTGCATTCGCTAGACTGGCAGTTGTGTTATTGCTAGCTGTCTGGGGATCCATCTGCCAGCGCCTCGCAGTCGACCCTCTCGCGCTGTTTAATCACGGGTATCACTGGATAATCGGATATAAGGAAATATTCAAAAAGCAAAAAAGGACCTAGCCAGGGCTTCTCCGCTCATCCGCCCTGTCGTGTTCCTCTGCTGCTTGGTTATTGCCGTCCTTTTTTCCTCTACATGTGTTGCTCCAAAACGAATCGAGGAGGTCAAAAAATAGATATCACGTGAATTAAAGTGCTTACCTAAGTAAGACCCACCACGGCCTTTCCTTGCGAACTTCCGACTATTCCTGATCGCTGGCGAACTAACTAGTTAGCGAAACTAGTCGAGCGAGACTCGCGGTTAGTTATCTCTGTTAATGGCGGTCAACTTTTCTGGGAGACGACCTGTACTTTGGGCTATATTTCCCCCCGCTCAGTGACAAGACAGGAGTTGTTGGCGGCTGTGCTGCAAAGAGGTGAGTGGAAGCCACCTTAAGGACCCACGGATTTGCCCGCTGACTGATATCATAAACTTGGCAGCTTGCGATCTCTTATCGGTGGCACGCTATCTCATGACAAACTGCATCCGACTCAGAACATTCCACTGCCTGAAGAAGACGGACAAAGACGAGGACGAGACTAAAGACGCTGTTCGCTGTTTGTGCGGTGCGAAGTTTCCACCTTAGAGCGCCTTGGTATCTTTGGGAACGGGGTTTACTCCAAGTTGTGGCTGGGCTGTGATGCTGTCATCGCAGTCTTTGCAGTCCTCGCCGGCAACCAGTACATCTGCTTTGGCCTCAGATGCTGCCTCTGGAATACACCATGACGGTTTAGGAAACCACCAGACGGATGGACCTTGCTATTCAACGCTGGAGAACCGCCTGCGTTCACGATCCATCCAGTTCAACACCTCGAGGACAGATGCAGCGCTGCGGGAACGGTCAACAGCCAGCTCAAGGAAGAGCAGCTTGAGGAGACTACCATCTCCACCACCTCCAAGGTACGTGAGTCTTTTCCTGGGCTGAGGATGGCTTTTCGCTTTTTGTCTGTGTTTCTGCCTTCTATTTTATTTACCCCATGCCCGTCGGAGCTTCTTGGACGCTCTAGGCAAGTGGAATGAAATGCGACATGGCTCCTGGTTTCCAGGCATCCGCTTGAGTGTTTTAGCTTGCAGCTTCTCTATAGATTGCTAGCGATATACATGCTGCCTGTTTGTGTTGGTTTGTTTGCATAACGCTCCTATATTCCAGAGTTTGAGATATGGGTGCCCCGGCCTGCTACCGACAAAGGTCGACGACCCTTGTCAACCAGTACCGTACCCGATTGAGATATATTTTTTTTCTACATATACCTTCATTATATTTTCCTTTGGCGAATCTTGCATTTTGAATGCGTTTCTCTGGCCGATGAATCGCCTGACCATTACCTGTACTAATGATCAACCTTATTCTCAGCGCCTATAACCGTGGAGTCTCCTTTGATACCTTCGACAACCGAGATGCCACCGAATTCTCGTTAACGTTGAACTACAAACATAAAGATTACAGGAATACGCGCCGCAGTCGGACCTTCCTTTGCGGCACTGACCAAAACGATTATTCGGACTTTGCTTTGGAATGGCTTATCGACGAACTGGTAGACGACGGAGATGAGGTTGTTTGTTTACGGGTTGTGGACAAAGACTCCAAGATTGCGAGTGATTCCGGCGTTGAAGAAGGCAGATATAGACAGGAGGCAGAGAAGCTACTTTCGCAAGTGATTGCAAAGAATAAACACGATGAAAAGGCCATAAGTTTGGTTATGGAACTTGCGGTTGGTAAAGTTCAGGAGATCATTCAGCGGATGGTATGTTGGTGGCTATCTATACCAGAAAATGCCTTTAATAACTAACCCTATCGATTAGATTCAAATATACGAGCCTGCAGTACTTATAGTGGGCACCCGAGGCCGTAGCCTCAAGGGGATGCAGGGTCTACTTCCTGGCTCTGTATCGAAATATTGTTTGCAACAATCGCCTATTCCCGTCATAGTTGTGAGACCATCGAGTAAGCGGGAAAAGAAGAAACAAAAACGTTTGGCTGCCGACCCCGCCAGAAAGAGTTATAGTCAATTTTTGAAGATGAGTGAGTCTCGAGGGGGTTTGGGCATTGATAGTTCACCCAGTGGGAACAGCAGCACTTCCAAACTTCCTGGTGAAGACGAAGAGACAGGCGAGCCTTCAACGGTAGCCAACACCATCGTAGCTTCCTCCACCAATGGAGACACCGAGGAGAATGGCCATGATCCCCAGTTTTCTATGTCAAAGGACTCCTCTGGTGATGCCGGTAATGACGACGATGATGACGACAATAATAATGTGGCCGGAACCAGGAGAAATTCAACTGTCACAGAAGTTGAATCACCTTTAAAAAGCCCTTCTTGTCCTGTCCTGGAGAGCCCTAATGTGAGCGCTAATGAAGATGAAGAGGACGTTGAAGACGAAGATGATGATAACGATGGAGGTGAAGGTGATATTACCTACACAGATACAAGTTCTCGGTTGACTTCTGCAACCTCGATTGCAGATACAGCCTCCAAGGGTGATTCAGCGCAGGAGACGTCCGCATCTCAGTGTGGTGATTCACCAACAAACATGGAAAACAAGGATCCTGCGAGCAGTAGCAATGGCAGTATGGGTGAGACCCAGGACGATGGTAGTAACATCGAGCTGCCTAATTATGATGCTGCAAATGCTAACTCCACTGAGGATCCTACCATAGCTCATGTCCCTGACCTTGCTGGACAACCAGTTGATAAATCTTCGGCACCAGGGGCAACATAGTAATTTCGATCTGGTCTCAATGCTATATAGCCCTCGCCACAAATCCCTTCCTGGATTGGTTATTTTCGAAATGTCACCCCGATTCATTGCTGGCCCTACACCCTACTACCCGACCATCACTTCGATATTACATACTGTGCTGGCTTCACCCTCTAGTTGGACACACGATCCAAATGCCCCTTCTCCCCTCAAGTCAAGGTTTTCCCTTTCTTTCTGTTAGCATAATCAGATGCTAACGCCTCAGCTCGACGCTCCACGCCCTCTGGTTTTGTTCTCTTCCACGTAATGCAACTGCAATTTTGGCGTTAAGATGGCCGGGAATTGATGCCGGATATCCAGGCTGGGTTGCTTCGCTTTTCTTTTTCATTTTCCTTTTGTTTCTTTTGTTTCTTCTCTCTTTGAATTTTCTGTAGGAAATTTACGCCTTTCCATTCCACCAAAGCTTTGTAACTCCGTAATCCACGAGGTAAATTTCGTATATCTGATTCTCATCTACATCCCCAGCCGGGCGCGACGGGCTTTCCCTCGCCTCATATCGTTCTCAATATGGACGCTCCTTTTTTTTTTTTTTTTTTTTTTTTGTCTTACGTTTTGTTTTCTCAAGACAAAAAGAAATTCCACTGGTTTCTTATATGCATTCACCCTGTCACAAACCTTCAGGCCATGAACACATCCTCGAAAGGCTTATCCCGGTCTCGCCTACTCTGCATAACATGGCTGAACTATTTCAAAGTTGTTTCCCGAGCCCACATTGGCGCATATACTGGATCTCAAGCATCTGGCGGCTGTTGCTGCGGACTCTTCTGGTTGGCTTGTTGGAAGGAAGAGAGACGAGACGGGGGAGGATGATGCTGGCTATCGGCATTCGTGTTACTCCTCAGCCCTCACACCGACTGGAGTTTATTAGTACTAAAAAAATGCGCCTTATCCACTTCCTCCTCCTTTACTCCCCCTGACTCCTCAAAATTTCGTCTGCTTATCTCCTTCAGGGGTCCGAACATGCGAGAAAAGCAAGGATGTGGTTGGTCCCATCACGTGAAGGGCGGATAACCATTAGATCCTCCCTAACTAGCTAATTTTGACCTCACGTTTTCAACCTTCGTCCACTCAGTCCCTCGACGGAGGATTATTCGTTTTGGAAGATCTTTCAAAGCTCGAAGGTTCGTTTCTTTTTCAAGTCAAGTTCAGAGAGGGATATTGAGGCCGGTCTAGCGAACAATGACAGGCCCAGGCTGCATGATTAACCCAGAAGCAAAACCTTGCTTGAGGGCTCTCGACATCTCACAGGCCAGATGATTGGTACCATCAAAGGTCATCCTCAAGCCACCCGCTCGAGAAGCCTGCATGGGCCGTCATGGTGCCGGGCCAAGGAAGACGCATTGACTTATCCATCGGATCAGGCGGGACACATCTGCGGAAGTAGGTCAATAATACTGTGTGGAACAAGTCAGTTGAGGAGGGGGTACATGCTGGAACTGACATGGGTCCTTTACCTGGGTCAATTGCTCCCAGTGGAAGTGATTCGCATGGAGCATCTACATAACAATGAGACGTGTCTCCGTCATGCATCGAAGACCGTATATCCGTGCCACAGCTGTCAACCCCAATGCATAAGTACTTATGCTGTGGAGAAGGTGAGAAGGTTGATGCAGTCTCGGATGTATGTTTCTTTGGAGTCCCTGCAACTCAAGTCTCGTCGATGTTCGGATAATTTCGAGGTACCATCTACTTGTGTCCTCGAATCAAGTCACTGGAGTGAACAAAGGAATCGACTGGTTAGCTTTCGGACTAGTTAACTAATTGGCCTAATATGGAATCCTGGCTTTATACGGAGTACTAGGCTAGGAATAATCAAGCTGGACTCCTCAATCGAGCAATGCTTATTGTTTCTTGTTTTCAGGGTCTTGTTGATTTTTCAGTATTTTCGTTTATTTTATTTTCCTCTTTAACTAACTTTTTGCTTCCATCCTACTCCTTTCCAGCCTATCGGATACGGCCATATGAATAATATTCAAAGGTTCCCTCCCGGCCCGCGGTGTGAACTCGAATATCGAGTTGACTAGCTGAAGCTTGCTCAGCGAAGAACCAATCAACACTCATTTCAATCCAGTTCAAAGCAGAGGTTCACCAAACGGGCCGATCTCTCGGACACGGGAATGATGGATTAAAGCCAGTGGCTTGTTATTATTACGATCTTGTGTGTCCTTGCCTGTCCAGCGTTCGTTGTTTGTACTGAAGCGTTGTTTTACTTGCAGTGCGTCTTACATGTCCAAGTCTTGAGTGTGGCGCATTGTGGTAACTTATGCATCCCAAGGGTATTACTGGAATACGGCTCCTCCATGCACCCAATGTTAGGAACTTTCTTGCAATTGACCCACAAAGTACTGCTCCCTCCAACTAAGTTCTGGAGCTTCCAGCTGAGATTCAAATTTTGGGCTTTTCTATCTCGAAGTTTTGCGGATTACAAAATGAATGGGTTCCCGGCCTCACCCCTCCGTTTTAGGCATGGCAATGCTGATGTTTGTCTGAATCTTTTGACTACCAACGGCCGAACACTCTTAAGCGACAAACGTTCGTTGGTTTTGAACAGGACAATCATCTTAGCTCGACTCGCGGAGACAGTATGCCTCCCTATCTCTCAACACAAGCGGGTTTCCCCCTACCTGTCGATCAATTCGAAAACAATCCGAGCTCTAAAGCCCCAATTGTTCAAGTTAAAGAAGAGCTTGCACAATTTTGCCTTGAGCTGTCCTCGGATCTAGAGGACTTCTGTGCGAAATCCGGAATTACCTCCCTGCAAATCCTCCTTGCAGCGTGGGCGATTACTCTTCATTACTATACCGCTTCGGAATCTGTGACAGTTGGGAATATAATATGGCATTGCGACGGGTCATGTTGTAAGGGAAAATATGAGGTGGGGTTGGATGATGACACACCTCTACTTCGAGCTGTTAAACAGTTTAAACACCGGCCAGACTGTGATTCTGGTGATAGCAATAGCACCTCGCCCGACACATCAATGGTTGATACTTTTGTGATACAAACTCTTTCAACCTCAGAGCTTCCATTTGATCGCAGCCCTGTCTTTAATATAAGAGGATGTAAAATTCCCACCTCTGTAAGTGTATCACACTGTACAGAATGTACAAATGATAACGGGGATTTCTAACATATTTAAATTGACAGCATACCATCATCGTTGACATAGTCAACCATGGACTCAGGGAGCAAGTGGAATTAGACATATACCTCAATGAATCATGGAGGAACCACATAGCCAATATGTCGAGGACTTTTGAGCAGGTTGTAGCTGAGATGCTTCGCAAACCTACCGGAAAGTTGGGAGATTTAGACTTATGCAGTGCCTGGGATATTAGGACGCTGGCCACCTGGAATGGCGAAATATCAACGGAAGGCTCTGACAAATGCGTACATGATATGATTAGCCTGCGTTGCGCTGAAGACCCGAATTATACCGCCGTTCAATCCTGGGATGGAAACATGTCATACGGAGAGCTTGATGAACTTTCGTCTGCTTTAGCAGTACGACTGATGGCTTCACATCCAAGCGTTGGACCGGAGAAATTCATCCCGTTGCTATTTGAAAAATCTAAATGGACTGTGGTATCTCTACTCGCGGTGATCAAAGCTGGTGCCGGATTTGTACTGCTAGATCCCTCTCTACCACTTAAGCGTCTCGAGGATATCTGCCGTCAAGTCAAAGCAACCTTGGTCATTACTTCCCCTCAGCATTCTGTTCTTGCCAGCACTTTGGAAACCCCAATGTTTATTGCCAGCGAAAAAACAATTGGAACATATAACCCGTCGAATTACCACCGAACTTCGGTTCAGCCTTCAAATCCCCTTTATGCGATATTTACTTCCGGTTCCACTGGAAATCCAAAAGGAATCATCATTGAACACGGTTCTTTCCTTTCTAGTGCCCTTGCATATATTAAGACTGTGGACTTAAACCGAAAATCCAGAGTCTTGCAATTTGCATCTTATGCATTCGATGTTAGCGTTTCTGACATCTTGTACAGTTTACTATCTGGTGCTACGCTTTGTATCCCTTCTAACGCCGAGCGTAACAATAGTCTGGTGGAGATGATTGACCGTTTGAAGCCGAATTGGATGGACCTCACCCCGTCTTTCTTGAGATCTCTCTCACCCGTGGACCTTTATACAGTTAGGACCATTGTTCTAAGCGGTGAGGCTATGACTCAAGATGTCATTGCTAAATGGGATAGCGAAGTACGCCTACTTAATGTGTATGGACCGGCTGAATGTTCAATTCAGTCTACTGTCCAGACTCTTGTTGCAGCTGACCCTGTGAACATTGGTCATGCTATTACCGGAGCCTCCTGGGTAGTTAGTCCATCAGACCATAACCGTCTGATGCCGATAGGCGCCATTGGAGAGCTTTTGATCGAAGGGTCCCACGTTGGGCGAGGTTACATAGGCAACCCAGAAAATACCCAAAAGGTCTTTATCAAAAGCACAGATTGGTTACCAGAGTTCCGAAAAAATCATCAGGCGCTTTATAAGACCGGTGATCTAGTACAATACCAGTCAGACGGCTCAATGCGGTATCTAGGTCGAAAAGATACCCAGGTGAAGTTACGTGGGCAGCGTATTGAGTTAGCTGAAGTTGAGCATTATGCTCGCGAATGCTTTAGTGGAGCAAGGGACGTCGTGACAGAAATGGTTAAGCCTCAATACGAAGGTGGAACCTCGATGCTCATTGCATTCGTTTATTGCCCAGGAGATCATATTGGGCGGAATGCCAGTGAACCCAGAGAGGAGGCCATATTTGCCAAACCGGACGATTGTTTCCGTGACCGCAGTGCTAATACTAGGGAAAAGATGGCTAATAGCCTCCCTAACTATATGATTCCAACTATCTTCATCCCACTAGCTCGTGTCCCCCTTTCAGCTACTGGGAAAACGCATAGGAAGCTCCTACGATCTTTAGCTGCTGCTCTACCTCGCGTTAACCTGGACTCTTACTCTATAAATATCAACAAGTCACGAGTCCTACCGTCAACTGATATGGAAAAATGTCTTCATTCGGTTTTTGCGGAAGTCCTCAACCTGGCTCCAGGGATGCTGGGCATTGATGATGACTTTTTCCGTAGTGGTGGGGACTCCATTACCGCTATGCAGATCATCACTCAGTGCCGTAAACAAGGGTTTGTCCTTGCCCTCAGTGAAATCTTCCGTTTAAAGACAATAATGAAGATTGCAAAAGGTGCTACTTTTGGAGCGACCACCACCCTCTCGCGCCAGCAACAAGAGGACCATATTGGAGTTCCATTTGGTTTATCTCCAATCCAACAAATGTATTTCGAAGACTGCCCTGAAGGACACAACGACTTCAACCAAAGTTTTTTCCTTGCATTTGCCCGCCCTGTTGGAGAGGTTGAATTGACGAATGCCTTAGAACTTATCATCACCCGACATTCAATGCTTCGGGCCCGTTTCCATCGGTCTCCGGAAGGCAAATGGACGCAGAGCATTTCCCGGGATGTACTAGGCTCATACCGTTTAAGGAGTCATCAATTGTCACGTAGGGAGGAAGTAACAGCTATCATGGTCAAGAGTCAAATGAGATTAAATCCTCAAACCGGCCCCCTTTTCTCAGTGGACTTCATTGAAATCGCAAACGACAAGACCCAATACGTATTTCTCGTGGCCCACCATTTGGTCATCGACCTAGTGTCTTGGAGAATTCTCCTTGCTGAGCTGGAAGAGGTCCTGGAAACTGGGACCATTTCACAAGACGTCCCCATACCTTTTCAAGCCTGGTACCGGTTGCAATCTGAGTATGCTCAGAAATATTTGCCGCCGCAAAAGGCCCTCCATTTCGGGCCAAAACCTATTGAAACGGATTACTGGGGCATGAAAGGCCGAAAAAATATTTACGGCAATGTGATTCACGCACATCTGAAAGTCGATGAAGGCTTGACGTCTAGATTGCTAAAGGATGCTAATCTAGCATTTGATACCCAGCCGGTAGAGATTCTGCATGCTTCTCTCTTGCATTCATTTATGAAATGTTTTCCTGACAGAGAACCTCCTCTAATTTTTAATGAAGGGCATGGGCGAGAACCATGGGATAGCTCAATTGATATCTCCAGAACCGTAGGCTGGTTTACAACAATCTGGCCTACTGAAGTCTTAGTGGATGATAGAAATGATGTTGTTGACTTAGTTCGTCGTGTCAAAGATGGGAGACGAAAGGTTCCAGGTAGAGGTTGGCCATATTTTGCTTCCAGATATCTAAATGACAAGGGAAGAGAAGCTTTCAATGGATACACACCCTTTGAAGTTGTTTTTAATTTCCACGGGCTTTACCAACAATTTGAACGCAAGGATGGTCTTCTCCAGCAAGTTCCCTGGAAGTATGAGGCATCGTGTGATAACGGACCAAACGTTGTACTTCCTGGACTATTCGAAATTACGGCTGTTATTATTCATGGAAGTCTCCAGTTCGAGTTTATGTATAGCCGAGAAATGAAGCATCAAGATGCCATTGGACAATGGATCCGAAATTGTGCTAGCTCCCTTCGTGAGGCGGTAGAGGGCTTGATAGCACACGAGGAATCTCCAACATTGAGCGACTTTCCACTCTTACCCCTAACTTATCAAGGTTTAACACAGTTGACTATGGAAGTCCTTCCTCAATCAGGGTTATCATTAGCCGACATAGACGAAATATACCCTTGCCTTCCCGTGCAAGAGGGTATACTGCTTAGCCAACTTCGAAACAACTCGCATTATCAGACCCGAACTATGATCGAACTGATCTCGACCAATGGGTCAATAAATATGGATAGAGTTCGGGACGCATGGCAACAAGTTACTGACCGACATTCTTCTCTCAGGACAGTCTTCGTCAAAAGCAGCCTTTCCACCGCTATGTATGACCAAGTGGTATTAAAATCTATGCCAGCCCAGGTTAATATACTGCCATGTGCCGTTGATAATGATGCAGTTGAGATACTCCACAGAGAGCGGAGAACTTTCAGCGAACTCGGAAAACCTTTGCATCTTCTCACAGTATGTACGAACTCGAGCGGCCGAGTGTTGGCTGATCTTGGGTTTAACCATGCTATCATTGATGGTATGTCCATTTTGACCTTGCTTGAAGATTTTAAGCTTGCATATCTCGGAAAACTTCCATCATCCCAAGGCCCCCGTTATAGTGAGTTTGTCACCTATATTCGGAGCATGTCACAGCAAGACACTCGCAACTATTGGATGAATTATTTAAAGACCTCTGAGCCCTGCCTATTCCCCGTTATTACTGATGGAATCTCCTTGGCCTCGGAAAAGGAGCCGAACAATCTAGAGAGGGTTAAAATCAGCTTTGGTGACCTGTCGAAACTGCAAGACTGGTGCAGGGCACAAGAAATCACTTTATCAACGTTGCTCAGAGTATCCTGGGCTCTTGTTTTACGTTGCTTTACCCATATGGATGATGTCTGTTTCGGGTACGTGAACTCCGGGCGAGAGGCCCTGGTCGATGGTATTGAGGGTATTGTTGGACTTTGTGCAAACGTTATCACCTGCCGATTTGACGTGTCGAACGCAAGGAGAATTGCGGATATTATTCAGTCTGATAAAGTGGATTTCCTCGATTCCTTGTCACATCAGAATGCCTCGCTGGCGGATATCATGCACGAAATAAATATGACGAACCAGACACTTTTTAATACTGTTCTAACAATACAAAACAAATCAGCTGCAGGGGATGAAAAGAGTGATTTCATGGTGGATGAATTGTATGAAGTCGATCCAACCGAATATGACATCAGTGTCAATATCGAGATTTCCGGCGCCGGCAAGAATATCGATGCATACCTCGGATACTGGACATCACGGCTTTCTCAATGGCAAGCAAACAACGTTTCCACAACCTTAAGCCATCTCGTCTCTGAGATAATGACCGCTTCAACCCTACCCACTGTGGGCCAACTCGATTATTTTGCTACAGAACATAAATGGCGGGTTGCTAAATGGAACATCGATGAAGTGGCCACGGTGAATTGTTGCACACATGAGCTCATACAGACACGTTCTAACCGCCAGCCTGAGGCCCAAGCCATTTGTTCATGGGATGGAAACTTGACATACCGGGAGCTTGACGAGCTATCCTCTAAGCTAGCTACTATACTAATTGGTGCCGGCGTGAAGCCTGACGCTATCGTACCGTTATACTTTGAGAAGTGTAAATGGGCCCCTGTAGCAATTCTAGCAGTTTTAAAAGCTGGAGGAGCTTTTGTTCTTCTTGATCCGTCATACCCGAAGCAACGCCTTCAAAAAATATACCATGATACCAATGCCAACTTAGTTGTTACATCTCCGCACCTTGCCACGGGTGCCGAACAGCTAACTGACAAGGTTATTATTGCCCATGAAGATATAGCAGCCTGGGATATCGATGAAGCCTCTTTGAAGATGACACCCGTGACTCCCAAAAATGCTATGTACGCAATATTTACCTCAGGTTCTACAGGAGAACCGAAAGGTGTTATCATCGAGCATTCGGCGTTTCTAACCAGTGCTCGTGGGCATACCGCTGCACTTCATTTAGACTCTAGAAGCAGAGTGCTTCAATTTGCTTCGTATACCTTCGATGCCTCAGTGTGCGAGATACTCTCTGTCCTTCTTGTTGGCGGCTGTATTTGTATACCATCAGAGCAGGACCGTTGGAATGATATAACCGGAGCCGTAGCACGGCTAGGTGCCAATTGGATTTTTATGACGCCTGCACTAGCTAGGTCTCTAGATCCTTCTCGTTTCCCCTCCCTGAAGACCATGGTGGTTGGAGGCGAAGCCATCACCCCTGCCGAGACGCATCTTTGGTGTGATAAACTGAAACTGCTGCTTGCCTATGGCCCCTCGGAGTGCTCGGTGATGTGTTCCATTACAGATCCTGTATCAACAACCACAGACCCTCGAAATCTTGGGCGTATCTTCTCTGGCTCTTCTTGGATAGTGGATCAAAATGACCATAATAAATTACTTCCCATAGGTGCTGTTGGTGAACTGATTATTGAGGGACCGCTTATTGCCCGTGAATATATCAGTCGCCCAGAAAAGAACGCGGAGGCATTCATAAAGGATCCTTCTTGGTTGTACAATTTCCGATGGGGACAAGGGTCGCGGTTTTACAAAACAGGCGATCTGGTCCAGTATGCTATCGATGGCACAATTAGATACATAGGGCGAAAGGATACGCAAGTAAAGCTTCGAGGACAGCGACTTGAACTTGGGGAAATTGAACATCGCCTGAGCAGGGCTTTCCGAGGCGCTAAAGATGTTATTGTCGATGTTGTTATCTCTAGTGTCAAGAAAAATCGGGTTTTAATCGGCTTCGTGTACTGCGGAAATGCAGAGACATCATCACCGGACAAATTATGGGACAATCCCTCAGAGGAATTTAGCCTCCTTGTGCAAGATGCAAAGAAGATCTTGCAAAAGGAGCTGCCGGGTTACATGATCCCGGAGATGATCCTCCCGCTGGCAAGCATCCCCCTGACCAAAAATGGCAAATGTGATAGAAAATTACTGCTAAGAGAGGTCGAGGCAATGTCCGCCGAGTCTCTCCTCATGCTCGGTAATGAAGCCTCATCAAAACGCAGGCCATCGAATGCCATCCAATGGAAGCTCCAGAGCCTTGTATGCCAGGTGCTCAACCAACCAGAAGATGGTGTAGGGATGGATGATAGCTTCTTCCATCTCGGAGGAGACTCTATCAGCGCTATGAAGCTAGTTGGTGCTGCCAGGGCTGAGAAACTCAGAGTCACCGTTGCCGACATCTTCAAGAACCCTCGACTTGAAGATTTGGCGTCTGTTTTACAGCATCATTCGAATACTAAGACTGGATTGATTGAGCCGTTCTCGCTATTGGGAAGTGGCGAGGCCCGCGAATCTGTTATACGGCAGGTCACCAACACGGGTTCTATTAAAACGGAGGAGGTTGAAGATATTTACCCCTGCACTCCGCTACAGGAGGGTATGATGGCCCTCAGTATTAAAATCCCTGGAGCTTATACCATGCAGCATGTTTTCCAGCTGCCAGAGTCAGTTGATACAAAGAAACTTCAAGAAGCATGGGATAAAACCATTGACGCCCACCCTATCCTCCGAACACGCATTTATCAAGGTGATTCTGGAAAGGCCCAGCAAGTGGTTGTTCGTGAAAGGTTCTGTTGGCAACAATCAAGCAATTTGAATTACTATCTTGATCAGGATCGAAAGCGGCCAATGAGGCTCATGGAGCCTTTGATTCGGCTCGCCTTGATCGAAGAACAGGCTGATAGCCCTGTTCAATACATGGCAGTAACGCTACACCATGCTCTATACGATGGGTGGTCGGAGTCCTTGCTCCTGGAAGCTGTTGAAGCAGCATACCGCGGCGAAGAATTGAAACTAACACCGTTTTCACCGCTCATCAAACATATTTCTAATGGTCATGAAGCTGCTGGCAACTTCTGGCGGACTCAATTCTCTAATATTGAATCAGTTGCCTTCCCTTCGCTGCCATCAGAGAACTACTCTTCTATCCCCAGCTCTTTCATTCAACGGTCAGTTCGTCTAGGATCCATCCATCGGAACGGTTTCACTCTTAATTCTCAGCTACGGCTAGCATGGGCCACGGTCATCTCTCAGTATACAGCATGTGAGGATGTTGTGTTCGGCGTAACCGTTACTGGACGAGATGCACAAGTGCCGGGAATTGAAATGATGACTGGTCCTGCTCTTGCGACTGTTCCTCTCAGAGTACGGCTGCAGTCAAGTGTTAATGTCAGAGGTAACCTACAGCAGATACAAGATCAATTTGCACAGTCCATACCATATGAGCAGTTTGGGTTGCAGAATATTAGTGCTCTAGGTGAGGATGCTGCTGCGGCATGCCGGTTTAACAGCCTGCTTCTGGTTCAACCGTCTGCGGGAAATTGCAAGCTGGATATATTCAACCATTCTGTTGCTGTACCTGATCATTCAACCTTTGACACCTACCCCTTGACTCTCCAGTGTACATTGGGAAAGGATATCATTGGCATTCAGGCAATATTCGATGCCAACGTACTGCCTCACGAAATGATGGAGAGAATCCTCAATCAGTTTGCTCACCTTTTCGAAGAAATATCAAAGAGCATAGACAAGCCCATGGGTACAATCGGTTTAGTCGGCCCAGAGGATATGAGAATGCTGAAAGAATGGAATGGCAAGCCACCACAGAAACAGGATTTACTTACACATGAGCTTATCCAGTGTCAATGTGAACAGCAGCCTGATGCCCACGCAGTTTGTGCCTGGGATGGTGACCTCACATATGGCCAACTGAACGACCTTAGTGGACGGCTGGCGGCGTACCTAAACGGACTTGGAGTGGGCACGGAAATGATCATACCACTCTGTTTTGAAAAATCAAAATGGACAACAGTTGCCATGCTTGGAGTGATACGGGTCGGTGCTGCATTTGTTCTCCTCGACCCTTCTGCGCAGCCCGTTCAACGAATGTCAGAAATGTGTCGACAAGTCAGCGCTAGCCTGATTCTTTCATCTGCAAAATACGCCCCTTGCCTCCAGCCGCTTAGCTACCAAATTGTTACCATTGCAGACGCAGAACCTATCTGGACTACAGATATCAACACCTGGCAGCCCCCATCCATCAGTCCCAGCAATGCGATTTACTCCGTATTCACTTCCGGCTCTACCGGAACGCCCAAGTGCATCACTATCGAACATCTTGGATTTTCCAGCAGCGCAGATGCAAACCGGGAGATACTGGGCCTAGGAAGCAAGACGCGTGTCCTGCAATTTTCCTCATACTCTTTTGATGTCTGTATTGAGAATAACTTGACTACTCTGGTGGCTGGTGGCTGCATATGCGTGCCTTCGGAAGCAGATTGTAAAGGAGACCTGGCAAAATCTGCCCGAGAGTTCAAGGTAACCTACGCAGATTTGACACCCTCGGTTGCCCGAATCCTTGATCCTGAGGATATGCCCACAGTTGAAATTGTTATCCTTGGTGGAGAGGCTATGGCATCCGAAGATATTGCTCGTTGGTCAAAGAAAGTCCGTTTAGTCAATGCTTACGGTCCAGCTGAGTGTTCAGTCACTTCTACCATTCAGCCAGATGCTGAACACCAGGCGAGCCCAGCGAATATCGGACGCCCATGTGCAGCCAGATGTTGGGTCGTGGATAGACATGACCAATCAAGGCTACTTCCAATCGGGGCCATTGGTGAGTTGATCATCGAGGGTCCAATTGTTGGTCGTGGTTATTTGAATAATGCTGCAGCCTCTGAAGCATTCATCGAAGCCCCGGAGTGGCTCTCAACTATTCGGGAGGGTGAATGTTATCGAATGTATAAGACTGGAGATCTTGTCCAATACAACTTTGACGGGACCCTTACCTATATTGGAAGAAAGGACCTGCAGGTCAAACTTAATGGACAGAGAATTGAACTGGGCGAGGTTGAGTCTCATGTTCGGCGGTGTTTCCTTGCCAGCCGAGATGTAGTTGCCCAAGTGGTAACTCACAGTCAACTCGGTTATAAACCACGCCTTGTTGCATTTGTCTGGCAAGAGCATGAACAAAATGGCATCGTGAAGGGCGAGGAATCCTCATTGTTTGAGAGTCCTAGTGATCAATTCCGTGCTGATGTAAAATTGGCAGAAGAGAAGCTCAGACAGTCTGTTCCAAATTTCATGGTGCCAACTACATTTATACCACTGTCCAGGCTTCCCATTGCCGCATCTGGAAAGACGGACAGAAAAGGTCTACTGACGGCGATACAGGCGTTTTCACGAGATGATTTTCAAGCATATTCCCCACTCAGAGAGAGACGGCCAGTGTCAACAGACATGGAACGGAAAATTCAAGCAATCTGGGCCAAAGCACTAAAAATGAGCCCTGCCGATATAAGTGGTGGAGATAGCTTCTTCCAGCTTGGAGGCGATTCAATTACTGCGATGAAAGTTGCCGCAGCCGCCAGGACAGAAGGTGTTTTTATCTCACTTCAAGATCTCTTCCAAAACGCCTCTCTGGAGAAGCTCGCCAAAGCCGGAGAGGTCAAAATAGACATTTCAGATGAGCCGATTGATTGGAAGAAAGAGGTTGCTGTCTACCCAGAGCTTAAGATGCCCCTGAGCAAATTCCCGCCTCGTCAATCCAGCAGCGACAGGATCGAAGTTGTTCTCACCGGCTGTACCGGCCTTTTAGGCAATGAAATCCTCAGACAGCTCGAGGCAAGTGCTGAGATCTCGAAGATTCACTGTGTAGCCATCCGAGCAAAGGGAACAGGAGTCGCAAGAAAAGGTAACCTCAACTCCGAGAAGGTTGTGACATACACAGGCGATCTCTCCCTGCCTCGACTTGGTCTATCAAAAGAAGACGAAGAAATGATCCTTGCCCGCTGTGGAGCAATTATTCACTGTGGCGCCCTGGTGTCCTTCGTTCAGGGGTATCAAACACTCTACGGCCCCAATGTAGCGTCTACCAAGGAGCTCGCTAGGTGGGCCATGAAGAGATTCATCCCCTATCACTTCGTTTCGACTGCGGGAGTAGGCCATCTCAGTGGCGCCGACTTCTTCGACCAGGTCTCTGTCTCTGCATACCCACCGCCCACTGACGGATCGGACGGATACACTGCATCGAAATGGGCGAGCGAGGTATACCTGGAAAATGTGAACGAGAAGTTTGGTCTACCAATTTACATTCACCGGCCCACTAACATTCTCGGCACTGCTACGTCTCAGATAGACGTAGTTAACAACCTGTTGACATATTCCCGCAAGATGAAGATTGTGCCTCACTTCATAAACTGGACGGGATATCTGGATCTGATCAATGTCAAATACGTTGCCTCGGATATCATTGAAAGTGTGCTGAAATTGGGACCTGCTTCGTCACCTTCTTGTACAGGTAGATACAAGCTGGAATTCATCCATGAGGGAGGTGAGATTGTTGTGCCTATACAGCAGCTGGGGGAGTATTTGGGCAGGGAAGCTGGTGGCGCTACATTTGAGACTGTAACCTTGGATGAATGGGTTGCGAGGGCGAATGAGAGCGGAATAAACCCGTTGGTGAGCGAGTATCTAAAGGACCTGCGAGACCAGGAGATTGAAGTATCTCTTCCACTGGCCAAATGTAATCGCACGATGGAGGCGTTGGCCAAGTTGAACATGGACGTGGGAGTCAACGGCACCAACGGCACTTACACAAATGGTACAAATGGAACAAATGGAGTAAACGGAGTTCACTGATTCTGCGGGAAACATGGATGTATTTTAAAAAAAGATAGATTGCTATAAAATTTCCTTCAGCTATACTCAGCTAGAGAGTCGGGCAGAGCATGCCATAATAGTAATTAGCAGGGTATAATTTTGTCCATCTATAGATCTAATCATAGCCTATATAGTGACATTTCAGAAGATGGCATCGTATCACATAATATCAATAATATCATAACGCATAAATGTTCCCAACCAAAACCGCCAGCCCCCAACCAGCGAGGAGTAGGACAAAGTAGCAAGAATAAGAAGCATAGCACCTAACCATGCAACACCGAAGAGCGAGAAAAACAGTATCCGAGAAGTGGTACATCTTCATCATTATCGTCACTCTGAGCGATTTCGGCCCCCTTTTCTACTTCTGAGCTCGTCAGGGTTTCCTCTATAGTGGGGGAAGATGCAGCAAAGAAGTCAAAGCTATTCCGTCTTGGAGACGAAGGCTGGCTGTCGTCGTCTGATTCTTCGTCCGGATCATGAAGAAGTTCAGGTGGCTGCTGGATATTGTCTCTATTATAGTAATTAAAATCTGTCTCTTCTTCTTGTTCTGCATCGGAGCGGGTAGAATTTAGTTCGTTGTATAGTGTTGAAATAGAGCGCTTTCTCTGGATAGCACGGTTGTGGGCATCTAACATGAAAACGATGTCCTCTCCGCTGTCTGATCCAGATCCAGAGCTGCAGCTGCAGTCTGACCCGCACTCGTCGTAATCGTCATCGTCGTCAAATTCGTCATAAACGTCGTCATCATCTTCACTGTCAAAGTCGAAATCGGAGGTAGGATTCCCGAGTGTATCATGAATGTTGTCGTTGTTGAAGTTCGTTACAGCATTTCCGGCATTAGCATAGCTGACAGCCTGATTGAACCAGTCTTCTTGCTCGTTCTCTGCCTCAGCCAGGTCTGCCATGAGGCCATCTAACATGTTTGCATGTGCGGTGAGGACCCTGAGGTTTCTATCAGGCTGTCGAGCAGCGTTCATCAGCTTGTGGCGGGCCACCTGGGCAAGAAAGTAGGTCTGAGAAAGGCTCATGTTGCTCTGTTGTCTCCTGCTAGTCGACGACGATGTTGACTGTGATGGGAGAACAGAAGGAGGACAGGAATCCTCGACGGCGCCCGCCATGATGATATCCCCCCCTTTGCTCATGGCGGATTGACTTTCTGACTCAAAATGGCGGAATGCGCTGATAAGATAAAAGGGAGCCAGACAGAGAGCCCGTAGATAGCGTTATCGGCGGCTCATTCACCCGCAACTCATTTGCTGGGTGAGCCAATAGCGATGGGAGAGAGGCGTTCCCAAGGAGAGTTCAGGGGTTTTAGGTTGATTCCTAACTAGCTATCTGCGCCGGTAACGGGAGGTCAGAACATAGGTTTAAGAGAAAAGTGGCAAGGAAGAGAAGCACGACGAACATACCCAGCACGGACGGCGAGACGGCGCCTTTTAAAGAATGCTGCGAGCGTATTCTGGCAAACAGGGTGTGCAGGATGTGTTACCAGGGCTCCCCGGCCCTGCTCCATCCATCCGCGTTATGATGTAATGAGTTCGCGGCAGAAGCAAGAAAATCCTGGTCGCCAAGCGCGCAGCCGACGCGAAAAGCCGGCAGATGCAGGCTTAGTCACGGAAGACGAACTAGAGCAGGGCCATTATACTTCCCGTCGGAGGTCGGTTGCTGGAGTTGTTAAGACGCAGCTGCTGCGGCTGTTGAATGGCGATGTTGAGGTCGCGGAGAAGACGAAGACAAAGACGGGCGGGTGACTAAGCGCCGGCTCTATCTCGACCTCACAGCTTCAGCGGGCAACGATGATAACTACCAGCAGAGCACCAACAGCTGCTGCGAGCGGACGAGACAATGATACCCAGAGGTGTTGGCCTCTACCTGGCTGGGCGACGGCAATGGGCTGCGTACTCGCCGTAGCGTCCGACGTCCTGCTTGATAGCCATGAACGGCCGCGGTCTAAGTTCAAGATCAACGGGCAGCAGCATGAAACGAGACCCTAGACTCAAGATCCAGAGCCCGTAAAGACGCACATTCCGCGGACTAGCCGTGTCAAAGATACCAGATGACCCTCCACACCAGTGTAACTCCCGATGCGATCCAGACTCGGATTTTCAATGGGAAGAGGAACGGTAATTTGGTACGCGCCCGTGGCACAGCTCATTCAGGGAAGTCATTTCTGTTTCGCGCCTGGATTTGCTGTGGCGTTCATTGAGTCTCGGATACTGGACACTGACTGGTGCGCTGGCGACAGCAAGGTAGTCCTGGTAATATCCCGATGACCCGGTCAACTGTTTACATAAAATAGTGCGGTTGAGTGGGCTCTTGAAGCTTATACCAGAGCTAGAGAATCGAAATAATGTGGACATTCAAAAGCGAATTCTCCTATTCGATGGAAAAATCTTCGTATCACTGGTTCGGCGGCAGTGGGGTCATCTCCAGCATTTGATTGCGCGGAATTTTGTCCGGCGCAGCTCGATATTGGTACTTGCTAGGGTCGCTATTTCTTTGAACTGGATTGAATCACAGTCCTGTCGATGCTTGCGGCGTTCCCATATTGTCTCGGAGCAACGCGCTGTTCTAGGTTTACTCGCTACGAAGAGCTCTGGTCCTCTGCCTTCACAGATCAAGTGTCGAGACAAGATCGAAGGACATCGACCGCTCATATCCCACCACCAAAGATGCAGGGAAGGAAAAAAAAAGAAAAGAAAATACAAGATATCACTGCTACCTAATTTCCCGTCATGGTTGCTACGCGCAGCTCGGCTGATCTGAACCACCCAACCCACCCAGACCCAGCCTCGCGCGGATGACGGACCTACCACAGCATGCAAAGCATCCAGCAACCAACTCGCCTCAACCTGGCTGCGCAGGCTCCTTATTTCTTCGTTTGGTTCCACAAATTTGCCAACAAAAAAGACACAAGAAGTCGAGAGGCAGAAGATGACCTGCTTAGTCATGTTTACATGGTTACTAAGCAAAATAAGCTTAAAGGGATGACGTCATCCCGTGACTTGCGGCTCTCAGGAAAGCAAAAAGGAAAAATATTTTGATATTGTTGAGTTACGCCGATGACCTTGCCACAGAGCCGATTTGGGCATGAGGATCCTTGGGTGTGTTGGCAATTGTGTGGCTTCGCTGTGGATGGCAGGAGGGTATGACCAGCTCTTCACGGGCCACGTCAAAGGGACCAATTGAACGCCGTAAATCGTCTTCTAGAGTACTGCACAAGAGGAGCTAGATGAAAAATACATTGCAGGCGGCAGGACCTAGCCCAATCTCAAAGAAAAACCAGCTCCAGCCTCTGTCGAGCCAGAATCGCCTCCCCCAAAAACATTCGCAAAGTCCAGCCTAGGCGCTTCCTCCCCCCTCTTTGGCGCCTCGGGGGTATCACGCTTCCGTCTCTTCTCCAGATTCGCCTTGGACGGGAAGGTAGGAAACATCTCTTTGGGCTTTGGCTTGGGATCTTCACGAAAGTACGGGTGGGACAGGCATGACTTTGCTGTTGGTCTGGCTGCCGGATTGAGCGCGAGCAGGTGAGAGAGCAGACTTAGGCCTGCAGAAGTAAGATAGGGAAACTTTGAGCGAGGTAGTAGGGGAACGGCCGGGCCGGAAGGATCAGAAGAAGACGGTGGGAGACGAAGTGATTTGGCGTTGGGGAGGGAGCGAAAGCCTGGCCATGTCTGGGATGTTGGTGGCCCGGTAAGGGCGAATATCTAACTGTATCAGCAGGTAACTCACTTTTAACGAGACAAAAGACGGTGGGAAGGCAGAAGATTTACCTCTGAGAGTTGGGCTACTTCGTTCTTGCCACGAAGCAGAGGCTCTTTGATCAACAGCTCCCCGAATATACAGCCAATGCTCCACATATCGATCTCGGTACCGTACTTGTCTGCTCCCAACAGCAGCTCTGGCGCCCGGTACCACAGCGTAACAACCAGCTGCGTCAATTTCGGGGGCGGATCGCCGTAATACCTCGCCATTCCAAAATCAGCCAGTTTGATCTCCCCGCGGTTGTTCATCAGTAGATTCGAAGTCTTCAGATCCCGGTGCATGATCCAATGCGAGTGCAGGAACTCGGCTGCACCGAGCACCTGAAGTAGGACCGTCTTTGTCTCGGAGGGCAGGAAGGGCTCCCTCATCTCGTCTAGTAGGCTCTTGAGGTCGTGTTCGATGAAATCCATGACCAGGAACACGCTGCGGGAAAGCCGAGTAAGGACAGACAAGGAGGTTAATGACTATCAATGTATCTGGGCTTTTCACCAACCAAGAAGAACGAAAAAGGGGGAAAGGGCATCGCTTACTCGTCCATTGCGTCGCCCATGACCACTTCACGCAGCTGGATGATGTGCGGGTGTCTCGAGGCAAGCAGGGTCTGAATTTCGCGCAGGCCGGTGACGGGGAATCCATCGTACGCGTTTTCCATCTTGAGCTTCTTGATGGCCACGATCTGGCCTGTGGCCGTCTCTTTGGCCCTCGAAACCCAGCCATAGGATCCTTCTTCAATCGCATTCAGGTTCTCGAAGTTGTCGATGTGTCTGCAAGGGCCCCATTCCGGCGCTGGAAACTGCAGCAGCCTTGCCGGTGGTGCAACGCCAGCATCTTCGGATGTTTCATTAGACAGCCGGCGTCGTTTAGAAGGCGGTTCACTTCCATTTTCTGGCTTATCCGGTTGTTTATCACTGGGCTCCGTCGATTGTTGTGTTTGTTGTTGTTGTTGCTGCTGCCTTTCGGCGATGAGTCGCTGTCGCTCTGCCTTTGCGCGCTTCTTTGCCTCCTTCTCCTGCTTGCGCCGCTGGAGTTCGGCCTCTGTCTCCGGGTTATCGTCTGCCCATCGAGATTTGGCAGGGGCTGACATCTTCGCTGTCTTGTCTTTACTTCTTCTTCCTGTCTGTTCTTCGAGCTCTCGGGGCTACGGAGTTCCAGATGTCAGGCCGGACTTAGGATGTTCCGCCAGGAGGATAAGGTCGAAGAGCCCCTCGACAGCACAGGATAGGGATATTACGACGACACCGACCGAGTCCGCGGAGTAATGGAGTGATATAAACTTAGATCGCGATTCTCTGGTCAAAGAGAGAGAGACGATACCATGATCGAGCCATTTCAAGTACGGTTGGAGCCCCCCGATTTCAATATCGAACGAAGCCCACGAACGGACTAGAACTAGTTAACACGGCTACAGGCAACATTTGCGGTACCCTTGACATGCGAGAGCTGCATCAAGGATATCTCGAAGCCGCTGTATGAGCTGTCTGGTTAGTCTGTAACTCCCTGTGGGTTGGCTGGTTATGGACGGACACCTGTTGACAAACTACAAATTAAAGGCATCAAAAAGGTCGATGCCAGCTTAGCAGATCAGTTGATCGTGGTTGAAGGCACCGCTGCGCCCTCTGCCATCGTGGCTGCGATCCAAAGCACTGGTCGGGATGCCATTCTACGCGGCAGTGGGACATCAAATAGTACGTCTACAAAGGTGGCAAGATACAAGTCGCAGCTTATACTGACGGGGGGGAGGAGGAAAGACGCTTCAGTGTGTATCCTAGAAACACACAAGGAGAGCGTTGCAAATAAGATACGAGGCCTGGTACGCATGGTACAAGTCTCCAGCGGCCTGACAATATTCGACCTGACGATCAACGGGCTCTCGCCGGGGCGATACTGGGCCACTATCCGTGAGACAGGAGACGTCTCCCGCGGCCCCGAGTCCACTGGTGGAGTCTGGGAAGCCGTCAAAGATCTCAAAGAGAAGCAGCAACAAGGTAGCAGCAGCAGCAGTGGCAGTGATCCACGGGGAGTTGTGGGCAGTGTGGACGTGGACGAGAACGGCAAAGGCAATGTCTTCCTGGACCGGCCGATAGCCGTGTGGGAGATGATCGGACGCAGCATGGTGGTATCGAGGCAGCGCGAGGGCCCCTTCAGCATCGACGACGAAGACACCATCGTCGGCGTCGTAGCTCGCAGTGCCGGCGTCTGGGACAACGAGAAGATGGTGTGTTCATGCTCGGGCAAGAATGTATGGGAGGAGCGCAAGGAGCAGCGCTCCAGGGGGATTATCTGATGTCTCTCAACATCACGACGAGAATCTGCTCCAGCCTTCGCTGCGGCCTGATGGATATATAAACGTCGCATCTAGTGAATCTACCAAAAGATCAACTCCCAACCGTCAGCCAGCATTGAATAATGTCATTGTAGTCGTTGGCAGCCGCTGTGATTCGCCGCTTTGCTAGCCGCCGGCCTCAGCTTGGCTGCAGCAGCGCCGGGACAGCGACATCTCCGCCTGAACCACCACCGGCTCTCGCTCTCGACCGGACGAGAGGGTGTGTGTCTCACCCAGCAGGCCCCGTAACTAGATGTATATGGCATCGGTGGGCTTTATAAAACGGGCCAGCATCCGTCCTAAGCGCCCGCCGTCTGCATCCTGCATCGCCACGAGCAGCCAGAAGGAATCCTGCAGCGCATCCCTGGCCATCACACCCGGTCACAGTCTTGTCCGCTGGGCGCGCCACCCGCCATCGGTCCAGCCGTCCGTTGAAGCTCCCGGTCGATAATTCGCTGGCGAGAAAAGACGATACGAGTCAATATATCACTGCTAAGCGCCCGCCCTGAGCAGCTGAGCCCGCCGTCAGTTTGCGTCCGTTGCTGCCAGGACACCATCAATTGCCATGTCGTTAAAACAGGTCAGTCCCTCCAAGCTCTAGAGACAGGCGAGGATGCGCAGAGAGAGAGAGAGAGAGAGAGGGGCCATGACAGACTGACGCGGACAGCAGGAGATCGAGACCTGGGTTCAGGCGCTGGCTCACTACGATAACAACGAGTTCGAGGACGCCATCGCCGTCTTTGGCGGGATTGCAGACACCTCCAAGATCCTCTTCAACTGCGGCGTCATCTACGCTACGCTGGGCGAGCATGCCAAAGCAGTACGTCTGTGTTCTTCTTGTGTTTTATGCGGCATGGCGGGATGCTTGCTAACGGGGTTGTTTCCTAGGTGGACTGCTACCAGAGGGCCATCGCCCTAGACAAATACCTTGCCATAGCGTACTTCCAGCAGGGAGTATCGAACTTTCTCATCGGTGACTTCGAAGAGGCCCTCGCCAACTTCAACGATACACTGCTGTACCTGCGAGGCAATACGACGATCGACTACGAGCAGCTCGGCCTCAAATACAAGCTCTACTCGTGCGAAGTCCTTTTCAACCGCGGGCTGTGCTATATCTACTTGCAGGAAATCGAGTCGGGCATGAATGACCTGACCTACGCTGCTAAGGAAAAAGCAAAGCCAGACCACGATGTCATCGACGAAGCCATTGCTGAGACAGCCGAGGTAAGCCCTTCCCAGTTCATCATCCTTATTCTGTGGCGTATTCTGATAAGCTGTCTAGGGATATACGGTATTCTCTATACCGGTGGGCGTGATATATCGCCCAAGCGAGGCCAAAGTCAAGAATCTCAAGACCAAGGAGTATCTCGGCAAGGCGAGACTGGTGGCTGCTTCTGATAGGGCCAACACCTTCACTGGCTTTCAGGGTCATGAGACCAAGATACCCGTCTTCGAAAGCTCTCGAGACGACCGGCCACCAGAGAACATATCGTATGGCGCTACCAATCTTGTGCAGAAGAACCTTGCAGGCAGGAGCAGACAGCAGTCTGAGCCGCCTATCAGCCGCAATGCTTTCCCTCCAACACCACCGCCAGACGAGAAGGCTTCCTCTCTTGCACCTAGCAATGGGTCTACCGGTAGCTTGACCCGCAAACAGTCCCTAACCAGGGCAACTCGGCCGCCTGTTCTCGAGCTGGGAAGAAGGGCATCCTCTGAACAGACACAGTCCATTGGAGGATCAATGGCTGTAGATTCACAACAACCAAAGGCCCAGCAGGAAAAGTCTCGTGTTGGCACTGTCCGAACTGCCTCTGAGCCACGCGGACCAGCCTCGAGACTCTCGGCTATACGCTACGGCCCTCCTACAAATGGAAAACTGCTCTTCCGCGAAACTACCGGCCAGCATCGACGGCCCATGTCCAACATCTCCCCCTTGTCAGAGGAACCACAGGCTTACTACACCATGTACGCCGCCGGACCAGGACCAGGCTACACCACCGAAAACGGCCACACCCGACTTCCCGAATACATCAACGAAGAAGGCTACGAATCCGAGCCCCTCGACGACGATGCAGGAGAATGCATCCAGTTCGAAATGGTTGGCAGTCGCCCACCCCAACACCAGCTCTCCAGCCGCCACCGGCATTCTTCCCGCCGTCCGGAAATCAAAAAGATCCGCGTTAAGGTCCATGCCGACTCGGATACGCGCTTTATCATGATCACGCCCACCACCGAATATGTCGAGTTCGAAAACAAGATCCGTGAAAAGTTTGGGTTCAAGGGTAACCTGAAGATCAAGATGCAGGATGACGGGGATATGGTCACCCTTGCGGACCAGGATGATCTCGACATGCTTGTTACTGCGGCCAAGCAGGTTGCTAGAAAGGAGAATAATGATATGGGCAAGACGGAGGTAAGGGTCTCATGCATTCCGCCTGCTGGCTTTGCACCATGTGCCTAGCTAACCCGTCTGCCTCTCTTTTCTTCTTTTGCAGGTCTGGGTTGCCGAAATACTTGCATAATGAGATTCATCTTCGCTTTAAAGTACGGTCTATTATGCTGTGGCCTTTTATATGGCGGTAATCAGTTCTGATAGATGGCGTTTTGGGGGGTTTTGCCTTGCTTTGGTAGGCTTAAAGCTGGGGTTAGCATGGAGTTTATGGTCATGTCCATACTGGTAGCTGTTATGATTGATGTCTCAAGTCTTCTCTTCGTATGATCTCTCATGCATCTATCGCTTCTCTTCGTCCTCATCTTCGTCCTTTTTATCCATTACTTTCTTGAATATCGTCGTCGTTATTGTCCATCTACTTCTTCCTCGCATGTATGTGATGACTAAGCAATACTATCAAAAGAACGACGTCTTCAACTTCTACAAACTCCGCATATGCAATACAATAGAGAGAAGACAAAAGGAAGACAGCGGGTAATCGACGATGACAGACCTTACACCAGCAGTCAATGACCTGCTCAGGGCTCGTGGCAGCTCTCTTCTCTCCGGCGAGACGAGTAGTCCCTCCGGCGCCCAGGTGGACGAGTTCCTGAAGGAGGCACATAGAATCGTACGTGGCCATCCCACCCGCCCAATGCCAGACATAGCCCACTAACAGACAGTAGAACGTCCATATATCGTCTCTCCTGGCATATCTCAAGTCCATACGAACAGTATATCTATCCACCGTACCCGCCAGACCATCCGGCCACACGCAAAATACAGACTTCAATCTGCTCAACCCGTCGTCAAGCTCGATATCAACCCACCTGACCGACCCCGAACGAGACTCAATAGACTCTTCCACTGCGTCCTTACTCCAAGATCTATCCCGCTCGATAGGAAATCTTGCATCAGCTGAATCGCTACGTGCCCAAACCCAGGCGTCTGTGTTGCGCAAGAAATTCGGTCATGGCAAGCTAAATGAGCGGCTCTGGCAGTGGGCTGGGGGCGGGGGAGCAGTGGATGTGCCTCGGTCATCAGAGCAGGAAGAAGTAGAAGATACAGAGAAGAATCTCGTTGGCATGCGTGAGAGTGTTCTCTGGTTTCTCAGGCGGGGGCTAGAGGGTGCTGCGGAGGTGCAGAGGGAGATGGTGGAGAAGAGAATCGAGAGGGTCAGAGAGAAGGAGAAGAGTGTGCTGTATAAGTCTAAAGCTGGTCAGATGCCTATTCATACGCAGGTCGAGGGCAGTAGTGGTGGAATTAGTGGTGGAAGTGGACGATATGATGGTGGAGACGAAGATGTGTTACGCGGCAGAGATGTTTCTCTTGACGAGAAGGAGGCTGCGGCTATTGAATCGCAGCTTTCACCGGAGCAGCTGCAACTGTTTGCGCAGGAGAATGACGGCATGCTGAAATATTATGAAGATACTCTCGGCAAGGTCCAGTACGTACAGCGCCATCCATCTGTATACATATTACCGCCTGCTAACATGAACCAAGAAATGCGGAGAAATCGTTGCTGGAGATATCTTCTCTGCAGCAGACGCTGGTGGCTCACTTAGCTACGCAGGAAGACTATATCAACCAGCTGGTCCGGGACGCTGAATCGACGCACGCCAACGTCGGGCGAGGCAACAAGGAGCTGAAGCGAGCGAGCGAGCGACGCAGCGAGGCCCAGATGGTCTTCTGGGCTACCGTCGTCCTTTGCGTCTGGCTGATCTTGTGGGATGCCATTTTCTAGTCAACTAACTTAGGGGGATACTGCAGCACTTTTTGGCCTAGAATAAACGACTGCCACGAAGTGTTAAATTAGGCCTTAACGAGTGCCATGGGTAAGGATATAACGTGTAACGGCGTAATATCCTCCTAATGATGTCCAGATTGCGCCTGCCCAAGTTTCGACTTCAGCACCTTCTCGGCATTATATGACACCCCAACTTGATATCAACGATGTCAGCGCCAACTGCGCAAAAGTACATCTACAGATCTACTGCGTACCTCTTTTGGATCAGAAACAGCAAAGATGGACACCGTGTTAGATATCCAGCCACAAATCCCAGCTGCAGATCCCCAAGACGGAGACGGCGATGGCTGCAGCTCCGGCTCCCAGCTCGGTGTTGAGGCTCAAACCCAACCCCAACCCGAACCGACCTCGCAGCCATTTTCCGCCGGCCGGCTGCTCGTCTTTTCTCCACTGAAAGTAAGGCTCAACCCGTCCGCTGGCTGGACCTTTACCGGCGAGCTTCCCCCATTCCACCCGCGGGTGAATCTCGATCCGCCTGACGTGAAGATCTACGTGGGCGTCACCGACGACCAGCCCCAGATACCGACACACAGTCCTAACCAATCTGTGTTTCTCTCCTTTGACCCCTTGATGCAGGACAATTACTGGCTGTACGACAAGCAGTGGAGGACCGTCCCGGAGGAGTTTGTTGTGTTTGGTCCGGAGTATGAAACGGTCGAGAGCCGCAAGAAGGCGGCCCTGAAGATGCTGGGGAACAACGTATTGTGGATAAGACAGAGAAAGCTTCTGAAACGTGAAGCGTTCATTAAATGGACGCTTGAACGGCTGCGCTGGGAGGCCAAGTTCCTGGAGCGCGAGTGGTTCATCAGGGGCAACAGGGAGATCTTCCCGCCAGACACCACCAACAGCAGGGTCCTGGAGGCCATCCTCGAGCTAGAGCAGATGGCGCCCTTCCAGCCGCTGCCCAACTAGACTTTTCTATACATGATTTCTCTTGCTCTTCTTTCTACTTCTTCTCCGTATAGACATCCCATCTATATAAAACACGTGACGTAGATCTGAAAAGGGCAAAAAACGACGTCGACGATGCAAAACAGCCAGACGAAACGCAGCAACAACACGACGAGACGAGCTGAAACGCCGACTGGACGCCCATCGGCCTCCCGTCCAATCGATCTCGGATCCCTCCCCAGCGCTCCCGAGACTTCCTTCGAGGATCTCGTCGGCTGTCCAGCCTGTCCAGGCACCCCCAGGCGGGCCAAACTGGATCCCAACACGAACACCTTCGATCCCTGCCGGGCAGGCCGGAACAACAAACGAATAAAGAAAATGCGCAGCGAGGCAGCGAGGACGAGGACGATGGAAGAGATCGGGCTTCGCGGGTGCGTCCAGTCAGGATGGTTATCGCAAGGTCATCGGGCAGACAGGAGCAGGGCTGTGCAGCCTCTCAGCTGGCCCGGCGGCCCTCCCAGCGACGAACGACAAGTGTCAGCGAGAAGGCCTAGAAGCAGATGAAACAGACGTGAACGCGATCAGCCATGCGGCCGCTTTTCTTTTTCTGGGGCCCTTTTTCCCTTATTTTTCTTCCCCTGGTCCTGACGGAGTGCCAGGTACGTACCTCTGGCCATGTACCGCAATCCCGGTCGACCTGCAGGAGCGGCTATGGGCGCTGAACACGCGAGAACATGAGACAGCCAGCGAGCAGACCGGACAGACACAGACAACAACTACTATATAACGAGCTACGCTGCTCGCTCGCCGGCGGTGGAATTCTTCGTCTCCTCCGTCTTCTTCGTCTGCTGTTCTGCTGTGCTTCTTCTCTTCCTTCGACCTCTTCTTGTCTACCTCGGAGTTAGCGGCGGGAAGGCCCTCGGATCCACCTCCGTCTTGCTCTGCAATTCCCCCTGCGGCCTTTCGCCTTCTTCCTTTCTTTTGCCTGTCACACGCCCGACCTGCCCCTTTGCTACTTCTTCCACGGCCTCTGCTGCTTCTCCTGCTTCTCACTTCTGCAAGATGGCACCCGCTGCTGTTTCGACCATCGCCCGCGACCGTCTGGATACTGTCTCACGCCACATCATGACGCCCAGCTTCTTCACCCCCTCGGCCGTGCCCAAGGCACCAGAAGACCCTCTGTTTGGTCTCGCCGCTGCCTGCAGAGCTGACACCTCCGACAAGAAGATAGATCTCGGTATCGGTGCCTACAGAGACTCCGATGCAAAGCCATGGGTCCTCCCCGTCGTCAAGAAGGTCGGTTTGATGCTCCTGATGCTGCTGATGCTGCTGATGCTGCTGATGCTGCTAATGGCCAAAATGCCACATGAAGACACATGCTAACAACTGTCACAGGCCGACCGAATGCTGCGAGAAGACCCCAAGCTCAACCACGAATACCTTCCTATCGCCGGACTCAAGGACTTCACCACTGCTGCTCAGAAGCTCATCCTCGGCGAGAACTCCCCTGCCATCAGAGATAACAGAGTAAGACAACCAACCAACCTCGTCCAGTCACATCTACATGAAGCAACGCTGACTAGAAACCCACCCCTTAGGTCGTCACTTTCCAGACAATCTCGGGCACCGGTGCCGTCCATCTTGGAGGCCTGTTCATCTCCAAGTTCTTCCCATCCACTCCCAAGCCCACCATCTACCTCTCCAACCCAACATGGCCCAACCACCCTCAGATCTTCAAGACCGTCCACCTCGAGTCGGCCTATTACCCTTACTTCAACCCAGCCAACAAGGGTCTCAACCTTGAGGGTATGCTCAAGGCTATCCGCGCGGCTCCTTCTGGCTCCGTCATCCTCCTTCACCCATGCGCCCACAATCCCACCGGTGTAGATCCCACCCAGCACCAGTGGAAGCAGATTGCCACTGTCATCCGCGAACGCAACCACTTCCCCTTCTTCGACTGCGCCTACCAGGGTTTCGCCTCCGGTGACCTCGCCCGTGACTCCTGGGCTGTCCGCTACTTTGTCTCCGAGGGCTTCGAGATGTGCGTCTCCCAGTCCTTCGCCAAAAACTTCGGTCTCTACGGCGAGCGTGCTGGTGCCTTCCACTTCATCACTGCTCCCGGACCGAACGCCGCCGAGGCCCTCTCCAATGTTGCCTCCCAGCTTGCTATCCTGCAGCGATCCGAGATCTCTAACCCCCCTGCCTACGGTGCCCGCATTGCCTCTCTCATCCTCAATGACGCCACCTTGTTCAAGGAGTGGGAGGAGGACCTCCGCACCATGTCCGGCCGCATCCTCGAGATGAGAAAGGGTGTCCGAGAGCGTCTCGAGGAGAAGGGCACTCCAGGTACCTGGGACCACATCACCAACCAGATTGGCATGTTCAGCTTCACCGGTCTCACCGAGGAACAAGTCCAGATCCTTCGTGAGAAGTGGCACATCTACATGGTACGTTGTTACTCTAACCCAACGTTTTATATACTATTAATATACTAACATCGTCCCAGACCAAGAACGGCCGCATCTCCATGGCAGGCCTTAACGTCCACAACATCGACTACTTCGCTGAGGCAGTCGATGCCGTTGTCAGAGAAACTACCAAATAGACTACGCTACACTCTATCAAAACTATCCCCTATCACACATAACTAACCCGCTGGTCGAATGTACAAAACCCCTTACCCAAATAATTTCGGACATACCTTTTTATTCCCTATTCCGTTGTCTTGTATCTGCTTATCTCTCTTCATCTCATTTCTCTTCGTGGTGGGGGGGGGGGGGAGCATTGGAAAAGAAAATCAACTAAAATGAGCACCAATCACAACTGATTAGTTACTACACTTGCTAGTCGGTTTCTTATTTCATGATATGATATGAACATTCTGTCTACTCAATCCCGTCCGTCCTGTACTATTTACAGCATAACTCCCATTAGTCTATCCACGATATCAATTGACTTTTCAACATTAATCCCATCTGTTTCACAGGTATACCTGCATGCTAGTTCGTATCATATCAAGCCTCGGCGCATCCACGCCCTGTCGGCTATATATTACACATCTTAACCTGCTTGTGATTTCGTTCGCTGCAGAGTTCGATCATGCTCAACGGCGTTTCAAGGATCTACGCATAGACTCGCATATGCACTCTTCCCGCAAGCCCCTGTCGTTACATACGTGTTTGGTCTGGTATCAAACAGGCATCATCGCCGATACGAGATTCATCAAGAATTTGATAGCCAACCAACTAACTAACAAGCAAGGGAACTAACCAGGAACGCCTTGTTTATCTACTTATAACACTCGGCATATAGCAAACAGCCAAACATTCATACTACTCCGTCAGAGACCAAAAAACTCCAGGAACTAGTATACAGATAAGCCCCTGACATGCTACCAATTTGTTAGGTAGCACCTTTGATAAATCCAATATCCAGCCAGCTCAGTCATTATGTAAAGGTAAATAGTGAAAATGATTGAAGGTAGTCAAGTGGTAGTAGAATGGTGTCTAGCAGAGATATATACGGGGTACTTGGATGTCTAAAGCAAAGGACCACGGGCTGGACAACAATATGGGAGTCGTACTCTGTGGGTATGATAACTGTAACAATCTGACAACAAAATAGCTATTCTCTCTGCTGCTAATTGGGAGGCGTGCCTTTTTGGCTCAGCCGTTTGATAACAATCTGCTGATGCCACCAATGTGCTTTTGATATCCTGGGAAAGGTGCAGACTGCATAATGCATGGGTAAGAAGTCGGCAACATGAAGCTCAGCGGAAATAGGTTGCAAATCAGGGCTGGAGTGGTAACTCGTCATCTGCTCCGTCGTGATCCTGAGGTCGAATTACCCGGAATCGTCGATTTGCATGAGTCGGTGTACTTTGTGATAATCTGTTTAGTAACTCCAACCCAGCTGTCAGCGTCTGAACTGTCTGTCTCAGGAAGTCCTCAAAGAAGGTTGAGTTTTCAGCGACCAGCTGGCGTATCATTTTTCTGGCCGAGTTGCCTTCATACCACCTGTTCGATGTATGTATACCGCAGATGATATACACCTTCTGCTCATTGCGTTGACCAAGTCGGTGCAGTCGGCCAATTGCTTGCCCCTCAACGAGCCTCGAAAAGGTGGAATATAAACATGGTGATGTTTGAAGGCTTTCCAAATATCGAGGCAAGGTCTTTTATCGAAGACGTACTTAACCATATGCGAGGGCTTTCCGCATTGCACGCCAGAGACAAAATAAATATCTCCTCAACTCCATTAACCAGCCGAGTACACAACCCGGGCCCTTTTTCCGCGGGAAGACAGCACTAGAGCCACTATATATATGCTGTGCATCTCGCATTATATTCAAAACTGTATGATCTGTTTGATCTTTTGCGTGGTGTTTGAACTGTCCACCCTCGACAGCTGATAGATAACTTTGTGCTCGGGATATAGTGAGAGAGGCGCTAATTATAGACAGTGAAACATGGCTCCATGGCCATGTTATTGTCGGACTGCTTTCCATGCAATGGCGAATGAGAGAATCCGAAGAGGGTAAGTTTGCAGACATGGGGTAAAAATCTCGAAGATGACTGAAAGACCTTGAGACTGAATTGCTGGATTTATTGAGACGTACCTTTCCATAGGTTAGCATTTTGAACACCTATACGGCATACCTGTGTTCTTTCATATTTACATACTTTCAAGGCGAGCCAATACTCGTCTTCAGATTGATAGGCAAATATCCCCCCCAAAAAAGGTCCTTTTTTTTGCCTTTCACTCAATTGGTGCAGGCAGTTCAAGATAGTTCCTCGCCCATGGATCGACATAGACATGGACGTTGTAGTTGAAAACACCTAAACAGTATATATAGCTCGAAGATGGTTTCTCGTCCCTGGATTGACATAGACGTGGACGCTATAGTTGAGACCACTTGAATAATTAGTCCGCATAGCTCAAAGATAGTTCCTCACCCATGGATCGACGTAGACATGGATGCTATAGTTAGGAACACTCATTATATATATAGCTTGAAGATGGTTCCCCATCCTTGGATCGACATAGACATGGACACTGTAGCCCATGCGATGGGTGCAGTTTAACTCACTATCGCACTCGAGTCGATGATTAGTAGTCAGCTCTCCATGGTTATAAGAGATGGATATGAAGCTTCATCGCAAAAAGAACGACTCTATATATAAGCCACATCCCACGCATTTCTTCATATCTCTAGATTGTCAAAGTCGGCAGGCATGACCTCTCCGGCATAGCAGTCAGTGATAAAGCCACGTTCATGATCTTCCATGAAGCAAGACTTACATATAGCCGTCACTCTTATGTGGGCGAAAACAAAGTCCTTGGTAAGAGGGTCGGAAGCGTAGGACAGGCGGTCGATGAACGGGCGGCACAAAAGCATGATGGCAGGCCAGGAGCAGTTTCCCTTTGTTGGTCCGAACCTTCTTCCGACGCCTTAGTGGATTTCGAGCGAGTGACTCCAGTAAGGGGTAGTTACGCCTCGCGGAGTAAAGAAAGCAACAAAAAAATATTTCGGGGATATTCCATGAACTGCATCTGATCCCGATGTGGCGTGGTGACTTGATAGATGATACTTTGTCGCCTCACTCATAGCGCTACATAGATCAACGCTGCGTCTACTGACACCGCTCGCCCTCTTGACCAAATGGTAGAATCCAGAATCCTTCTGCTAGGCATGAGTAGAGGATGATTCGGAATTGTCAGCCACGGCTAGCAGTTGGTTGGAATCAACCACGACTCAAGAGCTGTGTAATACCCTCGCATAGGCATTAGCAGAACATGCCTTGTCCGAAAAGAGAGAGGAGAAAAGCGACATCGGTAGTTGGGTCAGGATTGATGCGGCAGTAGGGTTAAATTTTCGTAGCCTGGGACGTTCCTGGATGTGCTGTGTGGATGACTTGTCGGGGTGAGTGCATCGACTCTGATGATATATCCAGATGTAGCGAGTGTATCTCAGAGAAACTTAGGACTGCTATAGTATATGCAGCCACATGGTATATATACCCCTGGGTATACCCTTATAAGTATCCCGAAGCAGGGGCGGAATAAAGAGACATCAAAAAGAATATACTTTAGGCATGAAGTATAAAAGGAAGAAGGAAATGAATTGAGGAATTGGGAGATTGAGCAGGCTTATATACCCCAAACCCCCAGGATAATATTCACTCATAGATAGGTATGTCACTGACGTGTCAAAGTCCCAGTGACTGCAGCCGGCCACTGTTACAAGACAGTGACTTGAAAAATCGGGTATATACTTATATTAGTGAATAAAGAAACTCAATACCAAGAAATGGAGTGTACCAATTATTATGCGAAGAGTGGAGCTTGAGCCCTGAAGATACGGGATACAACATGGAATATCCTATACACGCAGCAAAGATCAGTGAAATGAAATACATACCAAAAAAAATACATCAAAAACCAAGGCGACAAGCATAGCAGGGTTAGTAAAATTGTTAGTTCAATAAAGGCTTGCTTAAAAACCGAGATTGATATTCCCGTAGTTTCCAATATTACCACTTCCACCGTCTTCATAACACAGCCACAGATGAGACAAGAATGTTTTTCCATATCAAAGAAAAAATCAGCGTAGATTCTCAGTCCAGTTCATCCATAGTAGTCATGTCCCCGTCACTATCGGTCTCTCCCCTTAAAGATACTTACTCGAAACCACCATACTTGTATCCAGCGAAGTAGCACCAGCCACCAACGCCTTTGCTTCCTCCTCCACCATCCCAACCTTCACCCAGCATGGCTCCAGATCAATAAATCCGCCATCTGCCAACGCAAAGATGGCGCCCATCACCCAGGCCCGACAGGAAAACTTCTCAGAGTCCCGTATGCTTGAGGACCGCACACACTCGTCTACCGCCGCCAACCACTCGGCGTTGACGTCGGGTAGCTCGCCCACCTTGAGCGCAACCAGCATGGCCCGGGAAGTAGTAACGTCCGCAGGCTGAATGCTGTACTCCCATTCTGCTTCATCGTTGGGCCGGAGCTGCTGCAGAACTGTGCCGGCCGTGGGTGAGTGGGCAATCAGCAGAGCCCAGTGGTACTTCTCGTGTCGACCCATTTCACTAAGGGTCAAGTAGATGCCGTTGGGCGAGAGGCGGATGCCATCGTCCGAGAGATTCGAAGTCGAGGAACTTGGAGTGTCCGTCTCTGGAGTCAAAGATGGAGTCGTAGATGTGGATTGGCAGGTGGATGTTGGCTCCGCCATGGCTCTTTTTTTATGTTGATCTTTGCTCTTGCAGGCAGGTTTGGTCCGATCGGTTATCTGGGAGGGGGGGGGGGGTATTTTAGCCTTTCTTGCGCGCAGCCCTGGGTATATATCAGGGCGCTTCTCTATGAGCCCAGCTGGCTCCGCGGCGGGTCAGAAGTTGCCTGCAGAGCGAGATATCGTCATGATCTCAGCAGAGGGACACGAAGATGCAGCTGAAGTTGAGGCGTCGTCGGCGTCGCATTTTGACAGCAGAAAAGTTGGGGTAAAAAAAAAGAGGGGCACGTGATGGGTTTGCTCTGTTTGCATTGATTTTGTTGCTTATAAATACGCCTTCGGTATAATATTAATACCCGTCCGTGATTAGTCATGCAATTATATAATCCGGATAGTATTAATATTTTACCGGAAGTTTATTAATCATCAGGAAAGCTTGTGTAAACAGTGCAAACAAGTCCTCTTCGGGGCTGATAAAAGGCTGGGCTCTTCAATAAAACAAATGGTTGTCTTCATTTGTTGGATTTTCATCTCTCACAAGTTTCGGGTTAAATAGTCAATGGGTTAGGAGAAAGGGAGGCGAACATGGCTCTTCCATCTAGCGAAGTTATCGGCTCCCTGGGACGCCGCTATATCTTCAAACAATTGATCCAGGAAAGACCACATCTCGGCCGCGTTTGGTTGGCAACGTGAGAGTACACCAGCCCTCAATATTATGTTGGACTAACGCATGGGATATTTCAGGTCCGGTCAAGAAAATTTCGTCTTGAAGGACATCCCAGAAGCTATATTTTCCAGTTTTAATGAAGATATCCGACCACGGCTGCGTGAAAGCCCATTTCTACGACTACCCTGTGATACGATTCCAAACCAGCGAACTTTTGTCTACAAATATCTGGATGATGATCTCCTAAGCCTTGTTAGAAAGCAATTACCGGTACAAGCCCGAAAACAAATTTTAAAAGCCAGCTTGAGAGGTATTGCGGAACTACATAGCCACGATATTGTTCACCTAGGTAAATGAATGACGGGTCCTTTTACCTCAGCCGTTCTCATGTCAGTATTAGTGTGAGTCTAACTGAAGATTTTAGATATCAAACCTGACAATATTATGGTTAACTACCGTGGTACTGGTGCAGATATGACCGTTGACCAGGTCCAGATTATTGATCTTGAAAATGCAGCCTATCTTCCCAAGGGGAGATGCATCAAAGGAATGCTTGCTGGTAATGATAACTGGCGAAGCCCTGAAGCCCATCTGAAGGGCGAACTCAATAAGCCATCTGATATATTTTCCTTTGCAGCTGTGGTAAGTCTTCTATTCGAATTGATTATTTACTTAATGGCTAACTTATGATTGCTTAACCAGTGCATCTATGCCATGCTTGGAAAAGTCATTTTTGGTGCTGACGAGGATTTGCGCAAACACGAAGCACAGGGTGCGTTCCCTTACGTTATCCGTTTGCAACGTCAAGTTTCATATTTCGGGGATCGCAAGGGATTCAATGGGCTCATAACACATATTGGAGACGATGAAATCAACTGCCAGGTCCTTGGGTTTTTATGGGACGATCGAGTGGCTGACTACCACCCTTACAAGCCTTTCTTAGAGTGGTCAAATGTCATTGATGATGCCGAGTTCAAGGATATTATCTTAAAGATGACGAACTTGGACCCCCAACAACGGGTGACGGCACATGAGGCATTGGAGCATCCCTGGTTTTCCGGCTCTGAAATTGATTAAATGCGTCAACTTTCCCACATGCGTTCGTTATCCCATGATCTGCTTTCTCTGCTTGTATTAACCTTCCGTAGATTATCTCCCCCTATTTGATTTACTAAATTGTATCTCATTAAAATTAATGCTTTTTATATTTGCTAGCCTTGTTTTCGATTCAATATGAAGATCTCCAGGGTAACTAGTATCCATGGGAAGAGAGGAAGAGTGTGGTTGATGGGGGTGATGGAGCGAGTTTGACGGCGGCGGTCGTGATTCGTCCCATGACTATTTACGCGCCGCAGAGCTAACCAACTAGTGTCCTCTATCCTCATTGGCGTAGCCAAGATAGTTCTCCGCTTCTCCCTCTTAAGTACTCCGTAGTTATTGCCCTTTTAACGCTTAATATTACGGTTTGGCAGAGCGGTGGGTGAACAATCTACGTAATCGTATTGATCAATCATGTTAGGTACGTAACCCTGATTAGACAAGTGAACTAAGATAAAGGTCTAGTTAGTTATGTAGATTACCCAAAAAGCTTTTTGATCCCCTTTTCAGAGTTACTGGTCACTAGTTAAACAACTTGTTTGCTTGGATATTTATCGAAGTCTGCCACTACACTAAAAGGAGTGAGCCCACACTAATGGTAGGCAGAGCTGAAGTTTGACAATATTTAAGGCTATAGAAGCAGTGATTGCGATAGCCGCTGGTCATCGATTATCATGTACATAGAGCATGGCGCCAATTAACAGTAAAACAGAAACAATCCCCATGTCGAGGACCGGAATGGGGTCACCTTCCTAAGTACGGAGTAACCCAGGTGCATTCTGTGCTTCTAATTGCGCCATCCGCCGCCTCATGACGTATCAAATCCACAACAAGGATCGACTGCTCATTTATAATAGTGTTTGGACGCAACAACCTTTTCGTCCTTGTCAAGCTCGAATACGGTGAAATGCTTCGCAGGATCGTTCTGGCTTGGATGTTCTGCCTCCCTATAAAAGATACTATAAGCGCTGAAAGTTATTGGGAGTGACCTGAGAGTGGGAAGACCTTCTTCATAGCCAATGTCACGGTCTCAGGCTTGATAGTATCTTTGTACTTTTCAGCAACTGCAGCAAACTCATTCTGGACTTCCTTTGAAAGAAAGGCCCTTTCCCAAACGTCCGTTTTCGTAACAAACGCAACCCTGATTTGTCGCCCCGCGGAGGTAGTAATATACTTGATGAATTGACAGGCTCTGAACATGGTGGTCTCGGAATTTTCGAAGAGGACGAAAGGTAAGGATAGACTTGGTTTATGTCAAATATGGGAAATCAATAGATGGTGATTTGTATGGAGGACAGGTTGAAGAAGCGGATTTCCCATGGCTGTCAGGATGAGAAAATAAATATATAGCAGTCAAATAGTAGGAGGTGCCAGGATAAGCGCCAGGATTCGAGTCACACATTTGGGGGCCGTGATCCAACATGTAAACCAGCGTCCTTCGACCAAACGGCTTCTTCAACAGGCTGCTCTGCGCCTCAAATGAGAGAATTACGGCGCGGTCCCCTGGTGATGAGGACAACCATCCCAGCTAGTTGCATGCGGCCCACATATCGCGTAGGTGGTCTTATCACCTATTAACCAATCAACCCACAAGTGATGGGACCTGTGACCATCGTATCTCTCAGTGCTTGAAGAAAATGGCTGCCTAGCGACAGGCTATGGCATAAGTGATATACAAAGAGGAGAATGTTAAGGGTATGGGTGACCGGAAAGACCAAATCTCAGTACACTGGAGTATGCCCTCCAAAGATAAGAAAATTCATAAGACTCATGTAGTAAATATTTATGTGTATAGGACGTATAAGGCAGACGAAGGAAGGTGTTTGGCCCAGCCAGAACGGATCCTAAGCCATGTTTGGCTAAGAACATTAAAGAAAGCAGTTTGTGCTGGTGCTCGTGCTGAAGGAGAGAGTAGTCTATAATATAAGCGATAAAATCAAAAGAGCCAAATGAAACGTATGGTTAACAATCTGGGAGAAGGAAAGAGGAAACTTTTGACCCGTCCACGTAACCTAAAGAGATTAGAAGTTTAAATCACACCGTACCGCGCCATGCCTATCGTCATTCAAAACAATTCAAATCAATTGATCAACTGCGTTAGACACGCGGGGGCCCCTGGCCTAGCGGCGGCTGACCTTGTTGTCCCTGACCTTGACCCCTGGCTATGATGGTAGCGGGGTGGACAGTACCCGTCGGGGTCGGGCTCTGGCTGGAGGGACCGGGTTGGCCGTACATCTGGGCCGGTGGACTAGCTGCCCTGAATGGGTTATTTGAATTCTCATAATCGTATTGCTGGTATTCGGTAGCGGGTGTGTTGGGTGACATGCCTTGACGGCCAGATGGGTTCTGGTTAGGGTTCTGGCTCAGGCGTCTGTGTCCCGTCGAGGGTCCGCGGATAAGATGTTCTTGTGTAACATTTGCTGAGGACGGGGTGCTTTCCATTGGGGGACGGGAGTTAAGGGCGCTGGCGAATGCAGCTTCGGGGTTATGTGGTGAGTGGACGTTGGACGTTGAGTTGCTCGCTGTGGAGCCGCGGTATGTTAGGCCTGAGGCGGAAGTTGCTGCTGCTGCTGCTGCTGCGGCACCTGTACCAGCGCCCGGGCGAGGAGATAGGGGTGCAGGATCCGCAGAGAGGGCCTCGTCCATCTGGTCCGTTGGAATCATGCGTTTGGCTTCCTTGTTGGCGGCATATTCGTCCTTGCTGTGCTGGGCTTGTTCATGGGAGATGGAGACAGAGTACGATGGCTTGGAAATATCGCCGAGAGCGGCATCGCCACCTCCAGGACCGTAGATCGGGATTTTCTTTATAGCTAGGACCAATGCACAGAGGAACTTAGATCGTCTGGTGGCTCGAACAACTTCATTATGCCAGTTGGATTTGTGGTGGATTTCAACCTTGAGCTCAAGTTTGTTCATCTCTCCGAGACCCGAGACTTCGATATCGACATCTGGGCCAAAGTCACGGGCGTTATCCTTGGCCCGGACAAAAGCTTGCATCTCACGTTTGAGAAGCTGTATATCGCCGAAAGAGGTACCAAAGTCGCAGGTTAGCGTGATCTGTTCACGCATGGCCTTGGAGCGAGTGACATTTTCAATCCATTGGGTGTTGAGCACGATATTGGGTACCTGGATGGTCTTGTGGTGCTGAATGTTCCGGAAGACGGTGAACAAAAGAGAGATGTGCTCAACCATGAGCTCATTGTCGTTGATATGGACACGATCACCAACATCGTAAGGATGCTTGACGAATAGGTAGATGCATGAGCCGAGGACCTCCTGGGCAGTGGCAGCGAAAACGAAGGAGAGGGACAAAAGAGCCGTAGCTCCGGCAGCCAAGGTGGTGCCAAACCCCTTGTTTAGGAATGCGACGAAGACGAGAACGACCAAGATGAAGACGACGGCTAAGAGGAGATTGTCAAGGACGTTGATGGCCTGGTCAACATCATGCATGGACTTGCTCATGGACTGTCTCGCCTTGCCGAACTCAGTGACTGTAAGGATCATCTCGTCCAAGCTGATATCGCCGTTATCATCTCTGTCGAGAGCAGCCATGCACTCCTCCGCTTCGGCACGGTGGTCTGGCCCAAAGACATCATATAAGTCATCAAGGTACAGAGCATCTCGTCCCTGAAGCACAAACGACATCCACAGGCGGCGAGCCAGGGCCTCAGAAGACTTGCGTTTCTCGAGTGCCAGAATAACAATTGAATGGGCAGAAGTGGAGTTAAAGACCTGCTTTCCTGTAATTTCTTGCGCGACATGGCCGAACGCGGCAGTGATCTTGTCACCCACTCGGCCCACGTTCTGACCGACGTTCTGGATCAAACGCATGGGAGAGGCAGATCCTGAACGGCCATGGCCCTTCTTCTTGCCTGTTATGCCCATGATGGAGTCGTTGATAATATAATCTTCCATTTCGAACTCCTTGCAGTACTCCGGGAACATCTTGCGGGAGGCAGCGTAGAGCATGCTGATCAGATGGACGTTTCGTTTGGACTCTTGGATCTTCGAGTCGAATTGCTTGCGGTGGTAGGAGATGGAAATCAGCTGAACGAGGATCTTCTCGGCAGCCAGAATGAGAGACGAGATGAAGCAGGCAAACAAGATATTGTTGACAACCGTCTGCCACGGCTGGATCCGGGGGTCCTTGATATTATCGGGATTACGGGTCATCACCTAGAGACAATAGCATTTAGCATTAGCAGTAGAAGCCGACGTTGACGGGAGAATACGCACTGGAATGAAAGTAGCCAGGGAGGTAATGGCCCATCCGACGAGGGAGAAGGGAATCTCCAACGCCCTGAGGATGAGAGCATACTTCCTGGTCCCTGAGCTGACGATACCACAGAGGAACTGAAAGACGAACGGCACATAGTGAGCCACGGCCTTTGACACCCACAAGCTGAGCCAGACGATCTCAACCCAGGCGAAGAACCAGACGATGCGGACACCACCAATGCTGGCAGTGGGAGCAGCAACGGCACCAACTATGATAGGCACGGCAAAAAGCAAAGCGAGAGGCAGGACATAGATGAAATATCTAGTGACGACGGAGAAATTGAGGATCTTGTTGTAAAATCTCCCCATACGGGTGATGGTCCCGTCTTCGTCTGAGGTGGCCGATCTGTCACCGTAATGGTGATGGCCGTGAGCTCGACGGCGGCCGCCTATCTGGCGTTCTGCGCCCTCGCCGCCGGCATCACCAACACCATCATGGCCCTTTTCGAAGTAGTGCTCGCCGTCTTCCGGCTTGCGGGCACCAGTCTGTGACACACTAGGCACGGCCGTCAGAGGGATGTCGATAGTGGCGTCCTTGGACATGCCGCTGCCGTTGGGATTGCCGTTGGAGTTGGGATCTGAGTCCGGGAGGATGGTGAACCTGTCGTGGGAGAACCGCTTGCCGATGCCAGGACGGCTGGACATGGGGAATGATTGACAGGAGCAACGCGAGCAAGCAAAAGCAGATATGGAGGGAAAGAAGGAATATATAACTACTTCGATGAACCGGGGATAGATGTAATGAATGTCAGGGTTACCGTAAGATATAAAACGAGCGAAGGGAAGATCCCGACAAGAAACAAATGAGCGTGACGATGAACAAGGAACAAAGCAGGTAAAGACTGATCAGCGGAGTTAAAAAACGAGGGAGAGAAAAAGATGGAGATGAAGAAAGACGAGAGGAAAAAGGCCGAGATGAAGAAGAAAAGAAAAGACGGCAGCGAGAGGCAGCCGGGTTTCATCTCCACCAGGCCCAGAACAACGCTCCACCGGCTTCGTGGGCATTGAGCATTACGTATCCTTGCGTCCAGCGGGCTGACAGGTCGACCTTGAGGAGAGGACCGTACGCCGTGCGTCTATAGCAGGGGTAGTATTACTCTGGTCATTATTGTTGGCGAATAGTAGTTAGCTAGTTGGATTGGACCGAGTTTAAGTCCAACGGCTGATGGATGAAGTTGTTCCTGATGAGCCAGAGATAAAAGTCGAGACAGCCCTTGACGGTCTTCAGCGTGGTAGCCAGGGCCTCGACGCTATCAAACAGCTCCGTAAAGCCAACCGTGCCCACGATGACCAGCCAGTCCGTCGGGGCCAGCAGACAGACACCCCCCTGGATGTAACACTCCGGGTGTGTCGAGAAGGCAAACTCCCTCACAGCCGGACAGGTCGAGACCTGCTCATCTTTCCCCAGGGCCACAGGCACCAGTTTCTGTTGCAGGCAGAGCATCGTCTTGGTGACCCATTCCTGGCCGCTGGCGGAGAGCTGTGGGCTTGCGGCTGAGAAGCGGTTGCAGTAGCGGTCTCCATAAGCGAGAGCGTAGCCGTCCGGCCCACAGGGGATCCCTTTCTCGAGACACGCCGAGTAGAAACTGCACGAATTCGGGGCTGGCGACGAGCATTCATCTGGTTCTTCTCGTCTGGCCAGAGGGCTGATGCAGCAGCGGCCGGTGATGGGGCAGCTGGGGTGCCTACAGCTGTCAGTATCCGATTCCATTCCACCGGCAGAGCCAGAGCGAGGAGATAGATACCATTTGGAGGTTCCGAAGCACCGACCGGTGACCTGGCAGATTCCACGGCCCTGTTGGCGTTTGGCAGTTAGTCAGTTGTGAGCTGGCGATGCTGGATGTCGTTGAAGAAGTGTCGTTGACGTCGAGATGTTGGAGTTTTCTTACTTCGGGCGTCTGGCAAGGGACGAGAGGGACGTCGACGGCCGACGCAGCAGCAGCAGCAGCCGAAACAAAAACCAACAGAGCGAGAAGAAGAGACTTCATGGCGAAGACGATGATATCTATGGCTAATGGACTATGATCTATTCTCTATGGTAACGGTTTGATGCTCTGTGGATGTTCTATGGCCGGCCTCTCGCTTTATACCCGTCACCAAGGCCAGGCATACGTACTCTACGCCCTTGTCCTCAGCCAGATATGCTCATTGTTCGTACCCTGAGAGTAAGATCTTCTCGTCTTTAGTCTCATCAGCTCCGTTTAGCTCCTGGACGCCTTAAGGTCCCAGGGCGCGGACGGCTTACGGGCCGCAAACAGGCTCAGGGGTAAGGTGGCCACGAACCTCCACCAAACATCCATCCTCCTTTTAAACAGACGGCCCGGAGTAGTGATACAGTAGCATTGCTTGCTAACTGCTTCTTCTGCTAGTCAAACGTCGGGGAATAATGATATAATTAGGTCACTTGGAGCCCCTGGGACCCTGCAATCTGACATCTCAAACACGGCCATGTCAGTGCCAGGAGTCACTGCAACTCCGGTCCTCAGCCCTACGGATATTACCTACGGTTGTCGACTTGATGGTTATTGTCATGCCAGTATATTGTCCATGGCACTCGGTGTCAGCCGTCGATGTCGTCTATATTGAGATGGATATGAGATATAAAGACAGAGAGACATCAAGGCTAGTTGAATAACACCATCCCATCACTATCAGCCAACGTCAAGAGACCATCAAGACACATCTAGCAACTATCCTACTACTCGCTATCCCTGCCCTGGCCCAGCTCCAAGTTCAAACGAGACTGCATTGGATCCAACGTCAATGACGAAACAATCGGCCTGATCAAGCACTTCGAAGGCTTCGTTCTTCGTCCTGCTCCGGACCCCATCGGACTTCCCACAGTCGGGTACGGCCATCTTTGCCGCACAAAGGGGTGCTCTGAAGTCTCCTTCCCATTTTTCCTGACCGAAGAGACAGCCACCGAACTGCTCATACAGGATGTCAAGGTAAGGACATAATATACCATCGTTTGTAGCCGTCATACTAACATTGCTTAGAGCTCTCAGCAGTCAATCACCCTATCTACTACAGATCAGGTCGTTTTCAATGCCAACCAGTCCGGTGCTCTGGTGTCATGGGCTTATACTGTCGGTGGGGCCACAGCGAAGAAATCTTCCCTCATCAGCCGGCTCAACCGGGAACAGGACGTTGATGCGGTGATCAGAGAGGAGCTGCCGCTGTGGAACAAGGCGGGTAGACATGTTCTGCCTGGCCAGGTGAGGCGTAGGGCTGCGGAGGTTGAGCTGGCTTCGGGGCATACCGACCAGCCTCCCTTGCTTGTGGACTGTTATAACAACCCGATAGGACAGGAATTTTGTGGGTGTAGAAGTGATTTTCCATTAATATACATTGGATACCATGTTTAGTTCGGTGAAACGAGCTGTGATATTTATAGTAATCGCGGAGTGGTATCTTGATGGAGTTGAGTAAGATTAGGTATCTGAGACTATAGTAGAACTGCTATAGCAATAGTAAGAGCCGAATATTAGGGTAAGAAAAGAAAATAGGCAATTAATATGAAAAATGGTAGAAGAGGAGCAAATCTTATTTAGGGGTAAAGGCTTAACAAGAGTAGTAAGAGCAGGGGTTGCAACTAAACCGTAGCGAACTGGTCGACCTCAGCTTATCACTAAGAAGAAGAAGAATAGTAGAGTATACAAGAAGAAAAGCCCGCTATATACCAGTTCGATTTACTCAAATCGAACGACGTCTGGACAAGGCTTCTCGCCGAAACCCGAGATATTGTTCTCCTGCACCTGGTTGACATCGTCGTTGGGCGCATTCCACATACGATCCCCAGAGTCCCTAGAGAAAGTCAGCAAGTGATGAAGAGAAAATAGACGATGAAGATGAAGACTTATAGGATATGCATACATCATCAGGCCAACATGGTGGATGGTATCCGGATTTCCACAATCACAGCTCCCGCCGAAGAACACGGCGTCTCCTGGCTTGCGTTCGGCAAAGGGGTATTTCCTAGTCCATCGTTAGCAACAAGGTAAGCCATGAGGAAGAAACATAGAACATACTTATAGCGCAGCTTCTCCTCTGAAGCACAGTACATGGACCTAGTAACTCGCAGTCCTTCGCTGAATAAATCTCGTCCCGTAACCTGGCAGACAGCCCAGCCTATTAGGCCGGAACAGTCGTACCCGATCTCACCGTTCTGCCAGGGGGGCATATCGTGAGTTGGACCCTCGCAGCTGCCTCCTCCCCAGGCATATGGTACACCTGCTGCAGTCAAGGCCTTGTCGAGGATCTGCTGGCCGACACTACCGTTGCCTGGAGTAGGGGGATCATTGTCGTCTTCTCTCTTGATGCAACATTGTATGTTATCGCCGCCTGGGCATGGCCACTCCTAGACGGCAGTATTAGCTTATAGTTCATGGGTAGTAACAGATGTAGACAGAGGGATGTCATACTGGGCCGGATCCCTTATCGAAACGACCGCCTGGACAACCGTTTGAGAGGCTGCGGCAGAACCCATGGCCGGCACCGGTGCTGCACTCATGTTCAACGCAGCATTGGACATCGACTGGATCGTTCGGGCAGAGAGCCTGAGAGTACGAGATTCCCTTGCAGGTGCTTGACTTCTGGCATGATCCTTCGCCCTCGAAAGCCGTGCATTTGGATCCAACAGCTCGGCTGAGGAGGGCAGTATGGGCGGGAGAGGCGCTCACAGCGCTAAGGAGCAGGCTGATCACGACTGTAGAAGGCTTCATCTTGAGATGTCGAGTATAGTTGGATGTTGATATCCAAGTTGTTGTTTGAGCTGTACGTGGTCGAAGGGGGTTGTTCATATATCTATAGCTGGACGATAAATATAGAAACAATCCCACTGATCAGCACTGCGGCTCGAATTTTGTGATACGACTTGAACTGCCATCTTTTTGGCGGTTGCTGGAACCTGATTTCCAAGTGTGTCCAGTCTGGTCTGTCTTTGGCTCTTGTCAGGGCGTACGCTGGGCGGGTGGGAAGGCAGTGCTGGATTTCTTAATACGAGATCGTCTTTATTCCGCTCCCGCTTGGCCTAAGGGATACGAGAGGCACCGTTGCACCAATACAGGTGGATAAAAGTCCTTAAATTGATGCTTTAAGGCGTTGATATATAAGTTGGAGACCATGTAGTAAGACCTAAGGGTGTTAGTTAGAAGATGACTGCTCAGGGACCAGAGCGAGATGCTGGACAGGCGTGAGAGGACACCACTCCTCAGTCCCTGCCAGTACTATCTGAGTCTTTCTCGGTCTTTTCTCAACTCCATCTCGGTCCTGGTAGACACGTAGAATAGAGGTATAAAGATGGCTCACCATCGCTATCAAATAGAAAACTAAGTCATTTCAATCGAAATCAATCGACGTCAAGCAGGTTAAATCAAGGCGAAGCTCTCTAACGTCACCGCCGTGCTGGTCAGCATGCTCTCCGTCACTGTCTGCGAGGGTGCTGGCCTCCAGATATGCAAGCAAGTAGGTAAAGAGGACTGCTGACCCGTCGACGCGACCTGGTCCATCTGCACCAACCTCATCTCCAACGGTATGTCTTCTCTTCTCTTGATCTCAGTATCAATCACGCTGATAGACCAACCACTCGACGGCCGTCCGTATGTCTCTGGCTGCTTGACCGGCGGCGTCTGCGACATCTACAGCTCTTCCCACTGCAAGGGAGCCAGCAGCACGGTCGACGAGGACGGCCGGCCCTTCGACGTCTGCCCTGTCCTGTGCTAGACGTCTTTCTGTCTTCTCTGGGTATCTCTGGGTATCTTGTATCAGCTGTGCATCTCTTCTGTGTATCCATCTGAGTCGCTTGTCCAATTGACCGCCGTCGAGTGTTGAGTTGAGGTCACCAAGATTGGATTTTCCGCTTTTCCGCCGGTCACTATCACGAGTCAATTTATTCTACGCTAGAAGTAACACATATAGGATCTGAGACAAGTGCTGCCTTTATAAAATACAGCTTCATATTGACTGTATATAGCAGTGAATAAGATCACTTTATCTTCTTCTGCGTCTTCTTTTCTCTCGAGAGTACCAATATCAACATCAACATATCACTGCTATTACTACTCTACTTCTATACACTCTGGCCATAACCCCCCGTGCCTTAATCCTCCAATGGATCCATGTATTCGCGGTGATCTTCCTCCTGGCATATAAAATCAAGATACAAGCTAATATATAATTGTAGGAGCCAGACCGAGAATATAGAACTTCGAAGGGGCTGACGGCGTGGCTCTCGTCACGGCGTAGGCAGACAGTGCAAGACTCCTAGATGTTGTTCATTCCGCCCTCACTTGATCTAGCAATGCAGAGACACAGTGTAATGATTCTAGATGGATGATGGTTGTTAAATTGATTGATATCAGTTGGAGTTGGTAGTTGGTACATCGATCGAGACAGTCATCGAGATGACTGTTTATAGCCCAAGAGAGATGCTGGACGGCGTAAAAAGACATCACTGCTTAGTCTCTGCTAGTATCATCTGAGCCTTCTCAGTCACTTCTCAATCTGATCTCGTCCTTAACTCGGTCCTTGTAGATATGAAGAAGGGTATAAAGATGGCCCTATCAGGTTGCCAATATCAACAACCAAATCGGCTCATCGACATCGAGCAAGTTGAGTCAAGATGAAACTCTCTACTCTGGGTATCTCAGGGTCTCAGGGTAGTTTATATCCAGTATCCTGCCGCCTCTTCAGCCGTCCATGTGTGTATCCAAGTGAGCCTTCAATTGATCGCCAGCCTCCACGTATCCCCACGTCGTGATCGCATCTCCCACAGGCCGATGACGTCTCCAGCAGGAAGATCAGCCGCTAATGCAGCGCGAGAGGAGAAAAGGATGCGGAATACGAGGCCAGGCAGGCGTCCTCATTGCTCGGGCTGGAGCAGCGCCCGCAGCGAGCGAGCAGTAACAGCCGATCGCCTCGCCTAGCAAGCAGCAAACATAGTCAAGAGTCAGCTGGGGCACATGTCCACCTGGTCGAACACTTACTAGAGCATCCAAAAGTACCTCGAAGTACCGCCGGGTCGCCCGCGAGACATCCGGGTTTCATCTTGCGTCTCTTGTCGATCGTCTCATCTGCCAATTTCTCCAGCCTCAACTTCAACCTCAACCTCTTCAACTCTTCAACATCTTCGCACCTTCAACCTCCCACTCTCATGTCCCCAGCATGGCCTCCCTCTGGCGGCTTCTCGCCCTCGGGCTCAGCCTAGCACTCGCCGCCGCCCAGTCGATCTCGCCGCTCGACACCCGCGGCCAGCTGCAGGTCGGCAGCCCGCTGTACTCGCTCGACCTCGACCCAGAGCCCTACGACGACCGCGTGAAGCTGCATCTCTACCCGTCGACGTCGAACCTCTTCGCCCCCGATGAATCTTTAAAGGTGATCTCCTTCTTCTTCGTCTTTTGTTGTCGTGGTGTTGTCGTGGTGGCGGCGGCGGCGTTGGTGTCGTGTGCCGTCTGCATGTAATAATATCGACTGTATATACTGACTGCAGCGCAGGACCTTCGCATCGCCGGCCGGCTGGTCATCGTGAGCCACAGGAACGCCCAGCGGCTCAAGGAGACGGACATTGCGTATCTCTCCTGCGACCCGGACGACTACCCGGGCAACATCGACCCAAATGACACTCTGGGCGCCCTGCTCGCCGCCTCCCGCCGTCCCGCCGCCATCCTGCTGTACACCACCCACGCCGTGCGCTGCGACTACGAGGCCGACCACGACGAGGACCCGGCTACTAGCTACAAACCCATCTTCTCGCTGCGGGACCCGGAGCTCGCCAACGCCCTGCTCACCTCGACCGAGCGCCATAATGCGACCATCTCGACCGCCGGCCCTGTCACGGCCGCCCAGTCGCTGCAGGAAGACCCCCAGCCCGCGCGGCCGCACCATGGAGACCCGCGCAACAACGGAGTCGAAACCACCCGCAACACCGCCATGATCATCCTCTACACCGTCACCGGCATCATCACCATCTTGTTTCTGGCGGTCATCTTGACCGGTGCCATCCGTGCGCACCGCCATCCGGATCGCTACGGGCCGCGCAATGTGCCCGGTCGAGCCAGGCAGAGTCGAGCAAAGGGGATTGCCAGGGCGATGCTGGATACGTTGCCCATCGTCAAGTTCGGCGAGGACAGAGAGCAGCGCTCAAAGCAGCATGACGTCGAGCTCGGTGACGATTCCCATCCTCATACTCGGCCAGAGTCACGGCAGCAAAATACTGCTGCTACTGCACCCGTTGATTCTAACACGGTTGATAATGCACCTGCACCAGCACCATCTACGGCGGATGTCCCGGTAGAGCAGCAGCAGCAGCAGCAGCAGCCTCGTTCTGCGTCTCCATCGGGCTCAGCTGCGGGCTCAGCAGCTTCCGAGCGAGAACCGTCCACCACCTGTCCCATCTGCACGGACGAGTTTGTTCGTGGCCAGGACGTTCGTCTCCTGCCATGCAACCACTCCTTCCACCCAGAGTGCGTCGATCCATGGCTCGTCGACGTCTCCGGCACCTGTCCTCTCTGGTACGTCTACCTTACTACATTTTACCTGTATATGTCTATAGATATATATGTGTATATACTAACAGCCTGATAGCCGAATAAATCTCAATCCGGATGCACAGGAACAGCAACAGCAACAGCAACAGCATCATGATACCATCACCGGCATCGAAGGAGACCCTGCCATCGATGCCAGGGAAAGAAGAAAGGATCAGAAATGCCCGTGCCTCGACGGCAGGTACCTCCACTGAAG